GTGTTGTGGTGGAAGAATGAATAAGGCTGTGTGGTTTGGGCTGGAGAAAAAAGTCACAGGAGTGGATGCAAGGCAAGGCCCCCAGTCACTCTGACACGACGAGTAGCCAGCCCATCGCAAGTAGAAGTTATTGGCTCATTCCTTAAGTCGAAGGCAAATAACTTACCTGAACTTTGCTTTCTCCATCTAGGCAGGCAAAAAATTGAGTGCTCTGTTATCTTGAAAAAGCCTGAGACATCACGGTAATTATGAGGCGTCAAGAAGTACCTATCCATATCTGTCTAGGTAAGCTAGCTCTCCTGGAGGACGCGCCTGTCAGGGTCAAGAACTTGAGGGGAATCTTGCTCATGACCTTCTTCTGGAATATAACAGTTCTGGCGTTTTTCGCGGCCAGGCACATCACCGCCAGTGAGCGTCCTGCCACAAGGAATGAGGAACCAACACCAGGCCGGAGCAGCATAGAGACCAAGGCTATGATGGAAGAAGCTAGAGAACTGAGAGGGGTGTGCCCCTGGAATGAATATGGATAAGGATATAAGGCTGCAAGCCGGACAAAGCCACCAGCCTCGGCTTGCAATTTGCATCCATCTTCGCACTACTCGAATATAGTGTCATTATAGTACAGAATAGGGAATGCCGGTCAATTTGGTGGCAGGGAATGCCAATGGTACTGTGTTCCACGTTGAAAAGTAAGAGGAAGATGCAGGATGCAAGCTAACGGCGGGGTAATATGCCCGGCTTGCAGCCTTATCTCCTTTTCTGCACCCAAGAAACACCCTCCTGTGGTCCTCCAGCTTCTTCCATCAAGCAGTCCATCTCTTGAATATCTGCAAACTTGTTCAGTACCTAGTCAAAGTCTTAAACAATGAAGAGCTCCTCGAACTCCCCTTCTGGGTTATTATCAAACTCGTCACCCATGCTCAGGACATAGCAGCCTGATACCAAGGTAGCAAATTTGGTGTCGTGTCATCCTTAGACCTACGGAAAACCGTCATGCTGTCACAATGCTCTCATAGATACCACCGCCTTCTTGGAGATTTCTGGGTCATGCTCGAATATAGCCCTTCTCTGTCGCAAACCATGACCAATTCTCAAAGTGTGCCAGTGCCGATTTCTTGCCATCGTCGAACTTTTGGAGCTTGTACAATTGTGCCATCTTTCGATAGAACCATCGGCGCTATATCTTCCACGTCCTCATCTGGGAAGATGTCTCCGTCTAAGTACTGTAAGATGCGTATGTTCCGTAACGTTAGGATGGATAGTATCGTTGGTAGGATGATAGTCATAGAAAATTCCACTTCTGCCTCTTTTTTTCTCTTTGGTCACCTCTTTTATAAAGGATAACAAAAACCTTTCAACAATGATCAATCTCCTTCCATCTAGAGAAACCCTAGCAAATCATACCAGTAGACTCGAATAGCGAGGACTCAGTCTCGGCATCTCAATAGCAGTTGTATGATTTTGTCCACCGTAGTTCCCTCTCCTTTTTTTATTTTTTTTTTGCACTTGTCCACAGCTTCCTTCTTTCTGCAGAATTTGGCTACCCATCAGGCTTTCCTCTTTTCTTACTAGTATAGCTGAGGAGCTTCTGTGCCCAATGATGTATGTTATAAACATGTTATGAGTTGTTGCCTGTCTCTTTTCTGTTTGCTCTGAAGCCCTTGCTGCGTCCGCATTCACAGCTTTCACTGCTCTCGCATGTCCATGTAGCAGTGTTGAAGCAACATCGAGAGCAGACCACGAAACAATCGGAAGCATTTTGGACATGCGCAGTGTGCTAGTACTTCCGTACTCTGTCCAATGGAGATATTTCAATCATTTTTGCACCAGGACTTTCCAGAGTGATTGACCGGTTGGATGATGTTGTTGCCCGTTGTCTTAAAACACGTGCATAGGCCAAACATAGGATAGTCAGTTTTTGAAAAAAAGGCCTCCAGGAAAAGCGGGTTTTAAACTCGGACGTAGGACTAGTCAGAACCTAGTGAATCTATGTCCACGTACCTCCAATGCGCCAGTTGAATTGATACAGGAAATGGCATGTCGTCAGCCGTGTGCGAGTTGCTCTCCTCGGAGAAAGAGAATCAGAGCGCTCCATGAATTACGGCCAAGTGGGTTTATATGGTCGTACATCCCATCTTCTTCTGCCCTGTTAAAGAGATTCGGTACTCAAGCAGGTAGATCAAAGTTATTTGGATCACAATCAATGACATGACCAGTCCCTGCAAAGGTCAAGATGTTGAAACTACGCAGCTGGGTCAAAGCGCGGATTGTCCGATCGAGACACACCATCTCGAACGCCCAAAGTGCATTCTGGCTCGGTTCCATGGTTTGGTGATATCAAGTTTAGCTTTTCATAAACGATATCACGAGGGTCTGATGCTTTTTAATGTTGGCAAGATATAGAATGAAATCCAGACTTCGCTTACGTTCTGAAACAGCCCGGATTAGATATAGGCCCAGCAATATTTGGCATAAGCTACGGGAAAATTCGGATAATGACTTGTCAATTTGGCTCTTCTGAGCTGTGACGCATGGTTGCTGGGCCGCCAAATCTCTTTTTTCCCACTCCACCTTCTAGTTGTATCAAAAGGTGAGCAAGTTCTATCATGTGTGACCTTGGTACGATGAGTGGCTCACATGCACACATGGGAGACATGATTTGCAAGAAATAATTTCTTGTGTGATCCCTGCTCTCTTCCAGTATTAAGCTGACAAAAGCGTTCTTAAGCTGCTAATTGTTTCAAAATCCTCCCAGCACTTGATAACGTTATTGCACACACCAGTAGCACCAATGCTGTGATGATTGAAGGGTTCCTTCCATCATCTGGTGGTGTGTGAAGGTTTGATGGCTCTTCCAGTAAAACCCATATGAACAGTGACATAGGGAGTGTTGAATTGAACTGAATTGCATTTTCAACCGTATCATCCATGAGGGTTCTCGGTCGTGCTCACGACGCCGGCAGGCAAGAGGTACATATGCACTGACTAGTTTAACCTATGTACACGCAAGGAAAACCCAAGAGAGAAAAACCGGTGTCTTCTCGTGAGATAAGGGGTGGTGTTGGGGAAGGGAAAAAGTGTAGGGAAAGAGTGTAAAAAAAAATGGGTTAGGAGGGGATAGCGTAAGGTATGTAGATATCCAAACTAGAGGTCTCTGACTCTGCTTTTTTGTCATAAGGGGTGTGATACGAATCGCCCATGAGTCAAACTCGCTGATTGCGTTTGGAAACATCATCCTGATTGATATGCCATCGATCCATAGAGTTAATCACGGCATGGTTGCCGTAAGCCCGGATTTGCTGTCAGCAGGTTACAAGGAACTCTTAAGGTCTGGGATCATGCTTCTAAGTTAGGCCCGTCCCTTGCAATTCACGGTGCTGTTATCAGTGCCATGAATGAACATATCTCCAAATCACATACCTTAGCCGCACTCTCCGCAGACATTATCATCGATTTGCAATCATCGCATAATAACTTTCTAACCAGCCATCAGAAATGCATCAAATAGTCGTGCAGGTTCTGGCCAAGTTCGAGGTGGTGCCCATTGAGAAGTATATACGGATCAGTGTTGACGTCCAGACACTTGTCGTGGCGTGCTGTGTTGACCCAGCCAATGTCCGTTCTTCCTTCTTCCTCTCCTTCTCTTCATCAACCGTCTCTTGAGTGGGTCGCCCCAGGTATAAGAGAATGCAACGTATGGGTGGATTATCATCCAACAAGACCGTTGTGAGCTATCCAACGATGGGACCAGCCTAGTCAAATTCGTCCCTCGCTATTGTTAAGCTCATATCCAGGAGTAACAAGGGGTTTCTGGTCGCCATTGGTAGAAATTGTAGACTGCTCGGTGTTAGGATGTTGGCCTTTTTGGGATATTAGGCTTCAGGTTGACCGGGAGAAGATGGAACAAACGGATTTCCCGACGAGACAGGTTGAGCGGTTTGTAAAGGTCGTTGCGACAAGACTTCGGAGGCGGAACAGAACCGCTGGTCGCAATCTCTATCAGACACTGCGTAGGTAGTACGCATATGAGTCGCAGGGGATAAATCTGGCTGGGGTGTTGATGTGTTGGACGCACTAGATGAGGTTGTTCGGTCGAAAGTAAGGAAAACTCGTGTCCGTTCTTATAACTCTCTGGACAGTAGATGCCTGTAAGACTCGAGTAATCTCAAAATCAATCGTAGTGGGATGTACTAACTTGCAGCGAGGAGCAATAACTCGGTTCAGATAAGCAAGTCATGTTGTGATGGCCTTGTGGAATGCAGCAGCCGTATAAGTCTGGCCTACCGACCACAGGTTGTGGACGCTAAACTGTAGTCACGAGGACCGATTGTATGTAGTTTTGCTTGGTAGATACTACTAGGCAATTTAAAAAAAAAAAAGTACAATCATGACAAGCTCCTGACGAGGCACGCTACTTACCTCTGTGAGGCTGTTTAGTAAACCAGGGGGGCCTGAAATACCTTACATCATCATCATTTAGAAAGGAAGACGATGATAAACCTAAGTATATATTACGTTACCACTCGCTGTCACCTACACATATCCCATCTCCGTACCTACTGAAATACCCGTGAACACCCCTACGTAAACATAACCCCATCGACCATCCGTACATAAACCATGTAGGTAGTTAGTGGCTGGGAGACCGTACCCAGCCATTTATCATAGAGCCAGCGCGCAGTTCCTAGATACTTGGCAAAGTCTTGACCGTACAAAAACCTACAGAAAAGTGATAGGTAAAGTAGGCAGGCATTACAGCACGCCAGAGTCGACGATATCGTACCTCCGACATGGCAAGCAGATAGTAGATAAAAACCGAAAGAAGAAGGCTTGTCGATCCAACATGGCATGGCGACAAGACCGACCGAGAAGGCTCGCCAAGCTAGGTGGGTAGAAAGCAAGCTGAAGGAAAAGAGGAGAGGATCCCGGCAGCAAAATAAGCCCGACTGACTAAAAGGAAGGGCATACGTACTCTGCTCATCAGCCCCGACCGTAGGGCCTTAGTCTTCTTCGATCTCCCCCTCTTCACTCCCCGCTCTCTCAACCACCTTCTCCTCCTCTTTCTTAGAGCTCCTCTCCGGGCTCCTCTTGTATTCTTCCCCTGTCTTGACCCTCTTAACCCCCCTCTCCCGTTCCCTCTCCTCCTCCAGGATATCATCCCCATACTCCACGGGTCTGGGCCTCCTAACCGGTGGCGCAGTCGCCATTTCTTTATCTTTCTCCTTATGAGCATTGCCTGATGAGCTGGGAGGCCTCTCATCCCCGTAGGGTAACTCATCCACATCGCGATCGACGACGACCCTTCTACGGTAGCCATCGTCGCGAGAAGAACGTGCAAGCGGGGCGCGGTCGTAATCGTGGTGCCTCGGAGGGGGGATGTGATCATCCAGCGGCCGGCTCGGGCGGCGATCATAGTCGACGCCGCGATCACGGGAACGGGGACGCTCACGGTCACGCTCACGGGAACGAGGACGTTCACGATCGCGAGAACGGGGTCTATCGCGGGTACGGTCGCGCGAGCGAGAGCGGACTCTGTCGCGGGAACGAGGGCGATCACGATCACGGGAACGGGGTCTCTCACGCTCGCGATCCCGGTCACGGTCACGCTCGCGGTCCCTGTCACGATAGGAGTCGCCGCGATCGCGGGAGCGGGGACGTTCGCGCTCGCGATCACGCTCACGATCACGATCTCTATCACGTTCACGCAGACGGTCCCTCTCCCGATCACGGTCACGTTCCCGATCGCGGAGGGAAGGAGAGCGGCGATCAGAGGAGAGCAGCGCATCAGCGGCACCGGTCTTGCGATAATCACGATCGCGCTCACGCTCAGCAATGGCATGACGACGCTCGGCCTCGTACGAATCCCGCTCGACGGGGCTGCGGCTGCGGGCAGAGCGAACGCTGCCGCGGTGGGAGCGCTCGCCGCGATCGCGGTAGCTGTCGACAGTGGCGGGGCGGTCGCGACGGCGCTGGCGCTCCTTTTCGGCTTCCTCTTCCTTTTCCTTGAGACGGCGAATGTACTTCTCGAAGGCACCGCGGCGGGCCTCCTCGGAGGAGACGGCCTGGAAGGCGGGCACATGGGCCAGGCGAGCGCGGACCTGCTCGTAGGTGTCGTTGACGGTGATGGGAGGGTCCATACGTTTCATGTGGGCACGCAAGTCTTCCAGGGCCCGACGTTGGGCACGGTCGGACTGTCTATCTTCATCGGAGCGCTTAGCTCGTTTTTGCAGCTGATTCTGTTAGTACAGCCCTGTAAGCATGAAGAATACGGGACATACCCTCTCAAAGATAAGCTCCAAAACGTCACGCTCAATGTTAGCAGTACGACGATCTCCTTTGAGCACAGACTCAAATTCTTGGAAGGTAGTCTTGGGGGTGACCTCGAAACGCTTGTCCTCGATGACATCAAGGACATCATTACGGGTGCTACGAAGGGCGCGCTCCTCTTCTTCGACAATGTCCCAGAACAGTTCCATGGCGGTCGAGCCGGGCTGGCCGGCCATGGCCAGGTAGCGCTCGTCTTTCTCGATCAGCGGGAAAATCTGGGACCACTTGGTGCCGGCCTTGATCTTGCCGTCTTTGCGCAGCTCATTCAGCAGAGCAATGAAATTGTCGCGGTTCTTGCGCTCGCGGCGGAACTTCTTGTTCTTCTCCTCCTGGATGGAGTCATTCAACTTGCGCTCCAGCGCCTTAATGTGGTTTTGGAAGACAGTCAAGATGTCATACTTGCTCAGGGACTTATACTTTTCATCGTTCTGGAAGGGCGGGGTACTCATGATGGTACCTTGGGCGTCGGCCCAGCGTGTATAGGGATCGAGGTTCAGCGTAGGCAGCAGCTCGATCAGGCCGTCCATAGCACTCTTACGCTGCTGGACCTGTTGGTCCTTGTGAGCCTTCTTGAGGTCGGCGATGTACTCCTCGAAAAATTGGCGACGCTCGTTCTCGTCGTTGGTCGAGCGGAAGATGGTCTCGCCCTCAATGATGGGACGGGCAGTGCGCCAGCGCGTGTAGTGCTTGATCTCGGGATGACTCTTGAGCATGGTCGCAAAATCGGCGCGCAGCTTGGTCAGCCTCTCTTTTGCACGCTCCTTATCTTGGGCGATGACGTCCTGACAATACTTCTCAAAAGCAGCCTTGCGCTCGCGCGGGTCCTTGATGGCGCGGAATTGGGGGTCCTTGACGATGACACGAAGGGTCTGTTCCCAGGACCAGTCGGGTTGAACGCCGCTGCGGCGGAGCAGCTTGGTGAAGGCGGCCTCAGCCTCCTCAGGCGTTGCATACTCGGGGTCGTTGGTGGCAGGGACGAAGGCCTGGGCCTGGATGTTGTTGCCAGAGGTCAGCTGGCGCGAATCATGCGAGTCACGGTCGCGGTAGTGGTCGGCACCTCCATGGCCGCCGTGCCGGGCAGAGCCGGTGGGACTGCAGGCAGCGATTAGCATCTCTCTTCAAGAATAAGCATACATGGAGGGATACGTACGCGGCAGCCGTCGATGGCCCGTCGGCGATGCCCAGGGCGCGCTTGTAGACCTCGGGCATCTCCCAAGTGCTCTGCTTCGTCTCGGTGTTGTACCAGTACTTACGGCCGCCTTCAGCCGTGTACTCTTTCCATGGTTGGTTTGCAAGCGCGCGCTATCATAGAACTGTTAGTTACCATTCCAGATTCCCCTTCCCGTTGGAATTGCGCACCTCGACCGGCGTCATTAGCTCTTCTGGCTTCGTCCATTGGGTGACCTTGGTCAGCGAGTTGTAGTAGTAGACGCGGCCGTCGGGGGTACGGTGCTCTGACCATGCCGACCCCGGCGGAGCAAATGGCGCGCTCATGCCGTTCATCGTGTGGTTAATGCCAATGTCGCTTTCGAAGTCGATGGTTGGGTTGACGGCAGTTGATGGATTGGTCGCAATCGGGGCCCTCGAGGGTCGCGCGGCACTCCTCTCAGTACAGCAGTCAATCGAAACCAGCGGCGATCCAGAAACAATCTGACACAGCGGTCGCCAGCAATGGAAAAGGGCGGCGCGAAAAGTCGCGATGGCTTGCGACGATGAAGCGTGAGGACGTGACTTAGCGGCGTTGCTTTTCTGCAGCTGATTTTTTGGAAGATGTTCCATCAGGCGCTGGCCTGGAGGTTGGCTGTTGGTGCACGGACCAGAATGTGGTTCAGGCGCTGGCCCAACTTGTCGGCCAGGAAAACCCCGACTACCGACAAAGGTGGGGCCAAGCTCAAGCTGCAGCCTGGGCATCGCTTGGCAGGGAGTTTGCGATGATACGAGACCCACTCTCATCCTCATCACAGGAGTCGGGTCCTCCTTGCAACTCATCTCAACTCATCACCGCTTACACCTTTGAGCGGGAGACGGGTCGAAGTGGCAGAAAATCAAGAGTTCAGAGCCGGTGTTTTGAGTTTTAAGTTCATTTGGGTTGGAAATCAGAAACAACTGCGCGGTTCAGTTACAGTCAATGAGCTATGAGCAACCCCTGAAACAGCTTCATCCTCGTCTGCATCTCAGTCATCAATTCAGCGTCTGTCATCATCAAAATGTCACAAGAAACTATTCCTGAGCAGCTCACAGAGGCCCAAATTGTTTCGGATGTCTTCCTCGATAGGGCATATCTCACATATATCGTCCCTCTCTCCACATCTTTCCAACCCGAGTCTCTGAGTGAAGGAAGCGGTGACATCGCTTCTCGACTCACCAACCTCGAAAAGCGCGAACATCTCTTCTTCGGTACGCCGCCCGCTGCCTAACCATGTCCTACTGCCTCCTTGCTCATGCTAGCTAGATGAGGCGGTCGATGTCTACATGATTCTACGAACTGCGAGCGTCCACGAACAAGCCTTCCGCCATGCCCTTCCCCGGTTGGTGCTCAACCTCGAGGCACACATCCTTAATGGCGTCGGCCCAGACCGTGAGAACCCGCCAGCATCAGAAATCATCTGGAATGGACGCGTCGAGGACGTTGAGAAGGCCTACTTTCTCACAGATAACGACCCCAATGTGGACGAGAATGACCGCTATGTCTACGCCTTTTGGAAGCTTTCCGTATTCCTCGACCGGCCGCGTATGCGGCTCCAGCACCCTTCTGTCGTCTTCTCCGGCTCAGCAGCACTCAGGTCTAGCTCTAAGCCCACAGAGCAACAACAAGAACGGCTAGCAGGCTACATGCAGTCCTGCATGCCCTCAGCCATGAACCTCCTCGACACCTTCGCCCACGACCCAATGCTAGGCGGCATCCGGCCCCGTCTCTCGGCCCAACGAGTCTCCCGTGTAGCACCACTCACCAAACCTAAAGACGTCCTTCGTCGCATAGATGGGCTCCAACACCTGCGTCTACGCATCTACCCCGTGCTCCACACGCGCGTGCGCTTCTCCCGTCCCAACACGGCGCCCCCCAGCACGGCGGTGATCGCCATGCTAGAGATCGACTTCACGCCCTACTTCGATTGTGAGATCGTGCTTGATGGGATTAGTCTTACTGTGGCCGGCGGTACGGTCGAAGACCTTAACAACAAGGACATGACGCTACCACTGAGTTGCGTCGCCCACGATCACCTCACCTTCCTCTACAAGCTCTCCCCGCAACCGCTTGACTTCCTAACCAGCGCATCTCGCTCACAGCCTAATCTAACTCGCGACCTGGCCATCAAGATCTCTGCGCGGGCGCTCGTCCGTCCAGATACAGACGGTGAGCCAAACCCATGCACCCCAGGTCTGACCATGTCCTGGACGACAACGGTAGATTTCACGCCCCCCGTCAACCCCGGCTTCGGGAAACCTTCTACCCAGCCCATGCAGCGTGCGCACAAACCAAGCCAGCTCTCCATCTCCGGAGGTGTTGTGTCGCAACCTCTTGTCTCCCCCTCAGTCATCCGTCCCGACGCCCTACCTTCCCTCGAAGCGTCAACCTCCCGCGCACAAGAGACGCAGATCCCCGAACTAGGCATCACACTCACCTTTACCGGTCCGTCCAAACCTGTCCGTGTAGGCGAGGAATTCGTCTGGTCCGTCTCGGTCGTCAATCGGAGCCGTTCCGATTCTCAGTCCACTTCGACCCCGGGTACATCTACCGGCAGCCCCTTTGCCCCGACCACTCGCCCCTCATCCTCCGGCGGTACCTCTGGGCAGCCCTCATCAGTGCCGGGTACAGCCCGTAAACTCCTCCTAATCCCCCTCCCCCGCCGACGCCGCAACGAAACCCGCGTCTCGCGCCCCATCGCCCCCTCACCATCCCCCAACGCCCCAAACTCTACCTCCTCTCAGTCCCAACGCCCCGATATCCCCCCCATCGCCCCTGCCATCCAAGACGAAGCCCTAGTCCATGCCATGCAGCGCAGCAGCGTAGCCGACGTGCAAGAGCTGGCGTGCCTCTCAGCCGACATACGGGTGGGGCCATTGGCAGGGAATGCGTGTGCGATGGCCGAGATGAGATTTATCCCGCTCAGGGAGGGGGTGTTAGGGTTGGAGGCCGTCAGGGTGGTAGATGTGGCGACGGGGGAGCATGTGGATGTTAGGGAGGTTCCTGGGGTTGTTGCTGTGAGGTAGGGGAACCCAGAGAGGGGACGGGTAGAGAATCGTAATGGTTGGTATGCTTAGGTCACGTCGGTGGGCATGCATAGAACATAGTAATGCTAGATGGTTGTCCGTTGCTACTCAATAATCATGCGTTTTCTGTCTTTGCAGGTGTAATTCCAAGATTTTCCCAGTATGTTGTTGGTCAGCGCTAGGGGTTCCTGTGCCCCTTATAGACTTCCGCTGATACGATCCTTCTACCACGGTGTTGGTATTCGTTACTGTCCGTACCATATTGATGGAATAATTCTACGACATGTTGCGCCATTCAGCTGACTGGCTTGTCCACTGTAGCCTGCCTGTTGCAGGATATGAATTCCGCTTCTGGAGAAGCCTTCGGTTTACACACAATGTCATGGTCATCGGCGGTCATCCTGTGCCGCAGTTGTATCGATTGTTGGCTCAACCATTGCATTACCATCTCGTGTATGATCCAGGATTATAAAGCATTACGTTATGACATAGGTGGCGATGGGCAGTTACTATCGTCCATCATTTCATCGGCGCTCTGATAGCTTTGGTTGTATTATTAAATGGTGAGGGTTGCACTATTACTGATGTCGCTCCTCTTCTGGGCCACCATATGACCATCACGAGCTATACACCTCACCCGGGGACTATGAGCAGGATATAGTTCAACTGATATGAGTCTCGTTAAGATACTTCATTCCTTCTATCCTCTAGTATGTTGTTAGGTTCGGGTCCTGATGGTCATCTGTGACGGTGACATTGACACAATCCTACCGTCGCAGTATGAGGTCATGAGCTCACCTCAATAATTTCCCCGGCTATTGTAGCAGTGTCTTTGGACCTTTCCCCACAAAAGTAACGCTTTCCTTGCTTTTAGCAAAAAAAAAAAAAAAAAAAGAATTGAATATGTGGGGAGTGTCACTGCAACCCTACAGTTGACACATCATACCTCTTGTTCCTACATGAGGTTGAGCGTACCTAGCGTACCTAGTACTCAAAGTTGCACTGAACCAGAGCACTCAGATCAATATTGACTTGCAAGACACTGAGATACTGACTTGGCTTTGGTTCTAAGGACTATAATCACCTGCTAAAGCTTTGGGGATTGTTGTGTCACCGAGACTAATATTCAAAATATTCTAGAGTTTACCTGAAGTTCACAGACTTGGATGACACAATTAGAACGGGGGCAATCTGACTGATTCAACCTTGTCCGGTTGTAATCACCGCGACGAGATCAATCACGTAACATGTTGGTGGCAAAGAGCTCACCAGGCAGCCCGACACTATGTGCCTAGGTGCACTGGCTAGGTGAACCTGTGATAACTCCAGATTTTACTTCAGCGGGAGTAGCCGTGAAACTTTTGCACGCCTTCCGGGGGCCCGGCCATAGGGGAAGCGTTCCATGTATTCAACCCTAAGGGCCCGTGGTCATTATTCCTTTGCTTATCCTTTTTATCTCAAAATTTTTGTGATCAATTTTCCTTCACGCTCTTTTTTATCTGCATATTTTCTTTTATTTTCTTCTCTTTGCACCATGGCAGCACTAGGTTCGGACCCACAACTTCCGCACCGCCCACACGGTGTTCAATATCCGAATGTTGACCAAATGAGCCACGAGGGATCTCAATTGATGCCCATTTTGGCGGGAGAGGGAAAGCGAAAGGCGCCCCATATGGTTTCCTGGTGCTGTTGGAAGGCAGGATTGATTGGGAGGAATAATGCGCGGGGTTGTTGGTTGGTGAGGACTGGAGTGGGAGATGGAATGAAGTGAAGACGGTGTGTTCTGAGGAAGAGAGGACAGTAAATACTGGGTAACTTGTTGGAGACCTACGTTGATGGTGATCATTGCTTGCTGTACAATAGAAGTACGGCAACAGAGTGTATTCTGCGTCCATCCTCCTCTGGAATATTACTACTTGAGAGTGTGATGATGGGGATAGAAAAATGTTGAAGGGAGTCGAGGTTCTGGACATGATCCCGTTCCTTCGATAGGGCTTGCATCAAAGTCGAGGTGCTGGAACACCCTGAGGTTTGATCCCTCCAATTGTCTCTTTTTTTACAAGAACCCCACCTACTACATCATCGGACTGGTGGCTTAACATCATGACTCTAGGACTTCACTTCACTTCTCAGCCCCGGTGGGCTGTCAAGTTTCATTGCAGGATCAGTAACTCCAGTATAATGGGCATCATGTCAAAGGCCGTGCCCTCAAGCATATCTTGACTCATGATCTAACAAGAAGACATCGATCTTAAGGTTAGTTGCAGATATCTCCCCGATTTACACGAAAAAGCGGTTCCGAGGTCTTTTCACGTTCTCTAGCCCCAACGGACTCGTCCTATGTGTTCACAACACCATAGTGCAAAATGTTCGAGTGTATCACACAGATGTTCTAACAGTATTTAGATATTGCAATGTACATCCAAGGTTTCACCCCAGATCAATCCTTTCCTAACCCCGGATCTCCCACGAACCACAACCCAATAAGCCTCCTAGCTCCTGAACACTGCCATGAAGCAAGTTATTAGTCTCGGGGATCACAATAGGATGGGAAGAGAGGTTATAGCTCGGCATATATATGCCGAGACTCGCCTTATGTCCTCCATTCCTGGTCAGCTCGGTGAAGAATTTGGTTCAAGCTCACTCATAGCTGCTCTCACGTCATATATCTGAGACGCGATAGTTGAACAGGCCACGGATTGGGATGCAATTCTGCTGACAGTTCCTGGATTACTGTTGAGCACGTCAGTTTCATCCTGGTGTAGGTAGGTAGGGCTGTTGCAGACTATGGCTGTGCCTGCCTATTAAAGGGGCTATATTGAAGCTCCTATATGCTAACAGGTCCCATCAACTACGCTTTACTCGCTCTGCATTGCTAGAAACAGCAGAATCTCAAGCTTCCTCTATCCTGCAGCTTATACGTGCCCAAAGCTCCGCAGAACCTACTTCACCTCACAAATTACAGTGTTGGCAGGTCGCATGAACCAGCCTGGTGGGACGAGAACGCCACAGCTACGGCAAAGAAGCTTACTTCTTACCTATTCACATGCCATGCCATGTAATGTAGCAAGCCGCGCCTACCAAGCAGTCTCAGGTATATTGCTTTCATGAGGCTGACTGACAGCCTGGAAGATCTAAATCCACTGGTGCTGTTATCATCATAGCCGTTCGTCCTATCCATCCCAGGTAGGCATTGTTACCCAATTCCACAGCGATCTCGGTAGTTGTAGGGCCGTAGGTGGTAGCACTCTCTTCGGCTCTTAAAACTGAAACCGGTTTGCTACCTGACATGCCGGACATGGTACAACATTAGTACTGTGATCTTAATGAACGACTGGGCCTGTGCCGGACATCCCCGCTCACCCACGGGTGTCAGCGGCGAGGTAGCTGTTCTGTTGCTCCTCTATTACACCGCCCTGGTGTTATCGTCGTTAGCACCAAAAGCCGAAACATGCGCGGAATCATGGAATCATGTCTCGCAAAATACGGAATTCCAACGCCAACGCCACAACGTCACCAACACCGCCTTACGCAGCTACCCCCCCTTAACTTTGAAGACAACAGTACTAGAACCAATCCGTCAAAGTTCGGAGTTTGACAGGCAGGCATGTCTGTACGGAAGTGAGATACAAACCGCTGCGGTGCTGCTAAGAATACACTACACCCATTATATCAACTTTGCTCAGACTCAGACATGGTAAGACAAGCCCACTTCGGAGAGTTTCAGAACCAGCCTGGTTGAGGATAGGCTAGGCAGATCATCTTCTGCAAGACTGCACCGCTAGTTAGAACTAGCAAGTTTGACAAAACAACCTGGAACCTAGAACAAAAACAGATTTTCCTACTTCCCGTGAAACCCCTCTGAATGATTTGGCTTGCTCAACAGCATGAATGGGTGCGTGAAGCTAAGATAACCCCGCATCCGCATCCGCATTGGCGTCGAGCCAAGGTTTCGAGGAGAAGGAAGGTTGGTGAAAGCAAGAAACCTAAAACCAGCCAGTCATGGTCTTCAACGTACTGGAGGAGCCAGCTAAAGATGTTGAGAAACGCACAACGCGCATTTGCAGCATACATCTACATTTCTCAGCTAACATCCCTCACAGACTTAACATGCGTCGTCTGTATATAGCTACTCCATCGCTAACCCCTAGAGCTCATAGGGTTGGCATCCAATCCTGAGAATACCGAAGCCATCCCTCCATCGACCGCCAGCCGGCAGCTGTCATTCCGAATTTGTTGCTGTAATTGTTATGTCACCCCCTTCCCAAAACGCGTAGCGGCGTCCATTGAGTGCATGCATATGCGAGCACGACGCCAAACGCGCTTTCGCGCCAGGCACCGCGTTGACATGTATTGGTAAGGCCTGATTGGCCCATCGCGGGGCCGTAGAAGCTTGTCCACGTCAACAACCTCACGGAGGATTTTTGTTTTGTGTCTGCTGCAGCCGCGGGGCACTTTGCCCACTGGACCCGCAGGCAAACCCACATTTACCCCTCTTGTTCATGAGTTGTAGCAGACAAAAGCCGGCCGATCGGGGCTGAAGAATGATGACCATGATGGTCATGGTTAGGTTGGCCAATTGCGGGATCTCGTTGGCCAGCGCCGTTGAGAAAGCTGCCGAACGGTGCGGTACCTGATCTACCTCATCAGGGGTAAGGACGGTTTGCGGGATAAGGTTTGAGCCTATCGTTGATCAGAATCGACGTCGGAGCTTCACCATAGGTCAAAAGGTGTTGTTAAAGATGAGGAGCAAGATCTTTTTTGTCAAACATCGATTTTTGGAAAATCGCGCTTCCACGTCACCCCAGTTCTCACGGTTTTAAGGGAAGAAGAGGGGCACTTCCGTTTCAGCCTTTCACCAAACCACAGCCGTGTCAGGCGCTATGTTTGAGATGGGTGGACAAAGAACGAGCAGATATCCGGGGCATGGAGGTAGGATCGTTCTCTGCTGTAACCTGTTGATGAGGAGATCGACATTGACAAATGCATCATCTCATTCGTCTTATCTCCTGTCGGCAGATGGTAGCTGATAACGACACACGCGAGGCTGGTGATCACCGGATCACTATCCTACGCTACGTAATGAATGAATGAATGAATGAATGCGGCAGCCAGGGCCAGGTTGGCAGCGAGGCTGATGTTGCAACGAACTTGATGTCCGATGCCCAATGTTGCTTCTAATGGGGAACGAGTGCTTTACCCCATGTCCACGTCCCAAGCATGTCTTTGCTCGACGGACTGAAAGGGTATCTTGATCTCACGGCCAAAACGGTAAACAAGTAGAACTAACGTAACAAGAACCAACAAACAGCGGCTGCGGCGCTTGCGAAAGCCAAATAAACAAGCTGCGTATGGCAGCTGCGCAAGGCAAAAGGAGGATTGCAGCAAGGTGCAGCCGCTAAGCGCAGGAACATTCCAGTCGCGAGCTTTCAGTCAGGCTAGCTTGGAAGCAAAGGAAGTGTTAGGCAAGACACAAAAACAGATTTGAGCCACTAGGCTACTTTGCCTATCTGCAAGCGCACGGGCGTTGCAGAGGAACGGGAGATGTACAAATGTCTCGTCTTGAGAATGGCATGGCAGGTTACGCAACTACAGTAGCAGATCTGTCAGCCTGCCTGACCTGCTTGATGACGAGAGGGGAAGAGTGGTGTGGTGACACTCTTCGGAGCTGGGGAAGAGGGGAAGAGGAAGCTTTTTGCGGGGAAAGACAACACCAAGATGTTTAAAAAGGGTCGAGTGAATCAGAGAGCCAATGAGGAGTAACGACAGGAATAGTGACGGATGTAAAAGTTTCCGCTGCTGGCAGACCAGAATGCCACCGACTCGCAGCGCTAGCGATGCTCGTCATGAAGGATGGTTTGTTATAGTTTTTATCTTGGCCTTGGCTTTTTTTTTTATTTTTTTTTGCCTTTATGCTGGCTTGCTGTCAGCCTGCTGTAACAGCAACAGTGATGTTGACAACAGTTGATAATGATGTTGCGTTCATGCGACGCATCTGTCCTTTGTTCATTTCAAACTTCGAGAATCTGTGTGGAAGGCTGCTCTTCGGGCTCGCCTGCTGCCATTATCAACCGTGCGCACTGCGCCCGTCGTATGTAGGGATGAGATTTTCAGGCACAGTTCCAAAGAGCCTCGCCCTGAGAAGGCCTGGGTAACAGTGATGGCTGCAATGGACGGGCATCAAGGTCAGTGGCCAGCGGAGGAGTGACAGAGGTGACATTGGGCTGTCGGATAACGGCCCTGTTCTGGAAAGGGGATCTTTCCTCCCGCAGTTGTAGCCTAGGTTGGCCTGTCTTGGGGCACTTTGGGCCCATTGGCCCCCATCAAACCCCCACTTTTCTATCCATGACCCACTTCCCACTGTGTAATTACGGGTTAAGGCTTGGGCTCACGGCCCGATCTGTAAAAGTTTCAGGAACTGGAATGTCGCCTGCCAGAAGAGGTGAACGAGGTGACAAATGGGCATTGATGGACGATGAGAAAAGTGGAGGAGGGGCACATCGCGTGCCGAGCATCGGCTCACCTCACATATCAATCGCTTCGCGAGCATCTCACCGCCATTCAGCGCAGTTTTTATCACGATTGACATGCGACGCCATATGGAGTTGTGTTAGATGTTGCTTCCGAGACAGCGGGCAATTTTTGACGGCACAATGCCCACGTGTTGTTGTAAGCCGTGAGATGGATGGACTGGGGCTGGGCTGGGCCAAGCTGTTGGCGGCGTTGGCTGTCTGACAAATCCTGCGACTCGAGCCAGTCCCATTTGGGCGTTTCTTGCGCGGGCCTGAACCCCTCCCCCTCACTACGCACGCCTTTCCTCACCACCACAAAACACACAATGACGATGACTGGCCACAGCAACAGTGTGGCAGCTTGGCAGCTGTGTCTGTTAAGTACAAGACAGGCACAAGGACACAAGAACACAATCCCGCATCTTTCTTCCATGTGCACTTGATGCACAAGTGACGGTTATCTGCGACGCTACACTGCTACGTTGCCCTCACCTGTCTCTGCCCAGCCCCAGGCTTTTCCGGTTTTTGACAATGGGCAAATCCCGGTCACGTCACCCCAAGACGGGCTGTTAAGAGCTGCTGCAACTCTGCGAGGCATCGAGGCATTGCCTGCGACTTTCCCTCTTCCATGCCCGCCAGCTCTGGCAAGACAGTGTCGGTTCAGGTTGCATCGTCAACGTCTAGCCCGCCAGAATCGTGCTGTTCACTGTTGCAAGTGTGGCCGTTGTGGGTCATGCCCATCCCACTCGGACTTTGAATCGCATTTTTCGAGAAGCAAGTGCCCTGATGCCCCAGATCCCGTCATCTCAGCCGATGCCATTCCGAGATACGGATCGCGACCAGGGATTTTGGTTTTTTTTTTGTTTTTTTCCATTTGTCTTGCCTTCACTCAGATGTGTCTCAGCCTCAACGGCCTCGTGCCAGCCATTGCCCAGTCAATTAGGCCTGTAGCCCTCCCTCAGCTGCAAGCTCTTTGTGCCTATGCATCTTGAACTTGCTAGCCCATGTAAGTATAGGTATAGTGCACATAACCACCAGAGAAAGAAAAACGAGGGGCATCCATTCCCAGAACTGGTCAGCCCAGTGCCCAGCCCCACAGGGAGCAAGGCAAGCTCGGCATCCAAGCCAGGCCCAACTGCGGCCTACTCTTTTCGGTAGCTCCTAGGCTTAGCTCTAGAGACGGCTTTTACAAGTACAAGGGCCAGCCCCATGGGGGTGTATCTCTCCCGACCCGTCATCGATGCGATGATATCAGCTTTTTAAGGAGAATGGCTCGGCACATTTCCCTTGCTCTTGTATAACCTCACCATCCTCTCCCGAGTGACCCCCATCTTTAATCTTCGAGAGGTTTGGTTTTACATTTGGGATCTTTCCCCTTTCTTGATTTAGTCGCGGGACTTCACAGTGACAGTCTGGCCCGCCCATCTTGTCTTGCGGTTTCGTCTTATTCTTCGGGTCCTTTTCGTTGAAGATAACCCCTGCGAAGGCTTTGACCTCGGGCCCATGTTTGTCCAGCCTCGGCGACTGTGTGTGTTGGACCATTCATTGCTTTGAATTGAACTGTCATAAAGTTGGTTGTTCCCCCTCAGTCATCTGAGTACTCTCGTCTTCCCCAACCAGGCCGCCCAAGATGGCCGCCTAGTCTCGGACATGTCTTTTTTTTTTGCACCCCGCGTCTTGATAAGATCCTCTGAGACCATATCTCCCGGGGATGCACAATGACCCCGAGAGCCCTGTTGGCGCTGGTGTGCGCGGCAGTGCTTGTATGTCGCCTCGAAGCTCGACCGTCCAGGTTGGATGTCACTTATAACCCGGTTCACCGTGCCAGGAGCCCGGATGAATCCATTGTCGAGGCCCAATTGATCCGAGAACTGCTACTTACTTGGCTCTTTCCTCGTCCTACCACAACGACGACGACGACGCTGACCGTCTTACATCCAGACCCTACTAGTTTTTCTCTACCTGTCATTACGGTATTTGAAGGGGGTATCGAGACGGCCACTGTTTCCTCATCCGATATTCCAAATACAGCTACATTCTCACCCGAGAGTGTCCTTGAACCCGTACCTTTAAGCACTGGAACTTCGACGACGCTCGGCATCCCTAACGGGAACCCGTCCAGCGAGGTTGTCCGGACCGCGACTATGCCCGCGGACATACCGACCACCTCAGAACTACCAGGCTCAGAAGACAACACCACCAGCAGCGCTGATCTTTCAACCCCCGACGATGGAAGCAGCAGCAACAAGAAGATTCTAATCATTACCCTCAGCACTGTGCTGCCGGTGGTGGCGTTGGTCCTGCTCTGCTCTCTCCTATACTACTTCCGCTCTCGCAGGAGACACCACCAGTCCCTCAACGGCCGGAACCCCTTCTTCCGCCGCGGCGTCTCCCCCATCGACGACGAGGAAATAGCTACCTGGAAAGCTCCCCGTAATGAGAAGCATGCTTTCCATGGAGCCACCAGCGGCGCAGACACTGACCTCGAGGCCGACTCCGCCTTCGCGAAGGAAACCGGAGTTGCAAGCAGCAGCCCCCCGAACTCTTCCCACACCAAGAACCCTTCTACAGGATCGACGAAGAAGCCGCCAAGCGTGATAATCTACTCGCGTCCTTCGCTTGACCATCCTTCACCTTACTCGGCACTCGATAAGCTCAGCTTCGAGAAAAACCTCCCCGACACCCCCATTCTCGCTAAAGCCCCTAATGCGCGCATTGGGTTGACAGATGAGTCTGTCCCCGGCGACGATCCTTACATCCCGCCTCCGAAGAGACAGCCGTCACGATTGTCGAAGGCTCCGCCCCCGTCTTACCAGCCACGAAGGAATGGAGGGCATGCGAGAGCAAGGAGTTCGAGGAGTAGCACGAGGAGTTTTGCCTCGGGGGGGATAGGCAACGATTTCTACAACAGCAACAACATCACATCCCCGGCGACGGCGCCCGGGTCAGAGACCGACCTCGCCAGCCCGATGTTTGGCATAGGAGGGCAGAGTCAAAGCCAGCCGCAGACGCCTAGGCAGTCGTGTGAGGGCCATGTGGTGCGGCCATCGAGGAGCTTTAGTCGCACAAGGTACCCCCAGAGGAGACATTCGCGGGTGTATTCTAGCTCGTCGGTGCCGCCTAGGGTGTCGTTGGGGGATGATGGCGTTGTGGGGGGGTTGAGCCCTCCTCCGGCTAGGGGGAGGAGTGGGACTGTTGGGGGGAAGATTTAAGTTTTGGCCAAGTGTAAAATGGCTGGTGGTTTACTGAGAGGTGATTGACCTTGAGCTCGAGTTTACGTCCTTTGAAGGATGAGAACTACACTATGGAGAGAGAGAGCGTCTGCTGGTAGGGACGCTGACGACGGCAGGCAGGATCTGGCATATCCATCGACGTTAACATGACAGCGCTATACGCCCTCCTGGAAGGCTGGATTCGATACCTACCGACAGACCGGTTCATCGGTTGAGGGCTGAACACCGATCTTGGGGCGACAGCACCCCCTGGATTGTACACTATCATCAGCACTACTTCCTTTTCTACTCTTCATTTTTTCTGACCAACGATCGGGTCAAGCACCCGGGTCAGAGCACAGCATACCACAGCAATCAAGCATATATGCATTGCTGCAGGACCCTCCGAAACAACTCCTAGCTTATTTCGTTTCGTTTCGATTTCCCTATTGCTATATTCAGTTTTGTTTTCCTTTGTTTTTCCTCTAGTTCTGTATTTTATGTCACCTACCTTTTCTGGCGTGCTTTCGGCTAGGTTGGCAGATTTTAGCGGTGGATATACCCCTGATTTTGATTAGGCATTTGAATGAAAGGAGGGTTTTGGAACTGGAACTTCCTGGATCTTTGCTCATTGTTGCTTGGTGTTTCTGTGTCTTGGGGATGAGTGAGATTGGGTATCTGTGCGCTTCCACTACCTGGGGCTAGGGTAGTGAAATTGATTCCGGAAGGTGGATGATGGATGCCTGGGATGGGAAGGTGTTGAGCTCAGCCGATCTCCAGCTTGACCTCAACACCGAGGGCCTGCATTACGGTTTGCGCCATGATAATGCCCCTTGCTTCTGCTACATCCTCTTATCATGCCATACACAGGGATTCACTATTCATGGTATCTCTTATCCTAGTCCTAGTCCTGTGTTGAGCAGGGAACAATACGAACAACGCAACTGTAGGCCAAAGCCCAGAACCATTCACCTCAACTTTAAGGCTTGAGCACAGTGGCGTTAATTTTGTTCTGTTTCGACGTTTTGGCGCACTTGCATCTGTACCCAAGTCCCTGTCATCAAACGGGAGATGTCCCGACGTTCAAACATGAAACATGCCCTGGTCTGGTGGACGAGGGAAGATCGGCTTTTGATCCCGTGTCCCCCCAGCACAAGACAGGGCTCTGATCCCGGGTTTGGGTGGCACGGGCTGGGGCGTGATCGAGCAATCATCCTGCCGCTGCCCGTTTGCGGGGACCCTGGCCGGGGGATCTTTCAAGGGCAGGGGTTTAAGGGATCTTCAGATGCCAAGATCTCCTCCCCCCCCCCTAAAAAAAAATAGAGAATAACCCTAACCCTTATCAAATCAATTAAGAAGCTTATCGCATTGATACGCGTCGAATTCACCACGGCGCGACGCTGAGCAACTGGACGGGCCGGAGGCGCGCCACAATTTCGTCCCGTCCCCGACTTCCCCACAAGGAGGTTGCTGCAGACAGAGGTACAGACCGCAATTCGACCTCACTTCTCTGCGTCTCGATTGTTGGTCTGAAGACCATCACGATAAAGAGCACTTGTAGGCCGAGGGATTGCGAATTGATGCGATCTCGAGCCTACCCGGTTAGAGATAGCGGAGCCGAACATTTACCTACACCCTCTCCTCGCTGTATCGACTACTTATACCCTGTCGACGACAGATTTTTCGATCCCCTCCTCCAAAAGCTACAACCCCATAAGCACCCATAAGAATCAAATTATCTTAGTCCGAACAATGCCCGCCCGCAAAAGTGACGCCCGCCGGTCTACCGGCGGCGATGCCTCTGTCGCGCGCTTCGTCCTTGCCGATGACGTTGCCGGCGCCGATACCTCCACGGCCTCAGAACCTGCTACCTCTTCTTCAACAGAGCCGAAACAGCTTTCGTCATCAACATCAGCAGAGCCAGCCGCTTCCTCGTCGGCAGGGCAGCCTGCGTCGGGGGCTCCGTTGTCAGAGGCGGGGAAGAAGGATAAGGAGAAGGATAAAGAGAAGGAGAAGGAGAAGGAGAAGGAGGTGATTACTATCGAGGTGTGTGTGTGCCCCTGTTGTTGTTGTGAATGGATATAGGGCATGTGCTGGATGTTGCAGGTTGGTTGTGACAAAAGGCTGACTGAAGCATGTCTAGGACTTGACATTACCCAAGTCCATCATCACCCGCCTGGCAAAGGGCGTTCTGCCGCCCAACACGCAGATACAGGCCAATGCAATCCTGGCGCTCACCAAGGGCACCACGGTGTTTATCAATCATCTTGCTAGCGCGTACGTTGGATGCCTTCTTCCATTTCCCATGTCAGGAGAAGGCAAGGGCTAACGGCTTTCCAGCGCAAACGAACACACAGTAGCAGCCGGCAAGAAAACCATCATGCCCGCCGACGTGTTCAAGGCGCTGGACGAGATCGAGTATGGCTTTATGAGGGAGAAGTTGGAGGCTGAGTTTGCCAGTGCGTCCCCCGTTCCCCTCCCCCATGCCGCTTACCCTCCTACCTGTCACATGCTTACCTCCCATGTAACAAACAGAATTCAGCCAAGTCCAATCCTCCAAACGCTCTGCCTACCGTAAGAAAGTGGCCGCTGCGAAGAAAGCTGCTTCCGGCACGGCCGCCGACGTGTCTATGATCAGCACGGCGACAGACGATGCGGGAGTCTCACAATACAATGGCGCTGCCGAGACTTCTGGTACCAAGTCGGTCTCAAAAGGCAGCAAATCCAGCAAATCTGCTTCAGGAGACGGTACACGAGCGGTAAAAAAAGCCCGTCTCGACCCTTCTGCTTCAGTGGATTCGTCCAAGATGGATGTGGACGATGGTGATGAGGGGGGTGAGGACGAGGATATGTCGGATGTGGGGACAGTGGAGGATGATGATCAACCTGAGGAGGAGGAGGAAGAGGAGGAGGAGGAGGAGGAGGAGGAGGAGGAGGATGTTGGGGAAGAAGAGGAGGAAGAAGAAGAGGAGGAAGAGGAAGAGGAGAAGGATGAGCTGGAAGAGAGGGAGGAACGGGAGGATAGGGATGAGGCGTTGGATGATGGGGATGAGAGTGACTAGGGGAACGGAGGTTTATCTGAGGAAGGGGGAATCTTGAAGTGTCCTTTAGGAGAGGACATGAGGGGAATGGCATATATCTGGGCTGGTAAGGTGGAGTTAAACGAATGTTTATCTACTGTACGTGGGGCGCGGGGATTTGACGAATGTAGACAATGGGTCGCGGGAAAAGTATACGGACATATCATGCTAAGAATAATACAATGAAGGTTTAATGACATTATCCAAGAATCGTTGGTGATTCCATCGGATTCGACTCTTGTGGCCTGCTGTGGACTTGATTTTTGTGAGAGGATGGAGGCATCAAGGGGAGGGGTCACAAGAGAGCCAAGCTTTCCCGTGAGAGTACGTCCTGGTTTGTGAACACAACGTCGGGATTGCCCAGGCCATTCGGCAACTTCAGCGACAACAGCAAGCACAACGAAGTGTTAAGCAGTATATTGTCCATCTGCCTGTGCCGCTTCCAGACCTCGCCATTCAGGTCATCGTCGCCAAGTCCTTCAAAGTGACATAGCTAGGTACGTTAACACTAAAATAGGAAAACCCACTCAAGACTATCTTATTATAAGTTTTGTTCTTACCTACAGATGTTCAAAAGGCACAAGTTAGCTATGTGTTGGTGTCAATAAAAAAGCGCCTGGCGAGTGTGATGAAAACTTCGCGACTTATGTTGCCAAAAATTCCTAAACAACCCAGCATTTTGAAAGGAGATAGAATCTACAATATCCCATAGTCCAAAGGGAAGGAGTCAGCTCACCCGGCTCACCTACCGAAGTTAGGATGAAAGCGAGAAAGGGTAAAAAACACTGCAAAAAAAAAAATAACCGGGAACAAACTCACCTTATCCTGTCAACAAACATTACACTTCCACACCCTGCCTGTTGCCCATTTCAAGTAGGATGAATCCAGCTCTCTGAGTCTCCTACCCTCCAACTGTTACTATCAGCCCGGCGTTATGCTGATTATAAATACAAGGTGTGCAAAGAGCTGTTTTCATACAGAGTTGGTTATCGACTTCTTTGATCGGACCCATTTTACGCTGCATCTTCCTCTACCTGTCGACTACTAAGCAATGGAGGGGAACCGGCTTCAGGCCTAAACAAACTCGCACAAGGCCATCCCTGCATCACGGCGTAGCCTATCATTCCCTTGCCTCGGAACGGTCATTGCACTGGTCTGAAGCAGGAAGATAAGCACACCATTGGGCATTCGCGACGCTCAAAACAGCTAAGATAGTCGACCACTCAGGTTAAATGCAATGTTGCTTTGTGCTCTAGATACATTCTTACCTCAGGGCAGATTCCCTTTTCTGCTTCGAAAAACTGCCTATTTCATAAGCAGACGCACCACACTTCACAACTGCATGAGGCCACAAATTCTCCAAACCCAAAGTATATTGCCAATCCACCCTAACCACTCTCTCTACATATCTTACACAGCCACAAAACCCAACTGCCTCTCCAACGAAGCTCCAACATCCCTTAACAAGTCACCAAGACCAAACCCAACTACATCTCCTTCGACTACCCCTGCAAGTGATGATGCTGATGCTAACCAACCCTTTCCAGAACCCAATCCCAAGTCTAGATCCATCCCAAGCAGGCCGAGATCGAGCACCCCGTGACCAAGTCCATACCCAAACGTGCCGGTAGATGCTGTCGTCACCCCGTTCAAGCGATTCCCAAATCCAGAACCGAGTTCCTCCCAAGAAGTTGACAACCCCCAAATGGCCGCGCGGCTGGCAAGTCCCTTCACCACCGTAACCGAAGGAGAAGGTGTCGGGGTGGAAGAAAAAGCAGCCGCAGAAGGGGAAGAAGCCGAATGGAAAGAGGAGGGAAACGAAAAGTAAGGAGAAACAGGCAGTGAAGAGACCAACCAAACTGCGCTCCCAAACCCCAGCACAAACCCCACGATGACGGCGAGAAGTACCACGCAGGCGACGGTCCATACCGACGGACCATTGCCTCCATGGTAATCCTTCCTCCCGTGGCTAGACTCTTGATCTTGATCCTTATCATCGTCGTTGGTGGGGTCGTCATACCAAGGAGGAAACCACGCCACCCTGCCCCCGGGCATTGCCCCCTCCCAACCTCCCGATTGAGGAGCAAACCCCAAATGGGGAAGCCACCACCCGGGTCCCGAGGGACGGAAGGAGAGACGGCCTAGGCGCATGAAGAAGAGGTTGTCGGGGTGGGTGACTGTGGGGGCGTCGGGACGGGGGCAGGTGAGGACAGTGGCGTGGGGAGGAGGAGTCGAGGGGGTGGATTCGATTCTTTGGGGGATGGGTTAGGGGTCGGTTCTGGTTCTGGAATGGCTATGGACTAAGGGGGGCTAGAAATGGGGATGGGGTCCGTGGAAAGTTGGTCGTTTATTGACTTGGGGGAAAGTCAGCCTGACACTCATATACACCGAGGGGTGTGAAGGCTGATTTTTGATTGGGTCGTGCAATGGCTTTCGAGGACAGGGAGAACTTACAGAAGCGTCAGGCTAACGTCACCCTGTAGGCGAGCCTTGAGCTCGACCTCGACATCGAGGTTCAGCCCGAGCTGCAGGCGCACTGGCTTGGTATCGGCCAACCGGGGCAAGATGGACGGGGTCGGGAGCGCGCCCATGCCGGCCTGGGCCAGCTGGTTGTTCTTGTTGCGCCTGCGGCGGCGGCCGCGCGAGTCGACAGACGAGGCCTCAGAGGCAGAGTCATCGAGCTGGAGTTTCCGGGGGCACGTCAGGATTACTTCTCTCTTCACTAACTCACTGATAGGGAAAAGAAGGGGGGGGAGTGGGGGAAGAGCTTAGGAGGAAGGCAGGATGAGAGAGGCTTCATCTTTGATGACAGATGAAGAAGTTCATCCAGAGGTGTATGAGTGTGGCAGAGAGGCGCTCATGGAAGACGGAATGTCATTACCTGGCGGCGCAAGTCAGCAATAATCTTCTCCTTGTCCACCTGCGCCGGCATGGGCACCGGCGGGCGGGGGTTGCTGGGGAGGCTGGAAAGGGGCACAACCTTAGGGAGGATGGGGTTGGGGTTCGCCATTTTGTCTAGAGTGTCTTGTAGCTCTTGGGTGAGATGCTCAAGCTGCTGGTGGATGGTGATGTAAGTCACCGACTGCAGGAGCGACCGATTGCTTTGCGCAAAGAAGACGGGCGGCCGACGCTTGCGGTTGAGGGCGTCCTGGACGAGTCGGAGCGGACGGGCCTTGCTTGCAGAGGTGAAGACGGTGCGGGAGCCGGTACGCTTGTGGCCTCGCGGAGGCGACTGGCGACCAGGTTCTTGAGGAGGAGAGGAAGAAAGAAGAGGCTGTGTAGGTCTTAATGTACGCTCTTGCTGCTGCTCGGCACCAGGCGGAGCAGTGTTTGCTCGGGGACGAGAAGGAAAACTAACGGGCTGAGCTGCCGACGAAGTAGACGACGACGAACTTGAGACTTGGACCGGGAGCCGAAAGACTAGCGGAACCGGTTTCCTAGGGACGTCCGAGCCCGAGGCAGGGAAAGTCGAAGTCCGACGGTGCGAGTACCGGTAATAAGAATTACCACTAGAGTAGGGGGCCGGCGAGTACGACCGCGCGGGGGTGTTGTCGTCGGGCCGCTTTACGGGGAGCCGAGGAAAGGCACAGAAGAATGAAGCCCTCTGGGACTTGGCCGAAGAGCGGTCCGCGCCAGGGGGTGCAACAAGAGCGAGTTGTTGTTGAGAGGAAGTTGTGAACGACTCACGGGCTGCCAGAGCCGTGATATCAATTGCAAGATTAGGGCGGCGGGCTTGGAGTAGGAAGCGGCTGCTTGGTGAAGAGCGGGAGACGGCATCAAAAGCCCGGTGGGATAGTCGTATATATACATGATTGCTGGTCCGCGGACGGCGATGAAAATGTGCATCCAAACCGGGGGTTGACTGTCGTTGACGGCCCCTCGGATCGCCCGGCGCAACACCCCCTGAGCAAGACAAGATGCCCCCGGCTCAGCAGCGAAACACTCTCGCTGTACCCATCAGCCCATCGCCGAGCCCCGAGGCGTGTCCCTTGCCGCAGGGCACAGCTCCGTCTGTGCGATGCGATGCTGCCGTCGGGACCAGCCCATCGGCTCTTAGGGTTCAAGGTCGAGATGTGGTGAAGCTCAGGGGTGTCACGTGATAATGGATCCGCGCCTATGTTACATCTTCAAGGTGAGCGGCGAATTCCCCAGACAGCACACAGACCCTCTGATAAGCTCAACTCGTACGATGTGCACTGCCGATGCCACTGTCCTTCGCCCACAACACCCACAACTTGAAACATTGAACCCTTCGAACCCCAGACTGCCCAAGGACAAAACTCAACCAAACACTGACCCGTCCGGCAGCGAATCAGATGCTGCCGTCACGGACCCCATGGAGCCATTCCACCCGTAAAATCGAATGTTTTCTATCCACTTTTAGACAGTTGCGACTCCAACGTCCCGTCTCTGCATCTTGCCTCTCCAAGTCTAAAGCTTCTAGATCGCTTCTTTCGCTTTGTTCTTAACAGGCTGTCTCTTTCAGACCCAACACCGATGCAACAAACACGATGATGCAATACAGTCCTCATCGCAGATCCCCCTTCCCCAGCCGTTTGTTAACAGCGTCTAGACTCGCGCGTTCTCGTCGCGATGGCGGCAGATGGAACTCAAAGCGCAGCTCCAACTCCAGATCGTATCGCAGCATCGCGCCATTTGCTTACTCAGTTTGCCCGAGCAGTCCCTGTCAACGCTTCGTCCTATCTCAGTCCCAGATAAACCCTTCTCGAGAAATGTTTTAGCCCAGATGCAATGTACCCTCTTGTCTGTCTTGTCGTCTCTTTTTGATGATGAAATCAGATGAGACCGAAGCTCGCGCGTGTGTGGAAAGCGTTAATCCAAACGTCGAGATGTTGCAGATGAGCCAAGTCGGGCGGACGGCGATTTTCAGGTGAAATCTGGATTATTCTCAACGTTTCACTTAGAGGCTCCGAGCGGACTAAGACGCTCAGGCGAAGTATGCGCGTGCATTTGTCCGCACAGAAACACTACCATACCTAGTCTATCCGTAATCCGTACATGCCGGCCGTTGATGGAGCCCGGCCTTCTCGGCCCTCCGGCTTGGCCCGGCCGTCGCCGGCGCCGGCGTCCGGGCTCCGCATCTAGCAGGCCACTTTTTGTAGATCTACACAACAAACGAAAACGTTTCTCAACCATATCACGTTATCTAACCGTTCAACTACTCAGCAAATCCTTGACACTCAATCCTCTTGTTTGTCCTCCGCCATTACTACTGTTCCGGTCTTCCCGGTTGAGCATCAACAATGCCGCGGTGGCCGCCTGCTGCTCATCCACCTCTTTCTGGTCGAGTTGTGGTAGCAATGCTGGGCTTATCAGCACCGCGCTTAGCCTCCTGTTGTCCGAGTATGGACCGGAAGATTTCGTGGAGCATGGTTGTGGCTGTGTAGGGCCAAAGCGAGGTGATGTGTAAGATGGCGTTGTGTATCCTGCCGTGCTCTCATTGGGGCTCGGCCCGGCGGCTGTTGAGCATAAGCCGTAGTAGTCTGATGATATGGATGAGCATGAGTAATGGCGGCCGTGCAAGTCCTGGGGCCCCAGTGCTGGGGAAATGGATGGTTGGTGAACTTGAGCCGGCATAGGCGTGAACTCCGGTGATGCCGTAGACAAAACCGCCCCTGCCATGTCTACCTCTGGACAGGAGACATCTATTGATGATGGACGGCTGGTAGAGGGATGTGCTGAGGTTGGCGATGGCAAGCTCCCCGTTGACTCTGCTGAGGAGACCTGGGCCTTGAGCTTAGCCACGCAGTCTTCCAGATACCTGACATACTCAATTGCGGCCTGGAAGATGTCAGTATAGACCCAACACGGACACCTTAAGAGAAACCCAACCTGAAGAATAGCCAGCTTGTGCATATCCCCCTTGCACGCGGGTATCAAACTCTTCAAGACGGCAAACTCCTCATTCATCTTAGACCGACGCCGGCGCTCAATGATGCTGTGGGCCGTTTTCCTAGAAATCTTCTTACTAGCCGCGCTGGTCGATGTCTGCTTGCGCTTCGTGCCAGTCTGGCTTGATTCTAAGCCCTCAATACCCTTTCCACTCTTCGGCCCGGACGTCTTCTCGGCGGCATTCCCCTCGCGCGGCTTCATCTGAATAATCTTCCTCTGCCGCGTGGGCGGCGGCGGCAGCTCAAACGGGTCCTTGGGGGTACTGTTTGCGACGGACGATCGCCGGCGTACCTTGGTCGTCTCGCTCGGTTGGGTAAAGGCGGGAAAACCAGTCATTTTTTGGCTTAAACTCAGACTATCAGACGGAACAGCCGGGGGTGGCAGCTCGAGCTGGAACTCTGTCATCAGAGGGCCGTCCTGAGCCTTGATGTCTGTGGACGATGCTGGTGTGGGAAGAGAAGTCTTGCGAGGCATCTTGTTAACTTGTCGAGCACCTAGCTCAGTTGATAAAGCAGGATGTGGTTCCTTTGATACCGATACTCTGATAGCGAGCAGCACCCCGAAATTTGCATCCCCAATCACTGAGAAGGACACACGCAAAGTGGCGTGGTTCTGGCTCTGGCTCTGACGGTTAAAGCACCCGGCTTGGCCCAAACGGCGAAAGGAGGAGGGGAACGATGAGTGTCTGAGAGCTGGAGCAGGCAAAAGCAGGATAGAACGGAGCAGGCAAAAGCAGGATAGAACAGAGCAGTCACAGTGAGTGATTGTGGCAGGTCGGGAAGGTCGCACGGCAGTGCCGGGGGGAGGGGGGGGGAAGCGGTTCCGAAGTTATTGGTTGTCCAGGGTGTTTTAAGAAAAAGGGAAAATCAGGTCACGGAGGTTGCAAATGTGATGACATGAGGCCAACCTGGACCAGGGAGAGAGCAGACTGCAGGGAAGACAGGGAGCTGTGAGAATCTCAATATCCGTGTCTAGCCTCTTGAAATGATGGGCGGGCACCGTGATGGACACTCACGACCACGGTTGATGGATGGGATACCACATTTTGCAGGGCCGGCATGCACAAGGCGTCCACTCACTTACAAGGCACAGTACGACTAGCAGCAGTATTCCAGAGAACCTTGCTTGCCCACAGCAGGTCTGGTTTGCCCACAGTGACAGGCACAGAGACAGCATCGGCAGTCGCGTGCTCGCGCTCTCCTCTGAGGAAGGCACATGGTGCGATGTGGCCCGCTGATTCGTCAGGGGTTAGACTCCCAGCACGGCAGCTGTCGGACACTACAATATATTGATTTTATATGGCGAGGATCCATCCAAGACTGACCTGCCTTTTGTGTAGTACGATCGTCAATCTGGGTCTTGGCGGTTCGGACGTGCCCCCGCTGTTCCACCTATGCTTCCTCTTTTCTACCCAAACCTGCCACAAGCAGCACGACAGCTTCCTCCAACGGCCGCGAGCCCTGCGCCCACGCCGCGCCAGACCCTCTTTTCGGAAGAAGTTGGGCACGCGATCTCAGCCAATGCTTTGCTCACGCACCGCTACTCGGTAACAAACCGGCGTGGCGTCCCATCTCGGGAGCTATACCCGAGGAGCCTCATGTTCCGTGGTTTTACAATATCCCCGATGACGAGTTTGTCTGAATCTGAACGTACACATGCTAAATCAAAATCCAGGCCTTCACACATAGTGATTGGAATACACACTTATGCTAACCAATGCCAGCGTCATACCCTCATGTCCTCCCAGCCCATCAAGGTCCTCATCGAGAACCTTGCTGGCCACGCGGTGTCTCAGCCAGGCAGGTGACCATCCCACGTCCAGCCCGTCCTGGAAATTCCATTACAGCATCAATCATCACTTAGCTCCCTTCATCCTCTCCTCTCACACCTCATTACTCGGATAAGCCACCGTCCTCGAAGCGCCAAACTCCTCCTTGATACTCCGCATGCTCACAAACCGGCTCACGATCGCCGCACTGCCCGCCTTATCATTCGTCCCACTCGCCCGGCTACCGCCAAACGGCTGCTGCCCGACCACGGCTCCCGTGCTCTTGCAATTGATGTAGAAATTGCCCGCCGCATTGCGCAACTTCTCCTCCGCAAACCGGATCGCCGCCCGATCTGCTGCAAAAACTGAGCCAGTAAGACCGTACTCGCTGGTCGAGTTGACCAGGTCGCACACCTGGCTAAACGCCTCGACCGGGTCGGCGCTTACGTCGTCGTACACCCACACGGCGAGGATCGGCCCAAAGAACTCCGTCTTGAAGATCTCATGGTCGGGGCGCTTGGCCAGGTAGATCGTCGGCCGAACGAAGTAGCCCTTGGACCCATCATACGTTCCGCCGGTGAGTAGTACCAGCTCGGGGTCCTTATTCGCCTTGTCAATCACACCCGCCAGCTTGTTGAATGACGCCTCATGGATCACCGGCCCCATCATATGCTCATGCTCCCAGGGCGCTCCGACTGTCAACTTCTCTGTCTCCTGCACCAACCTCTCCTTGAACTTTGGCCAAATCGACCTCGGCACATACAACCTCGACGTCGCGCTGCACTTCTGTCCCTGGTACTCAAACGCGCCCCTGACCGTATGCACGACCGCATTTTCCACATCGGCTGACGCATGCACCAAATGGAAATTCTTCCCTCCTGTCTCTCCCACAATCCTGGGATACGACGCATACCTGCCTTCCGCAACCCCCTCCCCGATCTGCCCGAATAACTTCCTAAACACTGCCGTGCTTCCCGTATAATGCAGCGCCGCAAACTGCCGGTGCGCGAGCACCTCCCTCGTCACCTCCTCCGGGTCACCGGGAACGAACTGAATCACATTCCTCGGCAACCCGGCCTCCAGCAAGATGTTATACAATAACCAATTGCTCGCAATCGCATAATCACTCGGCTTCCACACAACCACATTCCCCATCAGCGCCGGCACACCGGGCAGGTTCCCCGCTATCGCCGTGAAATTGAACGGGCTCACCGCGTACACGAACCCCTCCAGAGGGCGGTACTCAACCCGATTCCATACGCCCGGGGAATGGTGAACCGGCTGCTGGGCGTACAACTCCTCCGCGTACTGGACGTTGAACCGCAGGAAATCGCACAACTCTGCCGCGGCATCGATCTCGGCTTGCCATGCGTTCTTGCCCTGGCCGAGCATCGTCGCGGCCATCAGGTCGTAGCGGTATTTGGTGCTGATTAAGTCGGCCGCTTTGAGGAAGACTGCGGCGCGGTCGGCGAAAGGGAGAGTTTCCCAGTCCGTCTTTGCAGAAAGGGCGGCATCGATAGCTTCACGGACGTGTTGTGAAGATGCCTTGCTGTAGACGGCGATGGGGGAGCCGGTGTGGTCCGAGGGGTTGAGTTGCGTGCCAGTGGTGGGGGTTTTGATCTACACGGGCGGGACTGTCAGCTTCCGTTCGTTCATTCAAGGAACAGAGAAGATGGAAGAGGAAGGTTTGTAGGTAAGTTGGAAGCAGGTCTAGAGGGAGTGTACCTCTTTCCCGCCGATGACAAGTGGCACCTCGAGGGGCACTTTTTGGCGTAGGCTTTCGATTGCAGCAGTCAAGCCGGCGCGTTGGGCGGAGCCTTTGGCGTAGTGGTGCTGTTTGGAGACAGTTGTCAGTGCATCCGCTGTTTGATGGCGATCAACTTGAGGTAGGTTGTAGGAGTGTAGACGTACGTTCGGCTCGTTGACCACCTTCGGTACCTTGAAGGATGCAAGTGTCGACGCCATCCTTCTTGTTGTTGTGCTTGAGAGCGGTCTTCTTACAGAGTTGGATGTTGTTGATGTCGAGAAGTATAGTCTGCTGCTGAAAGCTGCAATTGCTCTTCTGTTGCATGCAATGCCAGATGCTGTTGTCGACGATGATACGGAGGGCACAGCCCGAAGTTGACGTACCATCATCATCTTGAGTCCCCCCCAGAGCTCTTAAACCCCTTTAGTCCGATGTACAATAGCAGCACAGACAGTCGAACACACACACCAGAGGTAGGTCAGATGAATGGACGAGGGTTGGATGGCGGTTGGAATCGGCTTCTCAACAAACAAACCGCAAAAGGCAAACAAGCTTCAAGGTCAGGTGGTGTCGTGTGGCTATGCAATATACAGTTACAGCACTTGGCGACAATTTGATGAACGCGCAGCCGCCCCTCATCCGATCTATTGCCTTCAAGAAAAGCTCACTGCATTCCAAGCTTTTTTTTATATATGTACCAAGCAGGAAGCTCCATCCCGCCTCTTCCCAAGCTTCCTGCTCGACGCTGAGCTACAGAACCGAGTCGGGATCAGTCCCGATTGGCATCGCTTTCCACCGGCTTTACGCAACCCTTGACGCTGTCTGCGCGCTGGAGTTTTGCGTCATTGTGGATTCGAATCTCAGCTTATTGACCAATCAGCACCCGGGTTGCTGTTGAGAAGGGCCAGATTGGGAAGGATGTGCTGGTGTGGGGACAAGTCTTATCGGCTTATCGGTTTATCGGGCGCGGGCCTTTAGAAGCCGGGCGAAAGAGGGAGGAAGCTGGCTTTCTGTGGAGGGAGATCGCGGGGTCACGGGATCAGTGGTGAGAAGCTGCTGCAGACGGTAGCGAGGTGGGAGAGCTTTAGTTGAGCCGAGACTGGAGGTTATTTGTCAGGGGTTAGGGAGCTAGAACCGGGTCGTGGTTAGATCATCAGATCGAGGGCGGGTTTACGCGGTGTTGACGAGTTGCTTCAGACTCGGGTCAGCTGTGGATTGTGTAAAATTTCAACGGGAATGCTTCAGGAACGATAGGTTTTGTTCGGATCGCAGAAGGATGAAAGATACTGGTATCGGTGGTGACTTGAAAACAACGGCTTGGATCCTTGAAGTTTGCTGTTCTACTCCTCGAATTTGCATTGCATTGGCCAAAAAAAGAACAAAAAACATGATAGGTCTTGGATGGAGCATAGTGTAAGCGCTAGGTTGCTAGATGGAGCTGGGTTCTTCATATTACGTTCTCGAGAAATAATCTCCTCGAGGCTGATCATGTAAGGAGTTGTGTATAAACTAATTTCCCTCTAGATGGGCGGCTCTCACTCTACTAGTTGCTAAAGTCCAACCTAGGAAAGTGAACTTGCTCTCATGGACCCTTCTACGAAGCACAGTAAGGTTGGTTTGACGAGCTTGAGTTTTAGTGACTTGGATGCACAAAAGTAAAGCTACTGTCTCACAAGAAAGCAATCTCCCAGAGAAAAAAAAACCAATAATGGGCCCTAATTTTGTTTTCCTGCAGAAATAGTCACTAGCAAACCTATGAATCTCCTTGCCTGTCTATCTCAACAAGCCTCTAAATGCCTTCATCCTACATCTAATCGTCACCCATACCCTAGTATGTCTTCACCAACTCCATCTTAACTCCCCTCTTCCCTGTAGCCTCATCCTTCTGGTCCGACACCCTCACCCTAACCTTCTGGAACAACTCAACAGTAACCTCCCTGCTCCCCTTCGTCTTCAGCACATAATTCTCGGCATCATACTCCGCCTGGGGCTCCGGCTCCGCGAGATCCCTAAGCCGAATCAACCCTTCAATACCAAACCTCGGCACTAGCACCACAAACCCATTGCTAAATATCTTCATGACAAACCCATCCTCCTCTTCTGCCTTGCCCTTAAGTGCCTGGCCAACATAGTAGGCAATGCTAGCCCGACCCGCCAACTGCGCATTCCGATGCCTTACATTGATATTCTTGCACACAGCCTCCAACCTTCCCCTACTCCGCACACTAGGATCGATCGCCTCATACCCAATGGCAGCAGCCAGTTGCCGATGGGCAACAAGATCCGCATACCGACGGATGGGTGACGTGAAGTGGGTGTAAATCTCGCTCGCTAGACCGTAGTGCCTAAACTCCGGGTAGGCTTGCGTGCCTGAGCAGAAGTACTCAGCAGCCATCATGCACCGCGTGGCCATGATGCGCACGAGGGTGTTGAAGAAGGGCTCGTTGGGGTCGACGCAGCGGTCGAGGGAGTCGGCGAGCGCCTTAGAGGATTCGACGGAGAGCTCGAGGCCGCGTTTCACACGGAGCTGGTTGGCGAGCTCGTCGAAGTTGGTTTTGGGCGGCGCGGCGTGGCGACGGAGGATGGCTGTTTGGGGGAAGGCTTCGTATATCTTGCGCGCGACGCTGATGTTGGCGAGAAGCATGAATTCTTCTACGAGGGACATGGTTGGGAGGTGTTTCTTTGTCTTGATATCGATGGGATCGGAGGTTTCAGACTCCATGTGGATCTTGACTTCGGGGGAAGAGAGGCTCAACGCGCCGGCGTCCATGCGCTTTTGCTTCAGCTTGCGGGAAAGAGCCAGCAGCGTGCGGATGCTCTTGGTGAGATCGTCCTGGTATGACCCGTCGTCGACGCGCATCTGGGCTTGTTCGTAGCTGAAGGCTTCCCGGGACTTGATGACTGACTTGGTGAACCGAACGCTCACGATATCGGCGTCCGGTGTCAGCTCCCAGAGGACCGAGAAAGCATAGCGCTCCACGTAAGGCTTCAGCGAGCACAGGTCGGTACCTAGCAGGGTCGGAAGCATGTCGATACGCTTGTCGACCAGATAAACAGTAGTACCACGGATGCTGGCCTCCAGATCCATGGCATTATTAGGCCGGACAAAGTGCGACACATCGGCGATGTGCACGCCAACCTCGAAGTTGCCGTTGGGCAACGGCCTTGAGTGCAGCGCATCGTCGATATCCTGGCAACCAATAGGATCGATGCTACAAATAAGCAGATGCCGCAGGTCCTCTCTATCCCTCCATCCAGGATCGTTTTTGTCCTCAGGCACTCTCCAGTCGTGACCCTCCTTTGGAAGGCAGTCAAGCACAGTCTTGGGGAACGGCCGGTACTGGACGTCGTACTCGAGAAGCAATGCCTCCGTTTCGGCAGCATTGGTTTCCATCTCACCAAGTGACCGGATCAAGTGGCCAGTGGGATGGCGCGAGCTGCGGTCCCAGGCATCGATGGCCACAAGAATCCGCTTGCCAACCAATTCGGCGACCTGGCGAGTGCGCAAGCGGATCTTGGGAATCCTCCTATCCATGGGAATAACGAAGACGCTGTCCTGTTTGCGCCCTTGCTGTGCTGACTGGCTGATGGACGACTGGTCAATATGTCCAACATACTGGCGCCAGTTGCGCTTAATGACGCCGACTACGCGGGCTGTGGGCTGCGGGTGACCCTCAGTCGTTTTGCTGTGCATCCGCTTAACCTCTTCCTGCAGCGCCTTGCGCTCCTTCTCCGACACGAGATCGGTGCTCTCTTCGGCATCAGGGTTCTCGTTCTTCGTGATGGCCTCCTCCTCAATAACTTGCGTTGACGGCTCCTTCCACTGATCCTTAGGCAGCACCTCCACGACAACCAGATCGCCATCGATAGCGCGGTTGATGTTCTCGCGGCCCAAGATGAGCAACGGCTTCTGAAAAGCTGGAACACGGATAGAGCCCTCCAGGTAGTTGTATGGCGAGACGTTGAAAATGCCCTGGTGCAGCAGGCCGTTTTTGATACCAGTCATCATCTTTGACATGGAGTAGTACTCAGGATAGAGCATCTCATTAGGACGCTTCTCCTTGATTGTCTCCTCCTCCTCAGTAGCAGGGACCATGTCGAGAAGAGCGTCGCCGTCCGGCAACTGGCTGACATACTCGGCCAGCGAGCAAGCATGGATGCCCTCCTCCTTCGCCTTCCGCAGGTTCGCCCGGTCATTGCTTAGCATAACCACAGCCGGGACATTCTTCTTCCCAGTCTTCTTAAGATGCTCCGCGTACCAAGCGACAGCCTTCCGAACGGCACGGTCGTTGCGGTCATTGACAGACTCGCCCTCCAGGCGGGCGACATGGGTTTCGAAGCGGAACTCGTTGAAGAAGACATAAAAACGCTTATCCTCGCTCTTTGTCAGATTGATGAGGCGGTTGTACAGCGGCAGGGAGCGGTTGCGCAGCTCCTCCAGGACAACCTGCAGGACGATGACGTCGTAGAAGGCCGCACTCGACTCGAACAGGTCCATGGCTGTCAGGAAGGCATTGGTATCCGGCACCAGGTAATGGCCCTGGGGGAAGGCCTTAGTACCGGCGGGCTGGTCGGACAGCACGAACGGAGCGACTAGGAGAGGAGGTCAGATCATGAAATCAGGAACAGATGGCTCATCACACGCGCGATGGTCTCAGGGATGGTGAGCTCACTTCGGCCTTGGGCATCTCTGGGCGCGCCCGTGATGCAGGACTTGCACAACTTGGATGAGCAAGGAATGTCTGTCCGCAGGTAGACTTCGCGGACAATCTTCTGGACCTTGCCGCTCTTAGTCGATCTCACATACACTTTGCTCGAGATGTTGGCCGCCAACGGGTCTGACTCGAGAGATCTCTTGAGGCTGGCCATTTTTGTTCGTCCTTTATTATGCTGATTTTTTTAAAAAATGGTGTCGGCAGTCTAAGACCTTATAAGTATCCCAGAAAGCTAAATCAGCTTTGTTGGCCTGCCTGAGACCTGCTTCATGAATCGAAGTTGTGAGCTGGTGATTTTTGAGGTGCAGTCGTCAAACTTCAGAATGAAGTCTTGGCAACTATTTGATGCCCCACTCCCCATGGCTCTTATCTTATCATGAAAGGAGCATTGTTATCGATAAAGCTGGTACCTAATCGCTCTGCTTTTCGGAAGCTGTTCTCACACTCCACCAAGTGTTTGCGTTTGTACGACTGATTTCTCTCAATGGCTTGTGCTGTATAACTTTGTAGTCCGAATATTGGTCGGATTCTATTTCTCTGCCATCAATTTCGTGGCTATACTTCCCTGGTCGTGTTAAAACATGGCAGTTGGTAGTTGAGTCTCAGCTCGTGTTACAAGAGCCACAAACTGCTCTCCCGACAGCGATGAAGTGTCTCGCAGGACACGATTTTTCCCTCTTCAGTATTCTTCTCGCCAACAAAACGAGGCGTCCATAGACGCGCACTACGCGCATTATTGCACAGCATCATCACCAACACAGTCTCCGTCGGCTTTATCGACGAAGAATATATCCAACCATCCATGTAAGCTATCTCGACATCCCGTGCGGCGACGTCACCAGTCTTTTCAATCTATCATATATGCTGGATAGACCGGGGCTGGCCGCGAGCAGCCAAACAATCTACATCCTTTGTCTTGTGCGACGGGCGCCGCTGCAGCGCTGCGCCCTGTGTTCCTGTCGTCCTCTGGTCAGGAAGTGTATGAGTGGATAGACGAGCGTTGAGTGTCCATCCGCGGCAGTGGTGAGTGGGTAATGGCAGTCCGTTACTGGTGTCGTCCACCGGTACCAGCGAGCAGGCGTATCCGAGGAGAGGGGAGCTTTGACGCATGAAGGCAGGTAGGTAGGCTAACATTGGATGGGTGGATGGGGGTTAACCACTACAGGATTTCTCACTTTTACTATTAAGCTATTTTTGGCGAATGGCGAAGCGCTACCTACGGATATCACCCATCATGTCTAGCATTTACAGGACGGGTATGTAGGCAATTGCGTACAGAGTAGACAGTAGTAAGGGCTTGACTTGTCCCAAGATCTGAGGACAAGCGAGCGTGGGTTCTCATAATCTGGCAAAATGCGCCGGGTGAATAGGTTGTGTATCATCTGACAGACGCTGCTCATGACCACTGCAGCAAGCTACAGTTGGCCGTGATCGAGAGCATCAAGTCAGACTTACGTCTCAAATACTCAGCAAACTGAATGTGACGACAGCCTCAGGAGCAAAGGCGAGCTTCGAAGCCACCACTCAACAGACAAGTTGAGAGTCCAGAAGCATTCCGTCAGCTTAGCTTAGCTTCCTTCCATCAGCCCCATACGCAGTGACGATACCGTTTCCATCCACAAACATCACTCGATGAGTGAGCCAAAATCAGCCAGTTCTTGTGCCATTTCCTCCATTGCGAAAGCCAACAGGCCCGAAGAATGGGAGTACAGAAGGCACAAGCGAAATCAGTGCACACAGAGGGCCAAGGCACAGCAGGAAGCCCAGTCAATCATTTGCAACAATACCTACTATGGGATGCTTTTGTGCGACTCATGGCGACCTGGTTCCTTTTTTCCCTTTCCTCGCCGTCGGAGACTTAAGCCAACCTGACAGGTAGGCAGCCAGGCATGCTCTCAGATTGCACGGCATCAAGCCCCTCTCTGTCATCAATTTGTGGATGCTCCCTGTGCCGCGGGAGGTGGACCCACCTACCCATCTGGTCTTGTTGCTTCTCTTGTGAGACGCGGGCTTGTAAAAGCTGCAGATGCTCTTTGATGACGGTGTGATTGAGGTTTGCACATCTGGGCGTGGATGTATGTAGCTGTAGACGGATTTTCTCCACATTCGAAGAGGATTGGTCAGCGATTGCGCTGGAGTTGCTGCCCCTGAGACGGTGCTGTCGTTAAAAATAAGGTTCCTGATTGTAGGCATAATGATGTGTGCAAGTTTTGGCGGTTCTTTCAGCTTACAGCTTCATAACCATGGGTCGCTGTTTTGTCTAATCGCCGAAAGATCACCATTATCATTCAGCTGGAACATGGTGGGAAGCAGTTCACGCAGAAGTCCGATCTGGCGCTTGCATGAAATTTGTTGAATACGCCCTAGTAGTCCCACCATTGCTTCCTGTCAAGATCAAGACCGGGTCCTGGGCCTCGATTTTACGAGTATCGAGAAGCATGGATGGATGGATGGATGGATGGATGGATGGATGGATGGATGGATGGATGGATGGCGTGTCGATCCACGGATCCAGGTCAGGTCGACAAGGGCTTACCGCATCCTTTCAGTGGGGGAATTGGATCGAAAACACAAGATGATGCTCCCATGAACTGCATAATGTAGTTCCAACAAAATATTGCGAACAGGGAGGGAAGAACTCGGAGTGTGCAAATGACGGCCCGGCAGATGGGCAGTGATGGAGGGTATCTTCTCCAGCCATTGGCCCAGGATTACCTCATGTTAAGGAAAATGGGTGTCAACTAGCGGATGACTTACATAGGACGTCCGCCAGTGCAGATGGAGAAGCGAGCGGTGTTGCGATGTGCGCTCGGTGGGTGGGCTAACCGTTCCGAAGGTTGGATGAGTTGGCTGGGCTGACTCACTCGCCTAGGCTGTTTCTTGGGCGTGACTAGCTGCAATACTACAGATCGATGCGTGATGGGCAGAAAAGGCTGAGGAGCCTTGCCATAGATGGATGGGGATTCTCGTGGGAGGAGATAGGCGCCTGTACCAGCAGCTGCATGAGCGGGAAGCCCCCGCACATGAGCGGACTCATAGAACGCTGCAAAATAACAGAAATAAGTGTGATTTAAGCGAGAGATCCCAGCTTGGGGATCGTGGAGAACTGCACGGTTGTTTAGTGTAGATTTTATCAAATATGGTTCGCCAACTCCCAGCTCTTGCCGGTACGCCACATCCAAGTGTGTTGTCAGGGGCGATACGGCCATCGTTTAGGATGTTCGGACCGCAACGACAGAAGGTACGAAGTATGTAACTTCATATCTAAATGCATGCCCCGGCCAGCTGTGTGCCTTAACCAGCAGGATCGCCAACGTTCCTAGGTCGCACATTGTGTTCTGCAGACTCGGGGTTATTCCTGATGTAGGTTTCAGACTCTCCTCGGTAGGCAAGTGGGCAATGCCATGTATGTGCAACATCACTCAGATACACACACAAAGAACACAGCAAGGATGGAAAAAAAAACCAGGTGTCGTTCAATAGCTGCTGAAATAGACTCTTAGATCTTGACAAAGGATGCCGACCGGCTCCCGGTTGAGAGGAACGACTGGAAACTTGGAAGCCTGAAAAATCAAGTGGGGAACAGCCCAGCGCCCCATTTTGAAGGGGTGTCTCCAACAAAGCCCCGAGGCGTGGACCCAAGATGGAAACCATGATTTGCATGTGCACCCGTCAGCTGTTTGGCACATTTGCAGCAACTCGACCAATAAAAGTGGAGTGCTGCTAGCCACCAAGTCCACCGGTTGATCGCTTTGCTCCATGCTTGGCCCACCGTCCCGTCCCCGGTCTATTTTTCTCCTTCGTCGTCGACGACGACAAGGGCCAGGATTACATCGCCCAGGTTGGTCCCCACTTCCCTTCCACCCCTCCTTCACGCGATGCAGTGCGATGCACGCTCCTTAAGCCTCCATCTTTTGATGTTACTGGTCTCTGCGTCATGATCGAATCCTGAACACTGACTGGTTCGTGTGAATCAATCACCGCATCCCTTGTCTATATCCTCCTGCGTAACTATGCCAGATACCGGTAGTTTAGTGACCCTCCATCATGATGACATGGGGTTCACACCACCTCTGCCCTCCCCTCCCCCAGACCTTTGGAGCCTTGCAGCAACATGGCGATTGCACCCACCCGCTCACACATACCTACTTAGATTTCTCCCGGTAAATGCTTCATGGAACCCATATGCATCACATGGCGTGGTGTTTCATCGCGTCAGACATTCTTGACCACAGTTCTGTCTTCTTAGATTAGATCTTGCGTGGGGTGTTTCTGAAGCTTTAGGGCTGAATTGAGTCTACGCACAAACTTCCTATCTGATTTATTGGAGCCTGATACACTTCTCAGTCAAATTATCTTCGTATCAAGAGCGGGGGAGTGGTTTGAGACTCGATTAAGCCTTTGGAGATTTGGACAAATGGAAACGAAGAAACAGACAAGCACAGCAGCAGTCTTGTGGATTGCCAAGATGGTCACACATGAGCAGGACAACCTGTGATTTGCTCAACGAAGCGATTGTGCAAGCGATAAACTCACAGGAATAGTTGCTGGAAATATCCATATTTGGATGCTGCAGTCTGGATCTAAGAAGTTTATCATAAGTTTTTAATGGGCAGCTAGTAGTGTATGAAATGAGCTATGCGCTATGGCACCCACCCTGCTCATCCAGCAGGGGAAGTCTGGGTCTTCGCTCGGCAAGTTCGGATCGCTAACCTCGACATCACCGTTGACATCAGCCTGGAGTGCTCGGCTGAGGAAAAAAGCTGCCCATGACTGCTGCAGGCAACTCAGCTGTGGCGTCATCCTCGATTACTACCAGCCATGCCAACTGACCAATCCGGTTGTCAAGAGTGAGACAATATTGGCAGCTGACAGTACGTTTCGTTGACTTCTTTCCTTCTTTGGATTTTTCTCTTGATATACGACATCGACATCGCCTCACGATACTCGAGTCCTTGACGCGATAAGAAAAACGAGGCAACGATGACATTCTTCGGCCTAGGGGTTGCGGGTGAAGATCAAACTGTAACTTAACTGAAGAGTGATTATTCATGTGATGGGAACACCAGAAGCGAATGTCGATCGGAGAGGTGAGGCCTGTATCACGCTTGCCACAAGCTGATTTCTTGTTTCGTTACTGTCGATGACGGGATCGAAAACGACTGGACGGTAAGCCTTTTCGTTCGCTTGGCAGGCAGGCAGGCTGCAAGGATATGCCACACCGGTTTTTGAGCATCTGTTTCCTTGTCGAGAAACTCACATTTGAAGAGTGAAGTAAAGCACCCGATAGGTTTAGCTTACGATCAAGGAGTCCCGTCGCGCTTGGATCCTAGAGTTGCATTCTTGGGTTTGCCCCCCTCCCTACCTAGGGAGTCTCCCAAGATCCGGATTACCTTCGACATGCAGCGGGCCCTTCCTATCAAGAGCTGCGCTTCGGTCTCAGCATGGTCGTATCGCCACTCTATTGGACGGGAAGACTGAGTTCGTTTGATTGAGATTGAAGACGTTTAACAGCCAGTTTGTCTCATAAGTTGTTAAAAGTCAAGATACTAGTTTCGACATTTTCGCCGAGAATAAAGGCAATGCTTCGGGTCAAAAGTTCCAAAAATCGGTCTTGTCGAGAAATAAAATTTTGGAACTTATCGGTCCGGGAAGCCGTGGTGTTCTGAGTCTTATATTCCATATCTTCCAATACAAGTGAAGCCTTACAACAGGATTATCCAAGCTTACGGATCGGTGCCACACTCTGCCAGTCCTGTACAATGCATCCATCCATGTACGGATACACTACCACACCTTCTAGCCTTGTGAGCTGCACTGCCCCCAGTGCGGGCTTTTGGGAGGGTCTGCTTCGGTTTGATCCGATGAGCGACTTCAGTGATCTGGGATGGAGGGCCGTCTCCCAAGGACTTGGGAATCCATAGCCACCCCCTCCCTCTCTCCCTTGCTCCTACAATAGGCTCAAGAACCAAGACCGAACCGTTGCTTCGCCGAATATTCACCTGACTGCTCAGCTGATGATGACGGATGACAAGTGGTTTAAGTGAAAAAGAATGACTGATAATTCCGGGGAAGACGGGATCCCGTCACCACAGAGGCGTAGCTTTGATTGGACTAAACCCTTCGTTGACACTGACAAAATTGGTCTCACTGCAGGATCAAGCTGTGTAAGCAGAAACGTTATACAGCAGGAGTGGACTAACAGCGGGCATTTTCCATCGAACAAAACTTGCGAACGCTGAAATCAAACTTGTGCTCTGTGGACAGTTGTTGACAACTCAACATCACAAAAAGTTTCCGCTGTGATCCGTCCTCCAAACCATTTTGTTATCGTGAAGATCAGCATCCCCGCAACCATTAGCGGGCCGGTAAGTGTGATTATTTGCTCAACCGTTTGCCCAGCATGAAACTGATCTGGGCCAAAGCAGAAAAAGATCCAACAGCCAGTCATGTTCCAGATCGGTCGGAATCATGAACCTGTGTTTGTGCTTTGCTTTCTTGGGTGCGGGGTGGGAACCTCGGCTCAGGGCACTGGTTCCCATAAGCCAAACAGGGGCAAGGCTCCGTTGAGCCCTGGGCGAAGCGGGCACATGTTTTAGAGATTCACCCTGCAGCGTGTCCACTTTCTGCCACACCCCATGGGGTGCAAGCTGTATCGCATTAGGCACCATGTTTTCACAAAACATGCTTTGATGGAAGTCTTAATGTTGGCAACATCATCTCGCATGTGCAGAATTGCCTATCAGGATGATCGCGTCTGCAAAACATCCAGATGACCCCTAAGGTTTTGACAGAACTGGTAAAGTTAGAGGTGTAGCCAGCCGTTCAAGATGGTCAATACAGGCGGCCTGCTCTCCATGTTACCTCAGCAGGTGTCTAACAACCCCGCGCGCGCAGAGACAGAGAACTGGCAGCGGATTTTCTCAGCCAAGTCTAACTGAGACTGGCATTCTGGGAACGCGCGCCACGGAAAGCTCTGTGCAGCAATCCCACGCGACGGCGTAGTACAGAGCGGTGGCGAAGGTCTTTGATAGGAGAGAAGACCTGGGACCAGATGCTTGGAGCGGCGCTGATGCTGGCGATCATTGATGACTGGCGCGACGACTCGGACAAAATCTGGTCCTACCGTCCCATCAAATTATGCGCGTTTCCCCTTACTATCTTCAACCCATGATTGTGTCAAATCTCATAGAAGAGACCAGATAGTGTAAAACAAGAAAAAAAAAACTCAGGGCATGGTGTTTGTGAGCCCCAAGGCGCCGACCAAAGCCGTAACGGTGATAAAGTCTCCGATCCGAATTGGTGCAGCCGCAGCTGGTGTCGAACGTCAACGTTGCGGCGGGTCCCTCTTAACTCTGGGCCACTCTGGGGCAGCGGACGGCGCCAAGACGTAGTCCAAATTTGGACTAGCGTGGGCCCCGCGCATTGCGTCTGCGCAGCATCCCCATTTACTGCGCGCGGAGACTGGGTCTAGGGTCTTTCGCTACTCATCAGTGCTGCTGCCGATGACTCTGGGCTGCCCTCTGAAGACACTCCCCTCGTGGCAAAAAGCAGCGACAAGTTCGTCTGTCTCTCGTCTGTTCAAAATCCAACGGAACGGTGGGACAGGACGAGGAGAACAGAGTCGAGGCTGGCAAAATCAAGAAGGCTTGGGCCCCCTTTATCCGTTCGCAAGCTGCAGCCGTTGATATCTCTCCTCTTACATACAACCTTACAACAAGAAGTTACAACCCTGCTCTTTCTCTCATCCTGATACTGATAGATTGATACGGCTTACTGATCGCGCGCCTCGTTGCCCTGCCTTGCCTGCGACGTGCAAGCCTCTACAATCTCTTTTAAATCAGTGGCAGCCCTCACGCAGTCGCAATCGCATCGCATCACAATCCCCAATCAGCCAGCGCAGACCACGGTTTACATTACAGCTTATCAAATATCGACAAGGGATCAATCAATCTGCCATTTCGTTCATTCGCCATTTCACATCCTTCTACCTTGTCTGATTTCCCCTGTCCTTCCCTTGCCTTACCTTCCCTGTCTGGCTGCTCGCCGTTGGGATTTGCGTGCGCCAGCCGGCCACCAACCACGGCCTGAAGCTCCCGTATGCACGGCCCTTCCCAGCCTGTTGCATCGCTCAGCAGAAGCAGCGGCAGCAGCAACAGCAGCAACAGCAACAACGAGCAGCACGCATTCCAGTGAAAGGTGACGGTCCAGTCCAGCCACAGTGACCGTCCCAGTTCCAAGGGGAAAAGCGGCAGTGGCACCGTGGAACGTCCTCATCAGTGAGCGACCTGAACGGCCACTCTCAGTACTGCGGCATACGGCACCGGCCTGACCTGACGTCCGTCACCCTGTTCCGCGGCCCACTCAGCCGAGCTCCAGGTTCCAGCCTGTTTCTGTTTCCGCTTGCAGCTTGCTTCCTACTGCCTCGTTTATATCAAGACACCGCGTTTCGCAGACCCACGACGCGCTCGTCGTCGTTGTCTTTGCTCTAGAGCATGTACGCTGCACCTCCCAACGGCGTTGAGGGTGCAACAATCAACCCTGCTGCTCTCAATTCGGCCGGTAAGTGACGTCTGAATATTATTTTTTTTTCTTTTTTAATTTCCGATTTCCGTTTGTTCGCAGCGCGCGGTTCAAGCAAGGGCTCTACGTGCGCGGGCGGGCGCTGGCAATCTGTATGCCCATCGCAGAGGGCGACAAGCGCTACCCCTCCCACCAAGAAACCAGCGCCAGCACCAAAAGAGCCCCAGCAAAAACGATCATGCCATCTGTCGGAATCGCGCGATGCACCCCGATCGTTGGGGCAGTTCCATCGAAATTCACGGGCAATGTCGATGTTTCAAATCTTCGCGCCTGTGGCCTTTTTTGGCCCATCTTGACGGCGCCCGCGCAGACTCGTTGCTTCGCTGATTGCGCACCACGCAATTGGTTATCAATTATCTGCGCCGCGCGTCTTTACCTTGCTTCTGTCCCTCTTTCTCGTCCTCAAAACCCCTCCATGCGCCCCATGCTAATGGCCGCGGCTCGCCCCACAAGATCCCCTAGCTCTCTCGCGAGGTCTGAAGCGCAGCCGCTCTCCCGACGACTTTGCGGACACAGGGCCCAACGGCCCAGCAGGTGATGACGGTATGTTGTGCTTCGTCTCTCTCGTTTCCCCCTCTTGTGTATCAGCATCATTCGAGCGTGTCGGGTCGACGATGTTCATGGATGCCCTGCGTTACGTGATCATCTTGTCGTTTCGATTCGTGCGACCGCCGCCGTGTATGACTGAACATCACACACTGACCAGAGAGGTGTTATCGTGCATGACGAACAGGTGGTGATAAGCCCAGGAAACGAGGAAGACCGATGAAGCCTCTACCATCCGGTACCGCGACGGCGTCGCTCCCGCCTGTGCCATCTGCCCCGCAAAACGCCCCCCCACAAACACCCCAGAATCAGAATGCCACGTTGCCCGTCCAGACTCCGTCGTCATACACGACGACAACTGCTCAGGCATCACCGCCTAAGCCGGCTCCTTCAAAGCCTTTGAAGGCCCTTCCGACCGTGCGCGACCACACTACCGACATCCTCGCTCCCAGCGGCGATGAGTACCTTGTGCGCGAGATTGACGAGGCCGGTGAGAAGAAGGTCCTTCCCAACGGTCAGCTGCTAGGAGGGCGTCAATACAAATGCCGCACGTTCTGTGTGCCGAACCGCGGAGACAAGCTGTTTATGCTCGCGACCGAGTGTGCTCGTGTCCTTGGCTATCGCGACTCGTACTTATTGTTCAATAAAAACAGGTCGCTGTACAAGATCATCGCAAACCAGGCCGAGAAAGACGATCTCGTCGCTCAGGAGATTCTGCCCTTTTCGTATCGCTCACGTCAGATCGCCATTGTGACCGCTCGCAGCATGTTCCGTCAGTTCGGAAGCCGCATGATCGTGAATGGCCGGAGAGTTCGGGACGACTACTGGGAGAGTAAGGCTCGGAAGCAGGGGTTCACCGAAGACGATCCGGCAGGCGAGAAACGGCCTGGAGCTTCGAGGGCGCGCGCGGCGGCCGAAGCAAGCCATGCTGCGTCGCTGATGGCCGCACCCCACGGAGAGATTGTGTATAGCACGAGCCAGTTTGGTCCCCAGCCGCCGCTCGTTCCCCCAGGTATGCTCGGAGGCCCGGCAACGACCCGACCATCCATGATAACACTAGGTCCAGATTACAGCGATACCCGCAGCCGGGACTACTCGAGCATTCTCAAGAACGGGCCAAGGCAGGAGATCACCGGGCCTCCCTACCAGGATCGCATCCAGCCCACTCCCTTGACCGAGCTGCATGCTCAAGCCCACCATGCTGCCGAGTTCAACCGCACGCTCAATCAGCAGCGCGAAATGCGCGCTGACTACATGAATAGCATCTGGCGGAGACCGCACGAGCAGCCCGTGCCGCCGGCCTTGCCTGCTCCCGTAAGCGCTCCCGACCCGGTCGTTCCCCCTGCCGTCCCGCCTAGCCGCACATCAGCGGCAACCCACACCTCTTCCCTCCAGCCGCCAGCCATACTCCCAAACCAGAGCCCACAGCTGATGATGACCGCCGCTCCCTACTCACAGTCCATCCATGCGCCGAACCCCGTCGCAAGCCAGGGTTCACTTAGAGCAGGTATGGCCCACCACCGCTCAGTGCCCCAAGCTACATTTCAGCAAGCAGCACGAGGACCAACACACCATTCCTCCGCGACAGGCTCGACGACTACTGCCTCGCTCGCGCCGGCTCCGGCCCCCGCCCAGCCGAATTACACGTACTCGCAGTCCGCAGCCGCAGCCCCGAACCAGATGTGGCCCCCCGCCCCTCAGACCCCACAGCACGGCGCCCCAGGCGCTGGCCCCGCTCCGGGTGCCCCGTCTCCGTACTCCGCTTATACGACCGCCCCGGCCCAGCCGCATCAGTCTACCCCCGGCAACGCCGGCGGGCCTGGCACTCCACAACTCCGTCACGGAAGTGCTCCCTCCGCTGCCGCGCCCGCTCCGGGCTCCAACCCTGCTCCCACGGGCGCACCTGCCCCTGGCCCATCGCCGCTCGCACCGTATTCTGGGTTGCCTGGCATGCCTGGACAGGGGTACGGGCCTGTGTACGGAGCTGAGCAGACACCTAGGGGGTACATGCATCATCAGACGTGGAATACTGGGCCGGGTCAGGGTCAAGGACAGCAGAATCAGCAGCAGGGACAGCAGCAACCGGGGCAGCAGGGTCAGGGGCAGGGGCAGCAGACACAGCCCCAGCCTGCGGCTGTGGCGGCGGGGGGTTGGTGGGGTGGGCAAGGGCAGTGATGAGTGCTGTTAAGAGTTGATAACGTTGCTTTGCTTTAAGAGGCGTGCTTGAGGTTGCCCATCAATGCCACAAGCCCTCTCTTCGGCCTTGGTTGCTGACCATTCGTGGTTCTATCTATTCTGGGGAAATTCTCTCTTCAATCTCATTTCCTCTGGTGGCTCTGTTTTCATCAGGCTTGGTTCGGTCAGGTTGGTTTGGTTGGGTTTCTTGATACCAGGTCACTCGGGATGGATGGACTGATGGGTGGATGGGAGGCTGCTCTGTTCTTGTTTCTGCTAGGTTTTTTTTTTTCATCTTTGCTTGGCTGGATTGGATAGGATGGAGTGGATACCAGATTGCTGCTGTGACCATGATGGATTGAGATGAGATTGGAGATTGTGTGGCTGCCTAGCAGGCGGAGCCCTAAGGAGGGTGGCTCCTTCCTTCACTGGCCACTCAGGCTGTCGAAGCTGAGAGGAGCGAAGGGTAAGGGGGGGGGAGGGTTAGTTTTGTTTTCTTGACTGCTGTGTCTTAATTCTTATTCATCTTTTTCAAGTGGTGATGCTCTCTACTTCTTTTATCAGCTTTGTTGATTCCTCCTACCTTTCCCCCTACCTTTCCGCCCTTTTTGCTCAACTTTTTCAGACTTCCCTTATCTTAATTGACATTTCCTCCCCCCCCCCCAAATTCTTTACATACTGGTGATTTTCTATGACGTGTTTGCCCTCCCCTTCTTCCCTCTTCTCGCGAAGCTCCTGACCTCCGAGTTTCGAGTTTGGTTAGTGATTTTGGCTACCCTTAGCCTTCCCCACCTGCTAAACAAACCACATTATCCTCACAACATCATTCATCCATCCCTGTTGGGTTATACTTGTTTGATCGGATGTGTTGAGTATTTGGCTTTCAGGATTTCATTTTGTCATAGTGGTTAGTTCGGTAGGGTAATGTATGGTTTGGCAGGCTCGGTTCTCTTGTCTCCTAACCTGTTTTATTCCGAAGACTGGAAGTAATGAAAAGGTGAGACTCTGGTCTGCCTTACGATGATCATGATGCAGCTTGATTTCTTAGGTGGACTCGGATTTGCGAAAGTGCGTGGTCGACAGACTGGTAAAACGATGATTCCAAATGGAAGTTGACGAATCTCGATTTAATATTAGTCTGTTTCTACATGGATGTCCTGGGGTTGTGAGTTCGCTTCGGTTGGTCATGAGTTTACTTAACACGCATTCCAAAGTCCAGCCTCTTATGCTTCATGTGTTTTTGGGTGTTGCTCGGTCTCTGCTTTCTGCATTCCTTGCTGATTACCTCAACCTGTGAGAACCAGGTGCCTGGAATGATCGAGGTGGATCGAGCTGAATATCAGACTGGGTCAAAATCGTTCTCGTATGATATGGGCTTCACCTACCTGCCTTCGTGATCCGTTTCTGTTGATACTTCACATGTCACATATCGGTGTCAAAAGGCTTAAGTCAATAGTTGGGCCACTCGAGGATGATAATTGAAGTGTGTTCATTCTGCGATTTTGGAGATGCCAACACTCCTTGATGATTTACTGAAAAGCTTAGGCTTGTATGATGCAGTGTCTGTCTAACGTCCAACCATTTTGGCTTCGTCTGACACTCTTAAGGATATTTCCTCCTTCGGGCCTCGTATGCTTTAGATTCGCGATGATATTGAATTTGAATGTCAACAATCTTGGTCGCTTGCCTGAATCTTGCGCGGGAACCTGATAATAGGCAGGTCAAGAACATTATCCGCAAAAGGCTCCTTCAACGGCACGGAAGCGGCATGTTAGACAGAAACGAAAACTTATGAAAAAAAAAAATTCTAGTTACAGTCCTATATTGATATTGCCTAACTACAACGTAAGCCAAAAAAGGAGCGAACTCAAAATGCCACGCCAAGAGAAGTATAACCAAAGCAAACTGAACAGGTAAGACGAGAAACGGTATAGGCAGAGAAGTCAAGTAGAAGAACAAATACAAATTATTCCTATTTCCCTGATCCTATTCCGGTCTAAGTCAAACACCTCACACACTACCTGAATGAGTGATCTGCTTCAGTCAGGTAGGTATCCTGGATCCAGCCTGCCATCTCCAGATTCTCATTCTTCCTCGCCATCAACCCCATCCCCCTTTCCTCCCTTTCCTCCCCTTCTTCTGCCCCTGTCCTTGGACCTGCGCTTCCCTTTCCTAACAAAATGCGCTCAAATCCAACGGCACACTGCTCCCCCTGCCCGCCCTATATCTCCTCACACCCCCAACAAATTCCCTCGGCTTGGGGAAGTCCTCCTCACGCGTAAACTTCCATCTCGGATCGTGCACGATATACCGCTCCTTCTTTTTCCCGTCGTGACTATGCCCGTTCTGCCCTGGGACAGTAAGATGTGACCCAGATGGGGAACGGCTGTGCCCTCCGCTGGTGCTGTTGGCGCCGTTCGGCGTGAGGGTAAAGCTTGCAGGGTCGAGAAGGGATGAGCGAAGAGAGGGTGTGCGTGAGGGGGCAGAGGAGCTTGCTGCTGGAGGAGGGGGGGGCGGTGGAGGGGCGGGTGGTGCTGAGGGAGCAGAGATTGTTGGAGGAGGAGGAGGAGGAGGAGGAGGCGCTGGCGCTGCTGAGGGAGGTGGCGGAGGAGGAGCAGCGGGCGCTGCTGCCGGCGGAGGCGGTGGCGGGGCCGGGGGAGGAGGTGCACTCGAGGCAGCCAGACGAGCTGCTTGAGCCGCGATGCTTTGGGAAATGTTGTTCGCTGCTGATGATGAAGAAGAAGAAGAAGGAGGAGGAGGAGGAGGAGGGGGGGAGGAGGTTGAGACCGGGCCGGCGGCGGAGGAGGACGGGGCGCCGCTGCGGATGGAGGAGGCGGCGGGGCAGCCGGCGGTGGCGTTGGAGCAGAAAATGTCGGGATTGGTGGTGCCGAGGACGGGGGAGGGGGAGCTGGTGCGTTGGGTAAGGGAGGGGCGCCGCCAGAGCGCAGGTTTGACGGCTTGCGGGAGCCTGGGGGTGGCGGAGGAGGTTTCTTGCCAATTGGCGGCGGAGGGGGCTTCGAGGCGGCTGCGCTCTTGAGGTTTGCAGGGGGAGAGGGTGCGCTTGAGGTCGGCGGTAGAGGGGGCCTGCCTGGTACGGGGGGAGCTCCTGTTGGGGGCTTCGGCGCTGAGCGTGTTGGGGCTTCAGAGTCGGAGAGGTAGGAGGCGTCGGCACTTGCTGGAGGGGGTTTAGCAGCAGCTTAGAAGCAGTATTAGAAGTGGGTACATACCGCCTGTGTCAATGCCCTTCCCTGTCTTGCGCAACTTGGGCATGCCGCCGGCAAAGAGACCGGCCAGGGGTTGAGGAGGGCCATCGGCGACTGATGTGGATGCGGTCGGGGCTCTGTTCCCCTGATCGCTGTTGCTTCGCGCGCGACCTGGCACAGGAGGAGCACTGAGTGTTGATGGTGACGGGCCGCCGATGGGCTTGCTTGGCCGCTCGATCATGGGGGCAGACCGGTCATTGGTCACTGTCTTCCTAAGAGCCTTGCCCTGGCGGATGTCGGCGAGGAGGGCGCCCTGGGGTTGTTACTGTTAGCGAGTCGTTATGGAGCTATGCGAAGCGCGAACGTACTCGACCTGGTTGGGCTGCCGGCAAAGTCGGAGGAGGAGGGGGCGGCGGCGGCCCGCCCAAGCCCGGGGGAGGGGGAGGAGGTGGTGGTGGTGGAGGAGGCATGGTCAGTTATTCGTGAGCGTCTCGATTTACGGAGTCGAGTGCTTTTTGCTCTCTTCCCCCTTTTTCTGGTCGGCTTGGTGGACTCGAGAGACTGCGCGGATGTTTTTACGGGCAGCTTTTGGCGTTTTACTTGCTCAAATGGCTGGTAAGTAAGTAAAAAAAAATTGTTGTCGACGCTGGAAGCAGGTTGCTGCCGTCGTAGAAAGTTCCAGTTGGGTTCGAACGGGATGAAGACAAGGCGATAAGTAACCTGAGTCCCAGGCTAAGGCACGTCACCGATGGCGCTCGCTGTGAGGCTGTGGCTTAGGGCCCCACTTTGGCGGCTTGGCGCCACGCGTTCCACAATCTGCTTGCTTGGCGTGCGCTTAATTGCATGCAGTTGCTGTACTGTATGGCAGGGTTCAAGAGAAATAATCCACTGTTCACTTGAAAAGAAAGGATGTCAAGAATGATAAATCAGAAGGACTTCATGACTACATATGAAGCTTGGACTAATGCTTAAAATTAGCAATAGATTCTCGATCTATGCTGAAGTTGACATTGGTATCAAGTCCCATATTTGACTGCAGCACAGTGCACTTTTACTGATCAAACAGTCCTACATCAAGTGGGGTTTTCATCAATGGAGGGGAGGGGAGCTGCCGGGCCAAGACGCAAGGATCTGCAGTGCACCTTCGCGGCTTTGGTCCAAGCTTCTTCTTTTGACTTCATCACATCACCACTTCCACTTTATCTCGCAGCTTGCCGCCCCTCGCTCGAACGGTCAGACTCCAACAGAACGTCTCCTGCGGTGCTAAGCCGGAGTTGAACCCCAGTCTATCGAAGAATACGCTGTATCGTCGACTATCCTGACCCCTCCTCCTCGACCGTGAGACATTTCCAGCTCAAAGGGTCCTCGAGAGCCGAGACAGGGTTGAAGAGCCTCGAATAAGCCTAGAAATAACCCCGGGCCTATGATGCGCCCTTCACATCCGGCCTCTGGCCTGCGGCTCTGCCGCACCTGCGAGCTTCTCCTTCGCCCCCAGTCCCAAGCAGCCCGACGCCAATTGCCACGATGCTCAACGTCCATCCGCCCCTTCACCACTACCCCTCCCTCCCTCAAGAAGCGCGCCGAGCCGAGCGCAGCGGCAAATACCTCCCAGAGCAGATTCGGGAGAATACAGAAAGCCGCCGGAGAGCAGCCGCCAGACGTAGACCCGACTGTCTACTCCCTGGCTGCCATCGACCGTGTGCTTAGGGACTTTTTCAGTCCCGGGGGCGTTCCGTCCGAACAAATGACCGTCGCTGCCTTACGCGCCCTGACTCCTGTCGACCTCAAGCTCGTCAAAGAGCCTAAGAAGGCAGAAGAGCAAGCAAAGATTAAATTGTCACATCATCAGCCGGCCGAGGACCTGCTAGAAGCCGGCCGTACCACCCAGCCACAGCATACTTCACACAAACCAAGCATCATTATTGACAAGATCTCGGAAGCGGCCTATTCTATTGTCACGCATCCTGATACCATCATTACTCGCAATGTGCTGGAGGAGTACGTGCGCTTGCAGAGCCGGCTTGGTCGTCCGGAGAGCTTACCCCAAGTGCTGAACCTCTTCGCGTCTAAGCCGAAGCCAAAGGTCTCCTCGGGCGCCGTCACCTACGTCGAACGGAATCCCGAGAGTGCCGAGAATTCGATCGATCCCGCTATCGCCGACATGGCCCTCGATGCCGCAATTGAGGCGAAGGACCTGCAGACCACAATTGGCGTGCTGGAGAACACATATTCGTCCAAAGCCTTTTTGAGGGCAAAGCTTTTGAAAAAAGCCTTGCTCCCCGGATTTGCCATGGCTGGTACCCCGGTCGCGCTTTATCTAGTCGCCGGGGAGCTAGCCAAATACCAGACGGCCCTGGAACCAAAGGTTGCTACTGGCATTGCTTTTATTGGCGGCCTCTGCTACGTTGGCTTCACCGCGACCATTGGCATGGTTGCCCACTTTAGTCGAAACGACCAAATGATACGCGTCACCTGGGCCCCGGGGACCCCACTGCGTCATCGCTGGCTGCACGAGGAAGAACGTGCGGCTCTCGATAAGATTGTCTGCGCATTTGGCTTTTCGGAGGAAACCCGTTTTGGTGAGGAAGAGGGCGAGGATTGGGAATGGCTGCGCGAGTACTGCCTCAGCAAATCCATGATTGTCGACGCCGTTGAGCTCATGCCAGGCATGAACTAGGCGGCCCCTGAATTTGCCAGAACGAGCCATGCGCGAACCAGATCTCAGCATCCAGCGGATCTCTGTCTTGGCGCACGATGGCTCCTTGACCGCTCCGACAAATTGATAAAAAAAAAAAAGTTGGTCGCCAACATCCGAACCCTGTCATCTTGGCCCGACGCTATTCGCACACGGAACCCGCTGCGCAAGCACATGCTACGCTATCTGCGACCCCAGCGTCATGGTTACGCCAAGCATGCAGCCAAACAATTTCTACAGATTCACATAATTCGATACCCTACTCTCCTCTTACACACACCTCAGCCTTGCTACTCATGCGCCAAAACCATCGCAATGGAATCTTGTGCACCCTCTTCTGCGGCTTCCCATGTGCTTCGTCCCCATTCTCACCCTTGACACGCCTGTGACGCGCCCGTGAGAACCCGTCGTCCGACCTCACACACGTTGCACGCCACTCACCTTGCTTTTCTGCGTCCACGTCTACAGCCCACACTGCCTGCACCCCCTTGCCCTCCCATAGGAATCCCTCCCAGAGTGTGTTGTTATCCACATGTGTCACCCATCTGACTTCAGCACACCGTAGCTGCGAGCCCCAGTGAGCCGCAGCCATTATCAGCTCGGGATGATGCGGATAACTTGCTGTACCGATGCTCTTCTGTCCGTTCCCCAGCTATTTTTTTTTTTCAAAAAGAAAATCGAACAGCTCGCCTGGGCCTTCCCGTTTCCCCATTGTTTTCCCTCCCCCCCCCCTGGTCGCACATTGCTTGGAATATATAGGCCAGCCCATCATCCTGCCGCTATAACCCCTAGCCTATAACCCCTAAATAAGACACGGAGGAAAAAACTTCTTGCTCCTGGTGACAAGGATCTTTTCGACGCCACCAAGGTTTTAGTTTGCTAGCGTCGGCGTCGCCTATTCACTATTTTATTCATAAGCAACAGCCTTACCGCTCACGACAATCTCTTCCTCTCTCTTCTTGTTCCTCGCCAACCGCTGCCGATCCCCCTTCCTTCACACACACATTTCAACCTTGTTGCGTGTGAGAGTCCACAGCCTGACATGTCCGGGGGGTTCAACCCAATTGACCCGCAGCGCTGCGCCCACTATGCGGGCTTCGCGGCCCACCTCAACCGCAAGGCCTTCGATTTCATCTACTGGTTCCTCTTCGCTGCTGTCATTTGCATGCTGTTTTTGGCATCATGGAAGTACAGCGGTGACCTTGACAAAATCAACCAGCTCGGGCTGGAGCCTCATTCGCGAGAGTACCGCCGCCGCATGAAGCGTTGCATGATTATTTGTGGCTTGTACGCCAGCGTTGCGGTGGTTGCTGTCGTCATGGAGGTGTATGCGCTCATGGCGTTGCAGTTTTGCGATGGAGAAGATCTCATGTCACTGTATTGGTCAACATGGACCATGCTGCAGGTTGGATCGGTCATCGCAATTCTGGGAATTGTCCTTAGCGTGTTTAACACGTTGAGGAACAACAAGAATCCGTGCGTTGCCTCTCCCCTTGTGATGACGCCTGTATCACATAGCTAACTGCTTCCAGACCATGGGCCCTTGCTCTGGGCACTCCTGTCCTTGTCGTCGCGGGCATCGGCCACGCCGTTCACGGCGCCATGCGCAAGCGTGTTCGCCAGGTCCGGTCTCGCTCCCGCTCCCGGCGCCGCACCATGTCGGCGGCAAGCTCCATGACCGATATAACTGCCCGTCTGCCGACGAGCCAGCGCCGTGCCACGTCCGAAATGACTGGTTTCCCAATTAGCAGGGAGTATGTCTCTTTTCGTGGAAGATGCCAAAGTACATGGAAGGCAGCTAACGTGGAAACAGGCAAACCATCCGCGCAGACGACTCCGAGCGCGAGCCTGAGTTCGCCCACTCCTGCTACCCGAACTCGATTTACACGACTAAGTCGCGCGAGAACCTCACGATTGCGCCAGTTACGACTACTGCGACACTCACTACCTCTGCGCCAGCTACATTCCTGGGTTTCTCTCCTACCGGCGATCCGATTGTCAAACTGCCCGCTGACATGGCCCTGCTGAATTCCGCGCCCGCGACGCCTGCCCCGGGTCAAGTTACCCAGGATCCCCTTGCTACGATGGAGAACCCCGCTGGGCAACAATCCCAGGACCAGACTCGGGCGCCGACACCGATCCAGACGCAACAGATCCAGGTCCAAGATCATCAACCCCCGGTTACTCCCGGGTCTGTCCCCCCAGCTGCTGCGGCTATCACGCCCGGTGTGGGCATCGGTGTCAATGTTGGTTCCTCGTCTACCGCGGGAACTGTCATCGGCAGGTGCAGCTGTGACGAGGGCGGTGTGATTGTTGCGTTGCGCAGGCCGAGTCCCACTCCTTTTCAGGGACCTGCTGTTGTTAGGCCATCGGGTTCTGCTGCTGGGACTGTCTGCTCTACGCCTGGACCTTCTGGCCCCGGTGTTACGCCGCCGGGGACAAGCCTTGGCGGGAATGGAAACGGGTCAGGGAATGGCAACGGGGGTGTCCTTGCCCCAGTACCTATCCGTGTCACTCGTACCGATGGACTGGGTACTTCTGTGGGGGGTGTTGTTGGAAACGGAGCCGGAGGGGGTATCCGACCGGGTAATACTGTCCGGTCGAACTCCTACCCTGTTCCAGGCCAAGCTCAAAGCCAGAGCCAAGGGCAGGGTGACACCGCCGAGCAACAACCTCAACCTCAGCCTCATCAGTCTCAACCCATCCGACCAATCCCCGTCCTCCCTCTGCAGCTCCAGCTCCAGCTCCCGTGCCGGTGTCCCAGTCCCGTTCCCTTGACGGACCCCGCCAGTAACACAGGTACTGGCACTGCCGGTCCCAGCACATCGACTACGTTCTTTACTCCAGGAGATGTTTCTCCCCGGTATATGGGCTCCCCCGTCGGGTCGCGGTCGGCAACGCCTGCTCCCGGGGCAACGTCTCCTTCGCAGTTGTGGTTGAATAGGTCGCCCGTGGTGAGGATTGCTACGCCACCAGCGGTTAATAAGGAAGAGGTTTGATTACCTACAAAGGGCTTTACTCAATTTGGAATAGAAGGTTCAAATGGTTTGGTATGCATAGACGGACGGATTGGATGGAGGATAGATATCTGGTTGTACAGGATTACATTCAAGTTCGAAGAAGGGGGATATACCCAGGGTCTTTGCTATGTCTCTCGGTTCGAGGTTGGAAACAAAAGGTTCGGATCTGGGAATTGGTTTTCAGGTCCATGGATACATCTCAGGTTTCTCTTTTTTTTTCTTTTCTTTTTTTTTCCCTTTTGTCTCTCATGGTGTTCTGGTCACGTCATGGTCTGGTCATAGTTCGTCTGTCGGTCTAGTTCATCGGTCGGTCGGTCGGGTCATGGTCATGGTTGGGCTGGGCTGAGCACCGACTGCATCTCTATGGATACTACTGTCTCTTTTTATTTTTCTATATCGGGATCTTTTTTTTCTTTTTGGTATCTTATCTGTTTATCTTTGGGGCTTTCTTGACTAGCTATCTACCACCTAAGTTCGTTTGCCGGTTCTAGGATTTCCTGCTCGTTTATGATGGTTCTATCGGATATTTCACACTCTGAGGTTGAGTTTTGGCACTGGAAACGGAGCAAAAGTGATTTCATGTTGAATCGTTTGGAGTTTGGTTTCACCATAAGCATCATGGGCATCAGGGGTGACGGAGAGACACGCAGATAGACAAACGTGAGAGAATATCTGAATGTGGTATTTCTTACTCTAAACTCCCTTATGATCCCTGTGCTTACGTTATCCCTCCCGACTCTTCGCATATCTCTCCGCATCCGTCCATGCCGTCCTCACACCTCCTCCTGGTAATGATGGAACGTCAGTGATCTGCATCACCCAACCTCCTGGGTCCTTTATATGCGTTACTCTCTTTGCAGTATTCCGTACGACCTAGTGATTTACTCCTTGTCCGCCTACTAACCACTGATATCCATCAGTTAGCGAGTGTTTGTTAAAGGTCGTTTCGGGGTGATAACCTTATCCTCTCTCGGGCCAAACTGAAGCCAAATCTTGAATGATTGCGAATTCTCTACTCTTGTGCTTATTAAGGAAATTTTTGGGAGGTTGCTAGCACGTACGACCATACCCAGTGGAAAGCACGGCATCCCGTCCGCTCTGCCCTAGTTAAGCCACTGAGGGCCCGGTTAGTAGTTGGGTCGGTGACGACCAGCGAATCCCGGGTGTTGTACGTTTTTGCGTTTTTGGCTTTCAGCGCCTTTTCACATTTTACGGTTCATTTTCTACGCATAGGTCTTAATGGTAATCAGCTTTCCAAGTTTTAGTTCTTTACTGTGATATCAAATTCCTGATATTCCGAGACAGTCAAGGACTGTAGCACCCTTCAGGTTGTAGGGCCCGTTTCTTGGCAGTGTCACCCGTTGCGCCGGTCAAAATCTTAGGGACGTGACATTGACAGGCAGGATGACAAGTTGGTATTTCTTCAATCAGGGAACTTTGAGATCGCGGGAGCTTTCTCTTGGATAGCTGAGTGTCCGGCTCTCTCTTTTTTTTTTTTTGGCATTGACAGCTGTACATGCTCGCCGTTCTTGTCGTTAGGCCCAAGAAGCGGCTATCCGTCGTGTTTCGGAGCTGTAACGGTACACCACGCGAACCTGGCATACAGCATCGGAGGATGACGAACGAGATCCTGGGTCAGGGAAGGTTAGATCTATGGATTGGGAAGGACACGGTATACACGTGATTGAAATGTGGCGAGATGCAAAGGGAAAGACGGTTTAAACCTGGTTACTAAGCTTCTGGCAGGGAGAAGAAGGTGGTGTGTAGACTATGTAGAAGATTGAACTGATCATTCTTAAGGGCAAAGTATTGCACTTGCAAGCTCTCTAAGATGATATCTGGCACAATTGCCTTGACAGCATCCTGTCTATGATGCCTTCGACGCAAGATAGGAAACTTGCATTTCCCATCTTCTCCATCAGCAGCAGCACAGCCGGAAACTTGGATTCGTGAGACGCGGGGGCAGAGATAATGCCCAATTCTGTGACCGAGACACACAGACGGACGGATAGATAGCTCCTATGTCAAGCAAGATACCCGGAGATAAGTGAGATAGATGGATGGCAGCATGGATGAATAGATGGTAATAGTGCCGAACAGATGAACAGGATGTGTGTAAGACGGGGAGGAACATTTCGGCGAAGGCACATGACACCGACTTCAACTCTCTTTCCAAGGGTTAGGAGGGAGGTGGGTTGATTGAAACTCAGTTATTTATCGCCCCCAAACCATACCCAGCGGAGCAATCCAAGTCCCGTGCTTGAGAACCAAGACGGCATCATGATCTTGTCCGTTGAACAACAGATCTTGGCCGTTAGTCCACTCTGGCCATTAATGCAGGTTAGCCCGAGTTGTCCAAAACCCGGGTCCTAGCGGGAGCACAAGCATCCGATTCGTTACCCTAGCGGCTGGGTTGGGTTACATTCCGCAAGTGATGTACGGGACCCGAGTACCGGCTGGGCGGTGGTTGGCTGGGCAGATCGGGAGTGCTACCTCTTGTCGGTCTTGGGCGTGAGCGGGGGATTTCCAACAACAGGTGTGAGAGAAGTACTTGAGAGGGGAGGGGAGGGAGGGGAGGGCTGTGGTGTAACAAGTGTTTCACTCTGCTTCTTTGCGCGAGGGGAGTTAACAAGGAGTGTATATAAACTAACCAAAGGTCTATACCCGTCAACTGTTGGGGTATCTATCCATTGTTTGCCATCTACACCGTTTCACCGCCGGAACGTGTCTCCAGACCCTCGACCGCTCTTCCGTCCACTCCCAGGGCATATACGGTACATTATGTAGATGATATCATCTGCCGGTATCCGCACCAACCACAAACGTCAAGGTTCCAAGGCACCGGAGAAGAGGCTGAACTGAAACAAGGCGCGCTCGGCAAGGCACGGCACACGCCAATGGCAGGCATTTCTGGAAGCACGAAGCACAATTTGCTCAGCTGTCATGCACGAGGGCATGTCGTATCACTGATCCTTAGAAAAGGTCGGAGACTGAGAGTGTTTGTGTGTGTTGAGGTTGCTCCCGGACGGGCTCGGCTCTGCAAGTGTCCAGGCAAACCTACACTGATCTTCTACCACCTATAGAGACTCTCTAAGATATACCGACCCTCGGTACGTACGTACAGTTATCTATCCCGTAGCTGGTGTGTATGTTCTGGCCGGCTTGTTACAAACACCCCCTAAGACTTCACAGCCCCGAAGATAAGCTTCGTGTCTCTTGATTCGCGGACACCGTTTTGTCATATCCTTACCCCTCATATCGATCCTTTGTCGGTAATTATCCATTACGCTGAGTGCATAATATCGGGGAAGAGATAGCCCAGCGAAAAAAAAGACCATCCAATTCACCAGTCACTTCTGTCTCCTTGGCGTACCCTTCTTCTCTCTCTCTCCCATTCTGGCTAAGACTTTCAGCAACATGCACGCAGACAGAGGGAGAAGGATGGCGAAGGAAAGCAGCAGGGCCAGTGACGCGATGTTGCTATTAAGGAACCTCTTACGTTTCTTCCTCCATTTTTACGCCTACACCCTCCCGGCACGGCCAACCTGCAGGATTTCACCCGTCGGGCGGTCCTCTGCGCGCAGGACGGGCCAGGAAGCACCGTCGGCCTTGGCAAGGGACACCTCCAGCTTTGTCCCCAGGACCTTGAAGGTCGACTTGGCAGGATCAATGGCACCCCACAGCTGCACCAACTTCTTATACCGCTTGACGGGGGTGTCGGTAGTCCGCAGGTCAAGATCAACAGCCCGATCCTGGAACTCAACCTTGGCCTTGTCCTTGTCGATCTTCTTGAGGAAGAATGAGGCGATCACGGAAGTCTGAGTCTGGTAGAAGTCGGTCCTGCAGAACAGCCAATTGTGTCAGACCGGTGTGAGCGCGCACGTGAAACGGTTGGAGAAACATCCTTCTTTTCGGCCAGCCATACGGCGTCTTTCCGCAGAGATGCAGGCACAGCCTGCCTTGGCCTTCTCTTGGCTGTTGTCTCGGAGCCATAAGATCCACGAGAGATCCGCGACCAGCTGGCTGCCAAGGACGTCTCGGGGGACACAAAACAACACAAACATGACAAAAAAAACTCACCTCACAGTGTCTAGAACCTCCTCGCCGTCGGCATTGGTGTTCTTGTTCTTATCCTTGTTGCCGCTGCCGACAAACAGGTGGCGGTTCTTGGTCTTGCAGCCCTCGATCTTCATGAACTGATCAAACTCCAGCACGCGCCGCTTGCAGCAGGTGTAGCCCTTGCTGCCCTCGTGGAAGATTGGCGCGCCCGGATGATGCACACACTTCTCGTCCTCGCGGCTGCTGCCCTTCTTGTAGACGGCACCGCAACCGCGCCGCCGGCATACCTGGCCGTCGGGAATTTCGATGGACGGGTCATCATCCTCGGACTCGGGCGGCGGAGGAGGGGGCGTGGGGATGTGCTGCGGCTGGGATATGGGCGCGCGTTTCGGGGGCGGAGGAAGTTCTGAAGCGGCGGTTGCAGCGGCCACGGCGGCCGGGTCGGCTTCCCTCTTCTCGATCGGCGGCGGCACATCCGTCGTGCTGTGCTTGCCCTCGGTGCAGGGCGGGATGGCCATGAACTCCTCGAAGGTCAGGACACGCGGCTTGCAACATTTCCATCCTGCAGGCCGGGAGGCAGATACGCCGTGGTTAGCTTGGCGAACTGTGCCGTGACGGGCGACCTATGGCTACCAGCCAAGTGCGGCAGTCTCTTGTCGCACATATGGCCTCACGCACCTTTCTGTCCCTCGTGGAAAATGGGAGGGCCGGGGTGGTAGCGGCAGACCTCATCGGGGTCGGTGAAGAGCTTTCCACAGCCCTGGTGGACGCACTTCTGGGCCTCTGCCTGAGCCATTGTAATGATGTAAGTGGTCGACGGCGGAGAGAAGGATGTGAGACTATCAGATTCGGGATGCAGATAGCGGTGCAGCAGAGGCGAGAAACGAAGATGTCAAAGAGACCTGGGCAGCGTGGGACACGCCCTCTTTGTGATCCGCAGGAGGACAGAAAGGCGGCGAACGGTCGTTGGTTGGCCGTCGGGTCGCAAACAAATAACTGGGCTGCTTGTTGGCAGACCTAGGACCTAGAGCGCGATTGGCGTGTGGAATGTGGGCAACAATGTTTGGTTCTTTCTGGTCCTTCCTGGTCCTGTGTGGAAGGCCGCTCGAAGAAGATCGAAGCTTTGCCATCCCATCCAAGAAGGTGGGGGCGGGGAGCCGGGGAGCCTCCACAAGGGGTGCTGCACGCAACCCTGCCGCCGCTAAGCTTGTTTAGGTTTAGCGAGCATCTCAAACACAAAACCCTGGTCCTAACCCTGGTTTCAATCCTGTCTGTTCGGCAGGTCTGCACGCGACATCTTCCACCTCGCCGGCTCCATCGCACTTGTTCCGAGAGATGGTCTGATGTGAGCGTCGGTCCTCCCATCATAAACGACCTCAATTCTCAACAACTTGCCTACGCCCACGCCTCTGACAATGCTGCGTGTTACCAATCGGCTGCTGCAGTCGTGCCGCATCACGCTCTTCACGCGCGCCAACTGCGGCCTCTGCTCCCAGGCCAAGTCCGTCCTTTCTGATGTCTGGGACCAACGCCCGTTTGTGTACAAGGAAGTCGACATCATTGCCCCGGAGGCAAAGGGCTGGCGTGACCTGTACGAGTTCGATGTGCCTGTTGTAAGTTTGAATTATCCGAAATGAGCTCTCTCATAGCTACGTGGGTGCTCAACCTTCTTAGATTCACATCAGCAAGGCCGATGCTCCTGAGGAGGACCCCAAGCAGTCGTCTAAGGCCGTGAAGTTGATGCACCGCCTGAAGGTTGAGGAAGTCATGGCTAAGATGGACGTTGTCGAGGGAAAACAGTCGTGATCCTCAGAGTGCTCAGCATCCGATGAACTATCCAAGATTTCCGACTCGCCTTGGCTATCAACCCTGGACAGCACTTCGTAGTCACACATGGCGCTACGCCGACCATCTCTCGGTCACCAAAACGCACAGGATATACAAGGCATCTGCGAAACCTAGCTATCTTGGCAACAAGACTCTTCTCTTCTCGTGTCCTCTGACCAATGTCACTTACTCCGACGCCCCGCTCGCCACGTTCAACGCCCCCGTCACAGCAGCGCTCAGAGCCGTATAATCCGTCGCCACGCTAACCATGTGAAACCCCATGTCGGCATACTGCTTCGCCTGTTCTCCCGAAGTGCAGTAGATGCCACATTTCTTGCCCGCAGCGTTGGCCGCTTTGAGGATCCGCGCGATCGCCGCGTCCAATTCTGGGTCCATCCGGCCGTTGATGATGGGGTGTCCAATGTTGTTGCCCAGGTCGAAGGGTCCGACGAATAGAGCGTCGACTAGCGGGGCGATGGCCTCGACTGCGTTGAGGGCCTCTTGTGTTTCGATTTGTACCATGGTCAGTAGGCTGTCGTTGGCTTGCTCGAGATACTCGGTCAATGTGAGGCCTGCCTCGAAGGTTTGTGGTGCGATAGGCGACCCGAAGCCGCGTGTCCCCTGGGGAGGGAACTTGGCTGCGGAAACAACTGCCTTGACCTCTTCAACCGTCCGAATAAGTGGGATTAGTATCTCGATGTGTCAGTGTTAGCGAGGTCGATCATGTCCTAGGGAGGAAAGCTCTCTTACCCCATGTGCACCGGAATCCAAGGCCCCTGAGGAGAATCAGCATTGGAACAATGTGTCTCCCCGAATACTTCGGCGGTGTTCATGGTAGGGTTGAATGCTCACTCTTGATCATCCATGGCTGCATATCCGGAATCCGCACAACGGGTGAGACTCCCAAGGCGGCGATGGCAGGGACTGCTTCATGCATAGCGGCATCTGAGTGCGTTATTGACCCTTTCTACATAATTCGAGAAGAAACCAAGCTCTCATACCATCAATATTGCCATGCTCGCAATCTACCAACACCCAATCTGCCCCTGATCGTGCCAAGATTCTAGAGACGTTGGCTCCCGGCAACATCTGCCATACACCGAACGCAGGCCGTTTCCCTTCGGCAAAGACCTGCTTTAGCTTGCTGGAACGGAACATCTTTGAGCTTGCATCCATGGTGTTTGTCGAACTCGATAGTAGTCGTCGAGGCTGACTTGCTGCAACCAGTTGTCCAGCAGGGAGATGGGAGCACGTATTCGACCGTTGCAGATATGCTGACCAGTGCCAAAGGCGAATCGCTGAGCGAGTCATGACGGTTTGCTGAAATGGGCTGTTCTCAGGAGAAAGTAAACAAAACATGGACCGGGCGAGCTACGGCAACAGGATGACGGAGTCCCCTCCGGAAGTTGCAGTGGAGAACGAGGAGTTCCCCCACATTTTGAGCCCAACCTAGTGATGTGATTTGACAGTGTCGGGGTTCAGTCTAAGGCAGTGTGACTGGTTCATTGGATATATCAACATGACGACTGAGAAAACAGACAACAGGTTAACTCTTTGTCAAGAGTTGATTGATCATAGTTTAAACCATGCCATGTCTCTTCAATTTTCATTCATGGTTTCGATTATCCTGACGCTCTTACACGCACCAGTTCATGTGCTCCTAACGTTGAAACTGAGATCAGGCTCACTCTTAGCTGGAAGTTGAACTCCATATCAGAGAGTAGACTGTATATTTCTTGACACCCAATGATATCAGACAAGAGCAAGCATCAACTGGCTACTATATTGAGTTTTTCTCTCCATCCCTAACACCCCGATTACTCAATACTTGCTTATATCGATAGTGTGTTGACGCACGGTCCACCCTCCCGATAAGAGCTCGCCATGGTGATAAGGTGCATGCATCAGTGAATGATTCGAGAGCAGAAAGCACTCCAAACTAAGCTCCTGGCCAACCACTCAGTAACGAGACGAAGTGAAAAAGTTCTGGCGACACGTGCAACAATTCTCGTTCCACGAGCTGTGAACCTTAATAGCAGCTTTTCAAGCATCACAGTTCTCTCATCACAGCATCCATCCACAAAGGAACTGGAAAGCCAGCGGCTTTCTCTTGCTAGGCTGTTCGCACAGCTCGAGGTTGGAGCTCGACTTTCCTCTGTAGTGTGCTGGGATTTCGGCCCTCTGGACGCGTCTTCAGTCTGGTTGAATATCGGTTAGCCAGCAATCTTATCCTGTCACCATCTCGTCTACTCTTGAGATAGAACAGATCAATCGCCTGTTCTTAAGATGTCGGCTCTCAACGCTTACATTGACAGTAAGTCCCCTTTCGTGTCGCTTCGCTCTGTCGCTGGCCCCTCCCCACCCATCTTGCCTGGATTCCAAACCAACTGGTTTTGCCAATTCTGACGGTCTGTGAACAGAGAAGGTGTGTGTCATTACAATTGAGGGCCGCACCATTGTTGGCACGCTGGTTGCCCATGACCACAATACCAACATTGTAAGCTTTGTCCATACATACCAAGTGTTATCACTTCACTTAGTGTACAGCAACTAACATGACAACCTACAGGTGCTAAAGGGCGCAGTTGAGCGCGTTATCCGTACCCCTGACGATCCCGAGCCCTCTGTCGAGGTGCCTCTTGGCCTCTACATGATTCGCGGCGACACCGTCTGTGTGGTTGGTCACGTTGACGAGCCCCTTGATGCCAGTATTGACTGGACCAAAGTCAAGGGTGCTGTGATTGGCACCACGAAGCACTGATATGGTGCTCTTAGGTCAACACACCAAGTGCTCAGATGGCGCAGGCCAACATGGAAATCCCGGGAGGGTCCACCGCTGGGCCTGCGGCTTAGCCCAGTTCCGGGTCAAAGTGAATGGTCAGCAAGAGGTGGAAACCGCGACTATGGGGTGAGACCCTAGGTCTGGGGAATGAGGTGGAGAATGGCTGGTCTAAACCGGCATGTTGGTGACATTCCGCCGCTGGGTACGCCTCTCTTGTCGCGATCTTCTTACAACGAAACTCCGCTGACCCGGGAAGAAGATAAGGCGGGATGCCAAGGACAAGTCCATTCGGTAGGCTTGTCCTTTTCTTTCTACTAGAGCCATGATACCCAAGTGCAGAATGCGAATTAAGAATTCCATCACCTCCCAAGTCTATCAACAAAGGACCCAATCCTTTATGTAACTCCGCTGCTCACGCAAAAATCTTGTTCAGCAACACATCCGCAAATATCTTCTCCCCAGGCGACTGCACCATCCTGTTGATGCGGTTCCCCTTGCGCGGGCTCAACCAACCCATCTTATCACCAGGCACCTCATCCAGCTTCACTGTCACGGCCTCTATCGGATCCTGTGGATGCGTCTCGATGGTGCTCTCATCTGGCCTAGCCCGGTTACGGCGATCGATGACGTGCATGCCTCGCGTCCATTGGCCACACGTCTCGACGCGGATGTCCTCCGGCTTAGGGACTGTCTTCCACTTTGGATCATCATGCGTCAACATGTACCAGACGCAAAGCGGGTCGTGAAGCGAAAGCCCCTCGTTGTGGCCCTCGCCGAGCATCTGGTCGATTTTGTTGAACGTGCCGGTCAGGAAGGTCTCGGTCCATTGTGCCAGTGGGCTGCCGGCCTCGATAAGTGGCATAACCTTGGCGTTGAACTGCTCGCGGAAGAGTTCATGAGGTGTCGTGATGTCCAGAGGGAAGAGGGTTAGTTTCAGACGGCGGGAGAGTTTCTCGGGGTATGGAGGAAGCGATTTCTCGCTGAAGGCGGGTGGCATGGTCGATGAGGGGGTGGGCGAAGTGAGGGCGTAGACACGGGCTGCAGCGATTGCATCCGCTGTGCAGTTGAACTCGCCGTAGGGAGTAACGTTGCCCTCGACATGCACCGCGCCGCCCATCACAACAAGCTCCTTGACGCGAAGGAATGTCTCAGGATCCTCGGCGGCGGCGAGGGCCACATTGGTCAAAGGGCCAACGCAGACGATGGTTACGCTGTCCTCAGGCTCTTCACGCAGGATACGGAGCATCTCCTTGTAGGAAGGGGTCTTGCTTGGGGTGAAGTAGCGGGAGAAGGTGGGAGGTTCAGAGATAGGAACAGATCCATTATCTTCAAAGAGAGTGCGCCAGGTCTCGGCGGGGCTCAGATGGGGGTGCTGTGATGGTTAGAATATGTAACCATAGGGGATCTATGGTGAACCTACCTTATCATGAACGCCATGAAGGCCATCAGAGCCGTCTTGATGTTGTGTTAGTCTCCGGCCTCTAGTTCAATATGAGTGTCCAAGGGCCCTTACGGAAGTAGTCAGCCACCAGCTCCTCATCCTCAAGAGCATGCTCAGCACCAACAGCCACAATAGGCTTGTAAGCATTCAGGGCGCCATAAACAGGTTTGCCATTGGCCTCACGCCAGGCCATCTCCTTCTCCAGGACGTGGAAGAGGGCAACGACGTTGCGAAGACACCTAGTAACATTCTGTTAGACATAGATATGTACCATTGTGGCACACGGAGCTGCCGAGAATCCAAAAAAAATTCATCAAGATATAAAGGTAACACTGTCGTACTTTTGTCGTGGGACATTGCCATATGTGACCGAGATCATGAGCACCTCGAGCTCCTCAGGTGAGGCGCTGAGGGCCAGCAGCAAGGCCAGGACATCATCGACACCTACGTTGAGATGTCAGCCAGATTGCTAATGAGATATGAAACTCCAGATGTGATTTACCTGGGTCAGTATCAATAATGATGCGGTTCTTGGGTGCCATGATGGTTGACAGCGGAAAGAGAGATACAAGTGCGGGGTTCTGAGGGGCAGGGTCACAGAAGCAAGGGGTTCTCAGTGGTAGCGGTCTCGAGATGAAGAAACGAGCCGACACCACAGAGCGCGGCAGTTGTACAGACTGGTGGCTAAAAGAGGTTTGTGTGGGAAAAAACGGTAGTTTCTGATAAAGACTCAAGACCTCGTCACCCCGTCTCAGTACTGTTAAGAAGGATCACAGGTTCAGACCTGCGGTCCCCGTTAGGCAGGTCGTTGAACAGGCGTTAGCGCCCTCTCCACTGTGAACCCTGATCGGCTGGGTGGGGATCCATGTCCTCCCGTTGGCCGCAGGCAGGCCTGGTATCGAGGCATCTGGCCGGCTGCTGCAGCCTTCCGCGCCTCACGCAAATTTCTGGGCGCTCCTGTTACAGCACGGAATTTAAGATGTTTCTGGGTTGGAATCTTGGCATTATTACTAGTTTTTGAGATGGAAGAGTTGGGGCAATGAGGTCTTTACAGGGCTGAAAGGAAACTCTGTCAGCCCCTCTTCAAAGTACCTCCCTCTATGGATTGCATACAATTATACCCTTTCTCCCTTTGGTGATCAGGATCTGATTTTCCGATCTCGGTTACACATATGATAGAAAGCCCTCAATGTTAAATAAGACTGTTTATCAGGCCTATCAATGGAAGCCGGTCAAGCTCACTTGGATACCGTGGAATTGGGCCGCAGCCTTTGCTGAAGAAGCATGCATCAGCCATCCACTGCAGGAGACCTGCAGAACCCCTTACATTTCAGCCAAATTTGGGGTTTGACAATGGCTGTAGTTGTGGGTTTCTTCGGCTCACTGATGTTCCTTTCTGGCGCAGACCAGTTACACATCGAAATAATCAAAGTAAAAAAGGCAGCTGCTTTGCTGCCTCTCGAAGACTTGCGACAACTGTCAATCTCACAGAGTGCCAAATCACGTGCAGCGATGCTGCCAAGATCGCTAGTTCGCAGTCGTGCCTGCAACCCCCTGTCAGCGGCAACTTTTCCGTCAGATTGACTGGGGCCTGATTCCACGTTGCGAATGCAGGAGGCGCCGAACTTCTGGACACCTTTCGCCTGCACGCACTGTCGTGTTCGAGAGTCCACGGCCTCGACTCCTCGAGCATCACCACACGCGCAACACACTGGCCCCTTTCTCTCTGCCTTCTCCTTCAATTCACCCCCAACAGTTCCAGGCCACCAATATTGATCTTTTTTTGATACCCTTAAACACGTCAACAATAGCTGTCACTGGCCTTGTCGGTGCTTTCCCCCCAAATCCCAAAGCCTCACCTGGCTCCCTGTACCCTGTGCCACCGCTTCGAGGTCCTCTTCATCGGTCATCCATCGAGCATCGTGATCTACCATCTGCTTCCTGCGCGAATTGAGGTCTCACACGCGCATTGCAGCTTCTGAACACATTCTTACAGGCTAGCGCAACTGTGACCTTTTGATCACTGCGCTACCCCTCTCCCTCGTGGTCTAACTTCCTCCGACTATCTTCGGGACGTGTAGTCCTTACAATTCATCACAATGGGTGCTGCAGTGTCCACTTTGGTCGGCTGGACCGTCGTCATCGGGTGTATCTACATTGTTGGCTTCGGCCTTCCGGGCAAGAAGAAGACCCGCGAGTCTTTGCGCGGCTCCCAGCGTCACCGCCTAGAAGAGAAGCAGCACACTCAGCATCGTAAGGAGCCCAAGGAAAAGGCCAAGAGGCAACGAGTCGAGTCCTTCAACAAGGATGCTGAGAAGACGCGGACACAAAAGCCTGCTTCCGTGCCAGTTCAGGCCGTTGTTGACACCAGCTCTGATGACGAAGTCGATAACCGCGAGTTCGCTCGGCAATTGGCCAGCGTAAAGCAGGGCACTAGCCTTAATGCACCCAAAAAGAGTGACGAGAAGCGCACAAAGTCGGTCAAGCAGTCACGTGCTCAGGTCTTTGACGACGAAGACGACAAGGCCAAGGCGGTCTCTGCCCCTTCCTCGACCGCTGGTGTCGATGCCGACGATGACGAGTCGTCCACTCCCTCTCCCGAGGTCCGGGCCGTCGATGCTGGCGATGTCAGCGACATGCTCGAGCCCAAGCCCGCTGGTCCGTCGGTTCTGCGTCTGACCGACACTGACAAGGTCAAGCCGAAGAAGGAGAAGAAGGCCAAGACGCCGGAGAAGACTGAGACTAAGAAGCAGCGTCAGAACCGCAAGAAGGCCGAGGCCGAGAAGGCCCTGCGCGAGGAGAACGAGAAGCAGAGGAAGGCCGATATGGAGGCCCAGCGGCGACAAGCTCGCATCGCGGAAGGCCGTCCTGCTAAGGATGGTTCTACTTTCCAGGCGCAGCAACAGGCCAATGCCTGGACCAGCAACGGCACCAAGGACAGCCCGAGCAGCAATGCCACCAACGGCGAGTTCGTGCCCGTGCAGCCCCTCGACACTTTCGACTCTGGTAGCTTCACCGACGTCTCGGTCCCCAAGAGTACCTCGACCCCGGCCAAGAGCACGGCCCCTGCTGCTGACAACTGGATTGCCTCGCTTCCATCTGAGGAGGAGCAGATGGAAATGCTCCGCGAAGAGGAGGCCTGGAGTACTGTTACCACCAAGAAGTCTCGCGGCAAGAAGAAGGAGGCGGCCGCTGCTGCCGCGACTACCGAGAGCGCTGTCGATTCGGAGCCCACTGTCGTTCAGGGCAAGACTGTGGCCAATAAGCTTGCTGCAAATAGCGCTGCTGCCCCGGCTCCTAAGGCTAACAAGCCGAAGAAGCCTGCCATCTCTCAGCCCTCGGCTTTCGCTGCCCTCAGCACGGACGATGAGAACATTGAGAATGAATGGGATGTCTGAATGATAATCGATTTGTGCAGCTCACCCACTGTCCTCGGGCCTCTAGAGCTTTATTAGCTTTCATGAGGCAATGCCATGACCCCAGATCCGAGCCATTGTGTCCTTTCTTCATCTCTAACAGGGACAAGGATAACGAGACCAACGTCTGTACATTACTCTTTTAAGCGGCATGGCAGAAAAAAGATGCCTTTATGAGCTTTAGCCTTTTTTTTTTTTGCTCAGTTTATCTCTTTTTCATTTCTCTTGCTCTCCTTTCCTACTGGAACGTTCTTCGTATGAAATTTTTTTCTGGACTTCTTTTCTTCGGTTCTATTCTCGACTACCTATAGTTACAACCCTATCATACGGCGGTGGCGATACGTTATGGGATGCTCCTGGGGCTACGGTATATCTGGTCCAGAAAAAAAAAGTGTTGTCCTATCAGATCAGAACGGAGCAACAAAAAGGAGAGAGAACGACAAGATGTGGGCTAACAAGAAAGAGAAAGGATAGTTGGATCTGGGAATGGTGAAGGGGGGGGGGGTCAGCTATTTTCCTTGAACTGTCTAGGCATGGCACTGGGATAGGAAATGAAACTGGACTGGAGGGGCGATTAGTATCTACAATTCGATTCAGTGATTTGTCCCGACAGACAGAAATGGATGGATGGTTTGGTTCTTGATAAGGAAAGGGTCAGAAGTGGAAGAAGATTCGCTGTCAGGGTGTGAATGTAATAGCTGGCCTGGATGGGTACGACTTATAACCGGCTGGCATACCTGGCATTTGGGCAATGGTGATGAATAGGGTGATGGATGTGTATAGAGACAGCTGCTTAACTTGCTGGCTCGGAATGAAGCTTCGTTAATGGGGTGCAGATGTTGGCTTTTGGCTTGACCATCGTGATTCTGATATCCCTTGCATTATGTACTCCCTGAGTGATTGGTATTAGCACTCTAACTGATGTGTTTGCGACAAGTCGAACTGCATGCTTATAATAACTGGCGATAGTTGTCACCTGCACAGCCCCAGGCTGAGTTATGCTGAGCTGCCCATCCTCAGGGGCTAAGTAACATAGGACTGCAGCCAGGACAGGTAGCTACTCGTGTGAGAAATATGTGCGACACTTCCCATAAGATAGTGTAGAACTGCATGATAATCCAATAACCCATATCTTGACAGCCAATACAGTACGCTTTGTTTGTTTTTTTTTTTTTGTTCTCTTTCAGCAATCTGCCTTTTGAACATAGGTTTCCCTGTACGATCTCTCTACAAACACTAGTTGTTGTTGAAGGACGCATCTTCCTAGAAGCTAGCGCTACGACGCAAATGGACTTTGCGCTTCCCACTTCCTCTCCAGACAGGTGGGCTGGTGGAACACACTGACACTGATCTGGCGACTTGGACAAGAGCAATCTTGGTAACGGAGGTGACGATGTTGCCCTGCCAGTGTGGTTGTTACTGACCGCCGCATTTCTCCATTCGCATGTGGAGTTGTCCTCCGCGCAGTACCCATAGTGCAGTCCAGGTACCAAAAGACGAGACCCTGTAGAAATCTTGTCATCAGTCCTCCACGGTTTGTAATGCCAAGTGATGTCCTTGTGTAGCTTTGAACACCAGCTGAAAGGTTGTGTCACCTGTCGAACATAATAAGTGAAGTACATGTTTCGATGACGGGCTGATCTGATCTCCGATCCCTTGATCACAATTCGAAATCGAAAGAAGGCCGCCCCCCTTACCCCCGATGAGGGGCCTTAGCAACGGACACGCATAGTCTCCATCTCCTACCATCAGCCCGACGAACAGCTAAGGAAACTAGATAAACTCCGATAAACACTAACAAGAGGGGAAAGCGCTAGAAACAAAAACAGAACCAGGAAGAAGAAGGCCTGTCTGCTTGGCTGCAGCGTTGGTGCAGAAGAAGGGTCGTTGGAAGAAGACAAAACGTACAACGGGCGGACATCACCGGCGAAGAACCCGAAACCACTCATCTTTCGAACTACATGCCCCCTTGTACCCCTGTCCAACCTGGGCAAATCCTCCCCACATCATTGGTCCCCTCTGATTTTAGCGTCACGGAACCGGCGAGCGGGATGTGTGCGTTTGGTTCTCTTGCACCACACCTGCCCAGTGCCCACACCCCCTGACAGCCTCTTGCCAGTGGCAGTGCCCCTGGGGCTTAGGATTTGGGCGAGCCAGTCCATCCCCATTGTGGACGTCCTAGGATGATGTTCGTCTCGCTCCGCCATGTGGGTTTTATTTTTGTTATTTTTTTTTTCATTTCGTTCTCAGGGCCAATGTGGTTGTTTGTGGAAGTGGAAGAGAGACAGGGCACTGGAAATTAACGGAGATTCTGATCGCATGGCAGACATGGGGTGTGCTATGGATGACACAGCCCATGCAACACCCCTTCCCTCCTCTTCCTTTCCCCGAATAGAACGATTCTAGCAACACTGCCAATGTGAGAGGTGTGGGGGGGTGTGGTTTCATTACACTTCATTGAAATGGAACGTTGATCCTCACTCTCTCACGCCTTCCGTCCCCCGCATTCTTGGTTTCTCTCTCCTCTCTCTCCCTTTCTTGAGAGCTTTGCTGCTCCTTTTTTTTGTTGCCGTCGCGTTCAGTCGTCATTGGGTGACTGACGCTGCTGCAGTGCTGCTGCATCATCTTCTAAAGGAGTGAATTTCTTTTTGATTCTTTGGTCTTTGTTGCCTTTCATTCGATTCACCCATCATCTGGCCGCTTAATACTGGCCGGACTTCGTTATCTATACGACTTGGTTTCTCATCAAGGGGGGTTTTCTGTTTTGTTTCTGTTTCCTCACTTCCCCGGTGAGAGTTCATCTCCGGAGGACAGACAACACACTCAGAAGCACGCCACGTCTATCACCTATCTCCGATCCCCGTGCATCCTTGTCCCGAGTTCCGAACCCCACGAGTAGGCTCGACTGCGTGCGTTAGTGTGCGATTGGGTGTATAGCCATTCGAGGAGAGGGGTAGAGGCATTTTGGAATTGCGAAGGAGTAACATTTTCCTGATATTCCTTCCTTGGCTTGCATCTTCCCCACAGATCTGGGCTCAAACCTGGCCATCCCGCGATCGCTCGCTACCGCTTAAACCCGCCTGGGCCGATGGGTAGAATCGAGGGACCATTGTCACCACCGTCCTGTCCCTGACACCTGACCGTCGATCCACCCGAAGTAAAGAGGGATTGCCACGTCACGGGAAAGGGAACCCAGCTGGGGGAAGGAGATTCATTGTTTATCGAAATAGGATATATGACCTCGGCATAGGCAACGCGCGTGTGTTCCCTCCCTCCCCGAGACACCCATCTCAATCCACACAACATATATATTGCTGTGGGCTACCACAACCACCAACCAGCCAGCAGCTCGTGCTGGCCATGTCGTACTTTGGCGCGCTTCAGTCCGCCCTCTTCTACTTCCTAGCCTGCACGCCATGTTACAATCTAGCTCACGTGTACAAGACGCGAAAGGAGGCGAAAAGGGAGCGGGAGATCAAGGCCCGTCTGGTCACCGAACAACCGCATCTGTATCGACACCCCGATCCGTTCCATACGAACCCGTACTGGGAAGAAGAGATTCGTCTGGGTCCCCATCCGCCAACTAAGAAGAGGAAAGGGTCAGATGGATTCGGAAGCAAACGAAGTCTCAGCCAAAGGAGGCTGACCGTTGCCAGCCGTGATGGCCGGCCTAGTACCGGCGCCGGGAGTAGCGTCCTGGTTAGCATGACTGAGCTCAACAGCCCGCGACCTTCTACGAGCCCGACTCTCACCCCCGGCCTGTCGAGTTCCCCAACCGTCGTACAAGACGATGGGCCCGCTAGCCCAACCCTCAGCAAAACTGCCTCGATAGCCACCACCACAACAGACATGTACACCCGCCGATACCAGCGCGAAGACGAAGAACTCTGGGGCCACGAGTCCTCCTCCACATCCTGGTCTGCCCCGGGGCACCGCCTCATGGACGCCATCAAACACGCGGGCAGCACAGCGGGAAGATACATGGAGTCTAAGCTTGGCGGCGGCTCATCATCGCCCCGCTCTTCCAAGGCAGTGACCGATGAGGATAGATACAACTTCTACTTCGCCCCGCGCAACCCGCCCGTCAACGAATACCATCCCCCCGTGGTCAGCTCGCGCCCCATGCGCAAGGATGAGCTGAAATGGATGTTGCAGCCGCCGCCGCCGGCGAAGTTCATGGATGGGAAGGTGCCCGTGAGTCGGAGCGCAAGTACCATGAGTGTGGCGTCTTCGGTTGCGACGAGGAGGACGCTCAACGGGCAGGGGAGCGTGAGGGAACCAAACAGGTCGATGGGGTCGTTGAATCGGGTTGCGAGTGAGAAGGGACGGGTGAGGAGTGCGAGTACGGGGGAGAAATCCTCGGTTGGGAATAGTGAAGTTGGGGAGAATGCCACTGGTGCTGCGAAGGAGAAGGATCTGAGGTCGGTGTCGACACCCTCGCCTACAAAGAGCAGGAGTAGCAACAGCAACAGGAGTTCTATGAGGAGGAGAAGGAGGGCAGGGACGGCTGGGTCGGGTTCGATCAGGTCACCTTCGATGAGGTGCCAAAGAAGAAGAAGGAGGGAGACGGTTACCAGCAGGAGTAGCAGTGATGCTGACTCGGAAAGCGATCCAAATTCTGACAGTGAAGATTCTGGGTCCGAAACGAATAACACTAGCTGTAATGCTAGCAGCATTGGAAGGGGGGACTCGAAGGGGAAAGCATCTGTTACTGCCGCGAGGAAGGCGAGGTTATCGACTATCAAGAGCTCAGAAGGGCAAGGGGAGAAGGTTACGCTGGAGGGTAAGGATAAGCACAAGGCGCAGGAGAACCCCTTTGAAAAGGCGGAGGTTGAGGCTAAGAGGGCTGAAGAGGTGAGGTGAAGCATTTCTCACCGAAGTTGGATTGACGCTCATTAAAATCACTTCCGTTTTTTTTTTTTTTTTTGTTTTCTGATTATCTGTTGGGATCGGACTGGGTTGGCGTTACACTACTGGGGCAACATCATGCATCATTGTTATTGCTTGGGTCACGCTCATCATTACATCAGTTGGGTGTTTAAGGGAGTTTTATCCTAAGGACTGGCGTTTGTCATAGCACAGCATGGGTCTACCAATTGCATATAAAAGACTCAAATTATCCATCAAAGCAGCAGCATGCCGTTAGAACTTGCTTGTTGAGTGTCCTCTCGTTTGTTCCGTTTCTTGTTTGAACTCGTGGATAATGGTTTGGTGGTGTACATACGTTTTGGCTCTATCGCTTTATGAGGGTGTTGCTACCGAGAGGCTGTGCCCAGATACCTGCCTTGAAATTGAAAATCCATCCATGTCTTACAGGTCTACATAACACTGGGTATTTGCCGTATAGTTCATTCCATTTGTTTTTTTTTTTGTTGTTATGTTTTGTAAGTTACCCTGAGAACCCGTTCTCATAAACCCAACGTAATAAGTAGACGTATCCGAACTCCGAAAACCATACATCCTTCACCGGGATATCACTTTTGATGCCGTAGCAGGAAGTCAACATCGCCCCCTTTACAGATATAACCCTTCCTCCTCATCCCCCTCCTGAACTCCCAATCGCCGAATCTGCTCCTCAACCCTTCTCCTCAACTCCTCGTCCGAGAGTGACCCGCCCGGCTGCCTCCCCGCGCCTCCCTGCTGTGCCCTCGGCGGATGCATCTCAATAACCCCATCCCTAATAACCCCCGTCTGAAAAGTCCCATCACTCCAAGCAGGGTGACTCCTCTCCCCTGTGCCATTCACCGCTGGCCCAGTCCCATTCGTCGTCGGTGCTTCTTGTTGCTGGGTATTAGGATGCTCGACCACAATCGTCTCGGTATTATCCATCTCGGGGACCACCCTCCTCTCCTCTTCTGCCCTCCGCGCACGCGATTCGAAATCTGTCCAGTTTAGTCCCCGAGACTCAACTTCTGTCCTGAGCAGGCGGATGCGCTCTTGCATCCGCTCGATGACGGCTTCGTTTTCTTTGATGGCATCGATGCAGTCTTGGTCTGGTTCGCATTTATCTTCTTGTGAGGACTGTTGGGAGGAGGAGGGGTTGTTGGGGTCGAGGGCGCGCGCCGTGCCTTCGGCGTAGGGCCGGAGCTGCTCGTTGGAGTAGTCGAGGTGGGCGATGCTATTGCGGAGTTCGAGGAGCTTGGTGAAAAGGGCGTCAGTGGGGAGTTCTTTAAGGGCTGCGGCGAAGCGTGTGGGGGTTATGGGGCGGGCGTCAGCGGACATTTTCGGGGTTGAGATTGGGAGACGACTTGTGAGAATGGGAGGTTCAGGATAGTGAGAGTGGTAATGGCGGGGTTGAAGTTAGCTGTAGTTGAGGAGGAAATTAAAGTCAGGAAACTCGATGTTAGGTCGAAAGCAGTCTGAGTTTTTTTTTTTCCCCAAAGGAGTACCGACTTTAGAATTTGCTTCGATGTTTCCGTTTTGCTCCTTCGAAACATTCGAGATGCAAGCATGACCTTTTGAAAAGTTTCATTGAAGTCTTAAGATTGACGCAAGAAGCTGCCTAAGCTAAGCTGAGGACCCCGCAGTCCTGCCCCACGTTCCGCTCTTGATGGGGTCCATTCCAACCAATCAGAAGAGCCGATTTCTGCGGGTTCGACGCTGGACCCAGGTTCTCGGAGCCGCGATTTTCTCGTCGGCTCAACCTCAATCAACTTCCCCTTAGACAACATTTTCGCCGAAAGACCAGGAGCGACGACCCCCAGGAGCGACGACCCCCAGGACGACGACGCCTCCGTAACTGCCCACGCAGTCCTGCCGCCCTCCAGATAGGCTACCAGTGCATGGACAGACTGCGCGCGGCAGGCGACTGGGCGCCGCCTGATCAGCGACTCCGACAATGACCACTCCCGCCCTACCCGGCCTAGGCGCCCTACGGTCCGGCGTCCAGCTGGCTGCCCGGTCCCTCGAGACCCGGTGTGGCCCGTTTGTGCTGCCGACCGGCACGGTTCCTATCCGATTCTACTCATCCGATCATCACAGACCAACAACGACGCATTCACGACCCAGAGCTACACTACCTACCCAACACCATGCCCCCACCATAATACGTCTGCCCGCCCGGCCAGGACCTTTCCTGCAATGGCGCGGCCTCAAGCTCTTCGGCGGAAACAAAGTCATCACACGCTACATCGATCTACCCCCCGACTACGACGATGCGACCGGCCTACCCTTTGCCCGCGAGGACCTCACAGCTGAGCAAGTGGCCGAGATCTTCGGTCCCCATATCACCGCCGAAGCCGCTAACCAGCTCCTGCGCATCCTACACGGCCGGCGAGTAGCCGGTACGCTCGAGGACCCGACACTGCGCAAGAACACAGCACACTACAGCGCGAAGCACTACAAGCTTGCGCTCGACTACCTACGCAAGACAGTCCACGTCGACGAAGTCATCAACGCCGGCCTGCGCGCCGAAGATGAGCTCGCCGAGATCGAGCGCCAGCGCGAACAGGAAGAACTGGAGAAGGCGACGGCCGAAGCGGTCGCTAAGCTCAAGAAGGAAGCCGCCAGCGTCGCCGCGAAGGTTGCCGACGGCAAGGAAGTGTCTGACGAAGCCCTGCCCCCCGTCACGGTCGAGATTCCCAAGCCGAAGAAGTCCCCCTATGGCGAGAGCGTCGTCGACAGTCTGGTCCGCCACAAAGAAGCCGCTGCTCAGGTCCTCAAAGCCCGCGACGAAGTCGAGAAAAAGAAGCGCGAGCATGAAGAGCGCCACGGCAAAGCCGGCCCGTTGCAGGCCTACGACGAGGCCGCACGCAACCACCCCGTCGCGATCTGGGTCGAGAAGTGGCGCGATCGCGCTACGTCGCCGCTCGAAGCCCCGCCCGAGATGCCCGCTTGGAAACGGATCGGCCCCTCTGCGCTGTTCGCTGCCCTCGTTACGTCTGCCGCGCTCGCCTACGCGATGAACTACCGCCCCAAGAAGCGCGACGAGCGCTGGTTCCCCGACGTTCCGCCTGCTGCAGCGACCGTCGGCGCGTTGATCCTTGCGAACGTACTCGTCTGGATTGCCTGGCACATCCCGCCGTGCTGGCCGATTCTAAACCGGCACTTCTTACTGGACGTAGCCGTTCCCCGCGCGCATGGGGTTCTCACGAGTATGTTCTCGCATCAGGTGTTGGTTAAGCACCTCCTTCCCAACATGGTCGGACTCTGGGTCTTCGGCGTCGGGCTGCACGACGATGTGGGGAGGGGCAACTTCCTCGCTACGTATTTCTCATCGGGTGTGCTGGCCATGCTGGGCACGCTGTGCTATGGCGTCGCGAGTAACACGCTCAATCTTACGTCGTTGGGCGCTTCCGGTGCTATGTATGGCTTGTGCGGCGCGTATCTGTGGATGCATCGGTTGGATCACTTCAAGATTTTTGGGTTCCCCCCGGGGAATAGTGAGGGGATTTCGGGGCTGGTGTTGTTAGCTGTTGCGGGCGGGTTAAATATTGGGTATGCGATGACGCCGATGCGGTTCAAGGTTGATGTTACGTCGCATTTAGTGGGTATGCTGGTAGGTGTGTTGGCGGGGCATTGGATGGAGAAGAAGAGAGAGGAGAAGGGGATGATTCCGGTGTGGAAGGTTAGGAGGGAGAAGGGGTTGAGGAAGGAGGAGGAGCAGAGTTAAGAAGGGTTGGTGGCCGCGAAAAAAAAAAAAAAGGGGGGGGGGTGTGCGGGGGAGGGGAGGGAGAGAAATAGAGATGTTTAAAAGGAATGTATTATCACCGTATAAGCGATGCCCTGTATATGTATCATGTGTATCAATCATGAGCGGATATATCTGGTTCTCGGTAGATTTGTAGTATATCGACTTTTCGTATCCCATCAGGAGCTTTTTCTTGTTGTGCCCTTCTGATGTCTGTTTACTTGCTTTCACGAGGTTCACTTTCATCACACAGAGCAACGATCTTCACGCTCTCTTATCTGACTTGATTGTCACGATGCCTCAGCTGAGCTTATCAACATCCCACAGCACACAATCACTCCCCACATGCCGATTACCGAACCACGGGATGCCGTTGGCGGTTTGCAGAACCGGAAGGATCACCGATCATTGGACGGTTGAAACACCGAGTCGCGGTGCTGATTTGCGAACCAGTGACCGCTTGCACATGCGAACTTTAATCCACTTGGCTGTGCTGCTGGGCCGCGGGCCTCCTGTGGACAGGGGGCTGGAGAACGGGAGCCAAGCAGGAGGACAGGGATCGGCGCTGTTGGTGAGGTGGGTGCTGACGCAAATTCTGATGTTTTCGATGGACTGTTTTTATTTTCTTATGGAATTTTTAGAGGGAGCCAATGCGGTTTGTGTTGACCTTGTTTAAGGAATGCATTGCGTTCAAAGTGTAGAGAGTTGATCAGAAAATAAGTCGTAAAGGAAGAGAAGTCAAAACAACAAGGAGAAGGAAAAAGAGTACTCTTCAGGAATGCAGCGACCTGTTGGCGCCGAGGTAAGGTTGTGAAGGGGGGGGGGAAGGGGAAAAAAGAAGCTGTTGGTTCGGAAGCCTTGCGCGTTTGCGGGAGCGCTCAAAGCGCGATCGGGCTGTCTTGGATAGCAAAAAATGTCAGAATGCATACGGATCCGTACAGAAGGAGTTGTCTTCATTCCGTAGAAAAGAAAGAAGACAAGACCAAAGTTCGCTATCGTAGTCTATCCCGACCAGGCAACCCTAACAACAAACCTCCCTTGGTTCCGTTTCCGAAGTCGAGGGATGGATGGCTGATCCCATACCCTAGGTAGAGGCGCGCGCGCTAGTCTCAGATCTTTAAATCGAGAGGGGGGGGGTTCCTGAGCCCAGCTGAAATATTTCACACCGAGGTTCGAGGGGGAAGGGAAGGTACTTAATAAGTTAAATCATAGGACCGCGTCGATCCTAGGGTTGCATGTGTCACTCACTCCATGATTCAGCTCGCTTGAACCTGGGAAGGGTCTTTCATCTGATCTTTTTTAACCACTCTGACCGACTTTTGATGGTGTGTGTGTGTGTTTTTGAGTGACAGTGAGGCCGGGGCCAGCGAGCGCAGCTGAGAGATTCTGATTCTCAACGTGGACATCAATCTCAACCTCAACTTCAACCTCACCTCAACCTCAACCGACTTTATCACACCGAGACGGGGTCACTTGAGCTCATGACTTGAAATTACCCGATCGATCATCAATTAGCAACGTACGGATTATAAAAATATTTGAATCTCTCATCCAATCCATCAACTTCAACAATTCAATCGTTCAATCCTCTCATCGCGACTCATATACCAAAATCTCACTCTTCTCAGACCGATCCAATGTCCTCCCTCCATAACCCGGGCATCGGCCCAAGCATTCATCCCAACGGGGTCTCCAGCACCCCAACCAAGCAAATCGACCTCGCCCAAAACCCCTACGCGTCTGAATCCAAATGGCGCCACGTCGAGTCAACCGCCTTCGCCCGCTGGGAGCGTGAGAACCCTCGCCCGGAGATTGGCGGCATCAGCCCATCCTCCCATGCGGCTGCTGGTGTCAGAAGCAGTGGCAATGGCCCTCAAGAATACAAAATCATCTGCGGCCCCCTCCTCAACTTTCGTCGCATGGAAGGTCACGGTCGCCGCTGGTTCGGCAGCGTGCTGATTGTGACTGAGGGCGGGGGGATGATTGTGCCTGAGAAGGGGCAACGCCCGGTACTGAAGCTCCGCCGGGTTGGGAATAGCGAGAAGAATGTGCAGTTTATCGAGGGCCTGTGTCTGTACTCTGATCCGAAGGTGACCTTCTGGCGGTATGACCTTGAGGTAGCCGTTCGGAGCGAAGGAAGTACGTGGGAGTATGGGTTCAACTGTGGGAAGGGACCGAAGGTGAGCATGGGAGAGCAGGTGCCCGATCCTAAGAAGAAAGGGAACCTTCCAGGGGAGAAGAGGGAGTTGAGGGAAGGGTATCGATTCGTGATCCCCGCTTTTGAGGAGAGTATGAGGATCATGTTCTTCTCATGCAATGGGTTCAGTGTTGGGACGGATGAGAATGCCTGGACTGGGCCGGTGCTGTGGAATGATGTGCTGAGACAGCATAAGGAGAGACCGTTTCATGTTATGTGAGTCTTCCTCTCCCTCCCTCTTGAACTTCGGTTCAGTACTAACTAGTCGATAGGATTGGTGGCGGCGACCAGCTCTACAACGACGGCATCCGTGTCGATGGGCCGCTCGCGGAATGGGCGGATATTGCGAATCCCAAGAAACGGAAGGATCATCCTTTCCCAGAGGAATTGCGCCAGAAGTGTGATGAGTACTATCTCAGAAACTACCTGTGGTGGTACTCTACGGAGCCGTTTGCCTCGGCGAACTGCGTGATTCCTCAGCTCAATATTTGGGATGATCACGATGTGAGTTTCTCCCCTTCTGGGCTACGATGATCCTTACTGACGGGATAGATCATCGATGGCTTTGGCTCATACGTCGACCGCTTCATGAAATGCGACGTCTTCCGCGGCATTGGCGGCACCGCGCACAAGTATTACATGCTCTTTCAGCACCATCTGCCTCCTCCAGCCAGGACCTACACGACAGGTGAGTGTTTTGATCCCCTATTTTCAGTTCCACAGCACTGCTAACATAAACAGGTGGTCCCTCTGCGGCAGGGAATGATCAGGCCGGAGGAGCTGGCCAGACAGCCAATTCTTACGTACACCCTCCGATCAAGGAGCCTAACTATATTTATGGCCCCCATCCAGGGGTAAGTTATCCAAGAATGATTAGGGAAATGCCTGGGCTAACGCTAGCAGCCATATGTCGCTGAGCATACTCACAACATGTTCGCCCGACTCGGCGCCAGGGTCGCCTTCGTGGGCATCGACGCCCGTACTGAGGTGAGCTTTAGTCCCTTAGACTCTCTGACACCTCAAATATACTAAACGCATGCCAGCGCACGCGCCACCAAGTCAACCGCCCTGATACGTACGAAGCAATTTTCACACGTCTCTACGAGGAATTCTCCTCCGCGAAGCAAGCTAAGCGTCCCTACAAGCACCTGATCCTCCTACTCGGCATCCCCATCGCCTACCCGCGCCTGACCTGGCTGGAAAACATCTTCTCCAGCCCGCTCATGGGCCCCATGAAGCTCCTCAACCGGCGCGTGGGCTTCGGCGGCAGCTTCTTCAACACTTTCGATGGCAGCGTCGATCTGCTGGACGACTTGGACGACCACTACACCGCGCGCACCCACAAGGAGGAGCGCAACTGGTTGATCAAGAAGCTCCAGGTCTTGAGCGCGCGGTTCTCTGTCCGAGTGACCATCCTCGGTGGCGACGTCCACCTCGCTGCCCTAGGCCGCTTCTACGCCAATCCGAAACTCGGCATCCCTGTTGAGAAAGACTACCGCTACATGGTGAACATGATTTCCTCTGCCATTACCAACAAGCCGCCTCCGCTGGCTGTCGCAAACCTGCTTGCTAGCAGAAACAAGATCCATCATCTCGACCACGAAACAGACGAGACGCTGCTCAAGCTGTTTGACAAGGACCCAGGTCCCGCAACCAAGACGGCAGGCTACAACTGCGTCACCATGCCCAGCCGAAATTTCACCATCATTACAGAGAACTCCCCGCATAACACCACTATCGTCGAGGCGAGTACAAACAGCACTGCTACCAATGGCAACGGCAACGGCAACGGCAACGGCGCCCTCCCCGAACTTCAGCCCCCTAATCCCCTCAACCCTGACGCGTCCTCCCTCCCCCCCGGCTCAATCCACTCCCACTCCCATTCCTACCGCCCCCGGCTAGGCAGCTTCCTCTCCTCCCGCTCGCACAATCGCCCCGCAAGCGTGGACAACCCCTCCTCCGCAGCCTCAACCCAAACCGGCAATTCCAGATCTAAATCCAAATCCGGGCTCTTCCCCCGCTCTAAACCCGACCCGCGCAACCCCCTCTACGAAGGGGAACTCTCCTGTGGCACGAAACACCGCGCCGCAGACCCAAGGCTGCACGGCAGAGCGGCAAATGACGGGTCCCTGGACGTGTGTATCTGCGTGGAAATCGATCGGGGAGATGCAACCGGGAAGACACAGGGGTATGGTATGACGATTCCGGTGTTGGAGTACGAGGGCGAGGTGCCGGAGGATGTGGGGTATTTGGTGGAGAGGAGAGCATCGATTATTGATGGGGATAAGGGGCGATAGATGAGTAGGTACGTGCCTACCTTACCTATTCATGGCAGAGAGGTTGTGTGTAAGGTCAAGGGGGGAGAGGGGGGTTGGGGGGGGGGGGGTAGAAAAGAGAGACACCTACCTAAGTGAAATGATGGGGGCAGGTGAAGGGAGGGAGATAGTCTCTTACTTTGGATCTTATAAGGATTGTAGGAGGGTGAACAAAGTATCTTGTTGGGTTTGCAATTGTGGATATGGGTCATCGATGTCAATTGTGTTTGTGAGGTAATGCAAGATGTTGGTTAAGCCATATATGATAACGCCAGTTATGCTTAAATCTTGAATATCCATGACAATCTGCTTGCTTGCCTGAATGCTTCCTCTATGGACGTGGATGGCCAGCCGTCTGTCGAGCTACCCCTTTTTTATCCTCACTGTATCGGCATACGAAGATGTGACCGCCTTCTAGCCTAGGTAGTCTCCCTTTGCTGCAGTATCGTCCGCCCCTTTACTCAAGGGCAGGCATCGTTTCCGCAGAGAGAGAGGTGCTCAAGGCCCGTCATCCCTCCTGGCTTTCATATTCGCAGAAGGGCAGCAGCATGTAATGTCTAGAGCCTCAACTAAAACCAAATGATGAAGGTTAAGAACCAAGCATACCAAAAATATTAATTACCAAGCTACGTATCCCTATGTAACGATAATAATAACGAATCAAAACCAGAACCAGAAAGGGGGTACGACCGAGCTTGATCAAGCTCATGAGGGCATAACCAAAAACCAAAATCCTGGTGAGATCTGTGAATTCAAATCCTGGAGAAGGGGGTGGGGGAGGGTAGGTGGAGTGAATAATAAGACAAGAAGCCACTACCAACCAAGTAGATGTGAATCAAAATCCAAGTAACAAGTCAAGCCAGTCCAGCCCAAGCCAAATCAAAACAAACCGAAGAGATGGATACTGCCAAAATAAAGATCCATCCCTATGTCCATCCATGTTCTCATGAGAAAGGGAATCAACTCCTATGGACCCAGTCCTCCATATGACCAAAATCTCCAACAAACTCCAGCCAAGCTTACCCTCATGGTTGCTGTTGCCATTATCAACCCTCATTCTTTCAACAGGGTGTCCTGTCCCCTCATCCATCCATGTCCCTATCCATATCATGCAGGCACCTTTCCAGGTATGTATGTATGCGTGTGTGTGTGTGTGCATGTGTGAAATCTCGCATCCAAATAGTCATGCATCCCTTTGACCCGGAATCCATGTGCTGTGCTGCTGTTGTTGTTTTGTTGCTTTCCCCCCTCCCCCCCCTATCCCCCTTATTATTTAGTGATATGGCTCCTAACTAGAGAGAAATAGGTAGGTAGGTAGGTAGGTAGGTAGGAAGGAATCAATGCAATTTGCAGAGTTCCAGCCAAAATGCAATGATTTCCTTGCTTTTAATCATCTATATCCCTTCAATCCCCTCAGAAGATCATTTCCAACTGAATAACCGTGACCAAATCTTGGCTCCCCAAGGATCAAGCAGCAACGCCCTTCCCAACAACTCCCACCCATCGTATCCTCTTCAGCGCACCTCCCGCCGAGCTGCTCTTCACCAACTCACTGCCACATCCAGACCCAGCAGCCGCAGCAGCGGATGTCGCATTCCCAACCAACCCAGCCCCTCCCGAACCTCCCCCAGCAGTAAACGAAGCAGCACCAGCAGCGCCCTCCTGCCTGCCCACCTCTCTACCAATCATATACCCCGCGCCGAAGCCCACCACAGACACGAGAACGACCACGCCAGCGGAGACGGCCCACGTTAGAACCGACGGGGAGAGGGATGAGAAGAAGGATGTTTGGGATGCATTCCTTTCGAGGGTAACAGCCCCGGACGCCTTCCTCCTACCAGTGCCTCTTGACCTCGCACTCTGTACTGTCGCAGAGCGCTTAGTCTTCTCCCCCGAAGGGTGCAGTCTCGTCGGCGACAGGGCAGGCGACGAGCCGGTTGAAGTGCGGGTCCCGGTTCGGGATGGGACCTGCTGTGGGGCCTTGGGAGCGGCCGGGCCGGAGGGAGGTGGGGCCCCGTCGTCGTGCTCGGCCATGAGCTCCGATTCCGGTACAAGACGGAGTTCCATTGGCTGGGTGGTCGGAGGGAGGATTGCTGCACCGAGGGCGCGGCGTTCATCATCGCTGATGGTAGCAGGATTGTTATTGTTGTTGTTAGTGTTGGTGGCGGTATTATATTTCGGCAAACTACGCGCAGCAGCCGCGCAGGAAAGCAGCGTCGTCAGCGAGGCGCGTAGCGCAGCATCATTATCGGCCTGGTAAGATGGACTCAAGAAATCGGGGGGCGAGCGACGGGAGTTGTTATGCGAACGGTAATGGACGGGTCGCGAGGAGGGGGCTGATTGGCTGTAGGGATAGGAGCTACTCCTGCTAGCGGCAGCTGAGGAATGGTTCAGCATGTGACTGGGTGGATGAGAGAAGGCGTTTGGTTGGGGGCGGAAGACGGGCGTGGGGCTGGAGGCCGGGCCGAGGGCGGTGCCGTCGTCGTCGTCGTCGCTGTCGGAGTCGGTTTCGACGGCGGCGGAGGCGTTGCGAGAAGAGGTTGTCCGCCGATGGGAGAGAAGATTCGTGCTGGCGGTTGGGTGGATGGCTTCATTCGAGCTGGTCATGACGCGGTCTTCCTCGCTCTCGGACTCTTCGTACTCGTCTTGGCTGCTTGTCGCGCCGCTGGTGTTGGCGTCGGAGTGACCGACAATGAAGGACGCAGGCATCGCGTTCTGTGGTCGCCGGCGACGCGGGTAGGTGCCGGAGCCGACGCGCAGGCCGGTTGTAACGATCTCATCGCCGCCGATGGAGGAGAGCGATGAGGATGATGGACGGGACGACACCTCGACCCAGGACTCTGAAGACATAGACATGGTCAGTTCCGAGGGCTGTCGCGACAGGCCGCCGGCTTCGGCGTCTGGCTGAGACTGACCATCATTGTGCCGGCTTGGAGAGTGAGAAGTCGATGGAATGTCGGAGCGCACAACGGTATTCTCGGTGTTGGGAGCCGTAGTGACAGCGCTGCGCCCTTCGCGGCGCGATGGCCGATAGATTTCCGACGGCGGCATGGTCAACAAGATCAGACTCGTAGTTGACCCGGCTTTGCGTCGAACGTGCGGAAGATGCAATACGCAGGAAATCAGTCGGCGATTCTCACGATGTTGATTCGTATGTAAATGAGGAGATGGTCAGTCGTGTCGCTCTCCTCCTGACCCGGGGGGGGTAACCTGGCGAGAGTGTCCAGATCGTGGTGTTGTTGGCCCCACGGCACCTGAACAATCCGTAGCGGCGTCGCGCAGCGGGCGTGGGAGAGAGTATGGGCGAAGCAGGACGAATCACGCAGCACGCTGCCCCCAAAGCAAGTTCTCAGAGTCACGGACTGCTCAGCTGGCTGTAGGTGTGGATCGCCGCCCCCGCAGCCTGCAGGAGCGGAGTCGTGAGGACGCCGGCTTCACGCCTTCACCTCACGACAGCAGCCGGGAGCGGATCTTTGTTTTAATATCAGTGAAACCACCCTGATTTTTCCAGATCGAAATGGGCTGATTCTGTGAGCAACGGCAACGACAACGATGATGAAGAGGCGGAGGAGCAGTGACAAGAGAGTCTAGGTTGCTGGGGTACCTCCGTTCTTGTACTGTTGTGGAAAGTGGAAACCGAAGTCGGCGGTGATCCCACGATCAACCACAACCCATGTTTTTTTTTGTTGGGGCTTCTATGGGATTTGGCCTCTCTTTGATATCCTTGCTGGCCTTAACCACTGTCGACACACCGGCGCCCGCTCAGCCAGCACTGACACAGTGACAGTAGCATCCTAGGCACTGCGCCCAGGGCTTCCGTCCCGTCTGGGCGTCTCTGGCGACAGCTTGGTTGTCTCGCGCTGGGCGTGACCGTGCCAGCTCCACTCTAACCGGTGTGGAGCGATCGCCCAGGAACATTCGCCGATCTAATTGGATGCAGTCTCACCAGTCCCCACTTAGTGTGGTCCACTTGATCCATTGGGCGCGGCGCCATGACGTTGTGCCAGCCCTGTCGGTGCGAGATTCCGGCTCCCCGTCTTCAGCTTTTGGCCAGGGCTTTTTAACAATCCCCATTTTTTCTGAGGGCGGCCGAGGGATGGGATGAGACGTGAGGTTCATAAACCTTCTGTGTCTCGGGCTCAGCGCAGGAAGAAATCGAGCCTCTTGACAGTAAGTACACATCGAGGAGCCTGTGTGCTGTCAGCGTGATATCTGTGGCCTGAGGATGCTATCTACATGTTTCAAGGTGGAATGACAACGGCCATCTCCTACGAAATCTCCCCATGCTCTCTGCCCACATCAACCTCATGAGCCTCCAGTTGGATGCACTTCTCGGAAAGATTAGCTTCAGAAGCTTTTTATATCATGTCTCACAGCCGAATGATTGCCGGGAGTGTATTCGGCAGTTCATGCAGCCCTTACATAGCATTCTTAACACCTGATATCTCATACATCACGGCTAAGGATGTTTTTTTTTCTTCAACGTAGTTGCTATAGCGACCCTGATCTGTGGTTATAATGGTATATATATATATATATATATATGTATGTATGTATGTATGTATGATGTATGTATGTATGTATATATGCCAGCGGGCTTTATGAGGAGACGGGAGTCGTTATAAAAGATGAGGGCAGGCTTACAGTGTCCTAACCAAAATTTGGACCCGGTGCTGTGCTATTGGAGAAGTACTTTGTATCCATCCATATCTGGCGTTAAGCTTTTGACTTATCGTCTTCAACCGGGCTGACGGATCCCTACAATTGACCTTCAGTGGGTTTTCTCTGATCTACATAATTGGGAGCGATGCTGCGATATGCCCTGGCCTGCTCTCATAAAGAGGACACTAAAGCAGCGGGATAATTAACATCGCTCCTTGCTGGTAGATCTCGCCTGGTGTCTTAAGAGGCTGCCCCTGGATATTGTGTGGTAAGTCTAGAGGCTGCTGTGATGGGCACGTGCTCGACTACTGGTTGACAGTGTAAGTACCTCTGGAAGCTGTCAGAGCAGGGAATCTGTCCAATCGTAGAGAAAGGACTTACTGCGGCTGCTTCTAGAATCATATGCTATGATGCGGCCCTTCGTTTCACCATCCAGCTCCTGCTCTTTCTACAGTTTACTCCCGTTTGGATCAAGGGGAGCCTCATGCTCCATTATTTTGTGCTCCGTATGAAGTCCAAAATACGGATTAATCTCTGATAGAGCGTAGATCAGAAAATGCTTAACGGGATGGTCACACACCAACTAGTTTTTGGGTTAGGTAGCTCAGATGTAAATCACCTCCAAAGAAGTCCTACTCCTGGACAAGTAACCTGAGCCAGGACATCCTATGATTGCTACGGATCATCAAGCATGCTACTTTTTTAGGGCTGCATACCACCATAAGACCTTCCTTCTCTCCTGGGCAAGACTAATTACCCAGGTAATGTTCTCGTCGGGAGAGCGGGATGAGTATGAGGAAATCAAAAGGAAAGGGCCATGCTGTAAAGTAGGCGTAGCTCGTGAGGAACTTTGATGTTAGAGAAAATGAAGGCAACGATATCATGAGGGCCTCTGGAGGGATTGGCAACAGACAGTCTGGTAGAACCGAGAACCTCTGGAGGAGCGCCTTCCGCCCTTGGTTCTGCTTAATAAACGCATGAACTACATAGAAATGACTCATAGGCCCTTCCATCAAGATAGCAAACCGCAGTGCCGAAGATTTTCGGAAGTTTGTCATCACTCGATGACAACCCAACTCTTGCATATCAGACATGAGCTGCTTCAGTCCCGTTACACTTGAAATGTGTGAAGGAAGCATAGCAGACTGTAGGGTAGAGCCTCTGGATAGCACGTAAAGGCCTATCGGGTAAAGTTTGAGAGAGGTGCCCCTGCGATGTAACAAACAGACGGGCAGGTCTTGGAGCCCGATAGATCTGTGTGTGGAGAGTTGGGTTCGCGACTTTATTGTTCTATGGCAGACTTGAACTAGAGTCTAGGCGAACCAGGTAATCCCTAGCGTGAGGGGGAAAGGAGACGCAGCCTTATGTGGCACTCAGTCCTACGGGGAAGGCAGGCTAAGACGGCCTCTCCGTGTTTCCAAGCTTCTGGCTTCCTGATATCAATTAGATCGTCAGAAAGATTTTCACGACGGCCAGTTATGGCCCTGGACGTTCAACCGCATGAAGCCATTGCATGTGATGCAAACCATAGTGCTGGCAGTTGATCGCTGGCGTGGCTTGCAGTAGGAGCTAGGTAATGGTAATGGCCGATCATCTGGCTAGCCGAGATTTCTGCTGCTCACTGACGATTCGATATCCATATGTATGTCGCTTTCAGTCGGATGCGGGTTATGGAGCAATAAGAGAGAGTTGGCGGAAACTTGGAAGCCATAGAAGACATAGAAAATATGTTCTGCTGGCTTGTTGATAAGATGTGACCCCACAGGGGTCCAGCCGGGCCGCTCTTGCTGGAGCGAACCGCAGCGGCCCGGCCAATCACAGAGCCGGGCTAGTGCCTGGAGGCCCCACCAATCAAGACAGACACGGCAAGAAATGGCAACAGCGATGACCAACATCCAAGCACACTGCAGACAATGGGTGCAGGATTGCAGATGCAGCAATCTGCTTAATCGCAAGGATGATTCCCGTTCTGGGTAGCTGCTCTCTGGCCGCATTTTGAAGATGACCACTCCCGAGCGAGCCAGCACGTCAAATTTTGTCACCAGACCTGGTGTCGACCAACGAAGCACTGGGCTGCTGATTTTGACGATGCTGTGCGAGGACACGAAACTATGACGCGTGGGGGGTCATCGTCCTCCAGCCGCCGGGGGGTCCCCAGCAAAGACGCTTGAGCTCGGGAATGCAAACAAAATTTGAAAAGCCGGATCTGGGCAGACGGTTCACATATCGCTTAGGACCATGTAGCCGTTTAAAGATAGGGTTTGAGCATGTTTATGCTGCTCAGCCTGTCGAGCAAAGTGCGTGGGGTAAGTCCCGACTACTTACACATCCCCTGATGGCCCTGGTCAGTTTTGGGACAGCGGAGAACAAAAAGCTTTGTTTTAGATTCTACCCATGTTGGATCTCCTTTTGATTTGATTTCAAGAGCGGACAGGAGTCACAGGTTGGTTAGAGAGCTGCTTCCCTCTTCAGCTGGTCAATGTTTAGCGTCTTTTGCCCCAACACCCTAGCTTCATGGGTTATCCTGCCTCTGTTACGCGTTGAACTAAGCTTTCGAGGCACAATAAGGCGTTCTTCAGGGGCTTTAGCCATACAAATGAAATTACAATTGCGATTTTTGGAGGTATATACATGGCCGCATTTCAAAGATCTGTATTTAACCAACGCCCGGCTTCCTCGTAGTTTGTCTGTCAATCTTCCTCCATGCTCATTCTGCTCTTTTACGTCTTTTTTTCCCCTCCAAAAATGCTTCGAAGAAGCATTTTCGATAGCCAAAAAAAAAACCAAACTAAAAACAGCCGAAAGACGAAGTCTAGCCAGAAGTATCAGTGACTTCCCCAACTCGAGTGAGATTACCAAGACCAACCAGCGTTGACCCAAGCAGCAGCTCTGACGAGCTATCCAGCCAGTTCCAGCGGCATGCCACAATCCTCGCGACGCTCGTGTCAAGACGGCAGCTGCATTAGCCCATCCTGTTCTCCCTTCCAATGCCAAGCGTCTAGCCATCAGGCCGCAAAACAGACCAGCGCTCTGCATGCATACCCACATGTGTTGAGCTCCCAGAAGGGGGAGGGGGAGGGGGGTAAACAGGCCTTCGGCCTAGGGAAGGCAGGGGAGGAAAAGACGAGGAGAACAAAAGGTCAGGGAGAAGCCAGCGGTCGGGGGGGTGCGTCCCTCCCGGAATGAGTGCGGCTCTTTCGTCCCCGTGGCCTGCCCCTCCTGCCAGCCGAGCTGGCGGCGGCCAGGCTGGCTTTCCTGGGGCTGGCTCTCGCAGAGTCTAATGCCCTCCCCCATCTTTACCATTCGCTCCTTCGTCCTCTCCGCTGCCCCCTTCTTCTCCTCATGCCCTGCGCCTTTCCGAGAGCCCATTCCCAACCTCGCTCGCGCCGCGTCCGACGCCGACCTGCCCCTCTCTGAGCCGAAAATGACTGACCCGACCAACCTTCGTGCGGCCTTGTCTGGCTTGAGAGAGCCCGGCGGACAAACCAGATGTTTACACGCAATAACCGCACGGAACGGCACTACACTACACCACACTCCCTACGCAAACCCACGCGTGTCACGCTCCCCTCGCTCTCCGCGGCAGACCCACTCCAAGCAACCCGGCCGGCAACGCGTAGTGCGCGCGTTTCATCTATCTGACCCTCTGTCTGTCTAGCTGACTGGCTGTTCCTTTGTGCCCTCATCATATCTGCCCAATCATCGTTACATCCCTCTCTTGTGCTGCAATCCCCCCAGCTTTGGGCTCGAGACAATTTCGCAGACCGCATTCCTGAAGCCCAGAGAAGGGAAACCATGGGTGAGATGGCAGTTGATGCGGGGTTCGGAACCTGGAGGTATAACAGGGGATAGTCGGACTCTCTGGGGTGAAAAGATCTGGGGAAAGCCTATATAGCTAAGCTGTTCTCATTGCGCTCACAGCATTGCAGGAATTCAGCTCTTCCTACGCTCCATGCTTTCCTCGTTTGCTTCTCTGTATCGGTTTTGACTTCTCAGCTATCATCCCACAGTTCTCGTCCTCACAGAGAGCTCCAGCCAACATGGACAACACGTCCGCCTCAGCTGCCGGTTCTGGCGCTGAACCATTCTACACAACATATGATCCTCAGCCTCCTCAGGCCCCCAAGCCGGCTACAGACAAGGGTAGTGGCAAGGGACGTGGCAAGGGACGTGGCAAGGGACAAGGGGAACAGCCTGATAAGCAAGACAAAGAAAAGGCCAATCAGAACTAAGACGGCACTCATCATCACTTCGCTCTTCCGGTTGGTACATCCTGGTCTTGTTGTTTTCCCTCACTTAAACATCCGTATACGACAATTTTAAAACATTAGGCTGAAAAGCTAACATCTTATATCGTTCAACTCAGAGATGCCCGAGATATTCTTCGCGATCACTGCTGCTCTAACCATGCCCCGTTCCCAACCAAACCCCCGGGGCTCCCGGGGAAATCAGAACGGGAGGATGGACACTTCCTTAACGACTCGATCTGTTTCACCTTCTCGTGGAGGACTCACTGGCTGAGACTGTGACATGAGTGCAATGGAAGCTTTATGTTAACTTTTTTTTTCTGGATGAATGTCCTTTTGATGATGACTTACGTTGTTCGAGGGCCCCTTAAAAGGAGCTAGATGGAACATATATCTATTGATTACCATACGCTTACGTTTCAGAAAGGAACGGGGGAGTTTTGTAGCCGAATGGGAGGATCAATGAGAAGGCAGGCAGATGGTTATTTTACCACCATCCCGTCCAGTACTTGAAAATGAAATGCGTCTTTTTCTTTTTTCCTGCACCGCAATCAAGTGTCTACTTGATTTCTCCCCCTCATATAGATTCCTGTATAAAGCGCTCAACGTGTGCTGACTGCCCGGAGGCCCAACCCGCGGGGGTCACAAACTCTGGTTCTATAGGTCGCCATCCAGTTAGTCATTTGAGCCAAGTCACCCTTTCGCCCGAGCTATATCCACTGCTACATAGTCCACTGCTACATGACTTACTAGCCAGTCAGGGCTGGTTATCTCCATGTTCGTGAGGCTTGCCTCTCAGGCATGTACATCCCATGAGTCACAAAGAGGCGGGAAAATACGCAGGTCTCACTACACTAAGACCTTCTTTAAGGCTTCCTTTGCACCGACGAACTGCCAGAAACCAAGAAAATGCACACCGGAGAAATAAGTTTATATGCATATGACTCTATACTGATGATGCCACCTAGCTACAGTTGCAGACCAAGAAATGAAATGAAAAGCCAACTATTAGCAATGACGACAGGCTGAAAGGGGTTGCTCAAGCTCAGTTGGGCCATAGTCTGTGCCATCCAAGGTTGCAAGGTGTCTTGCATTGCCTTGAACATCTTCGTCTCTTTGTGTGGCTGATGGTATATGCATGGTCGCCAAGCATCTCATTGTCCCTCCCATATTCAGTACATAAACTATGAACTTTGCATAACATTTCAACATGGTACTCTGTTTACCATAGTACTAGCTCTCTCTACAAACATGCTAGATTCCTACTTTCTCATCAGGTCCTTGCGCACAATAGATGGCTACTTGGTTCATAGACCTTCAGCAGCCACTCTATATCCTCTGGTCTAGGGTGTCACCAATTATATATGCCTTGTCAACCTCCATGGAAGCCTCACAGACATCATAGAGAAAACCAGAGGTGTGTGACTCTTAAAGGTACTTACCACTTCCTACGATGTTTACAGCCTTTCACTTTTGATACAGATTCATGACGATAAAGATCACAGAGACAGAGAGAGGAGGGACTCTGAAGAACACGTAAGTTTCTCGCGTTTTTTCAGGTCCCCTCTCGTAGAGAGACGAGTGAAGTAAGATGATGCTGATGAAACTACGGAAACAAACTGCAAATATACTTGAGACATCCCCCAACCACCAGAGACCAAATTCTTTATTTTTTTTGTTCTCCTTCTCCGAGCCCCAAAGACCAAAGAACCAAACAAGCACGAGCGAAGCAAACCGATCGGAAAAACCACAAGAACCCTCGTATGCAGAACAGACAAGCCCTCGAGAAAGCCCACGGAACGAAGAGCGAAGCAACATTTGGTACCAGTCTCTCTGAAGAGAGACCGATGCTAGATGGATGCCTACAAGCCCACGAGCCCACGGAGAGGTAGGGAAACCCATCGCTTGAGAAGACGAGAGAGCCATCAAACCCACTGTACTATGTCATCTACAACTGCTGTTGACCGAGACAGACAGCGGCAGATGCGTCATATGCGTCATGTCAAGAGAGGAGAAAATATGAGGCTGTCAAAGAGCCCAAAACCCAGCCTCATCTTTCAGCGCAAGTCAAGCCCACAAAAGGTAGGTAGCGGACACATTATGGACTGGAGGAAGTCCTCCATAGAGAAAAAGCCCTCAAGCCCTCAGGTTAGATCGACACCTCCTCTCTCGGTCAGCGGTGGCCAACCAACTAGACCGAGAAAAGATGTATCTTTTTCTTCAAAAGCCCACCACCTAGATTCCCTCACCGGTTGACCAACATTCCAGTGAGGGAAGATGGTGTGATTCTGAAGAAATGGCCCTCGATGAAGACGATGTTAAAAACCCACAAAGCCCTCAGTGAAGGTAACCTGGTACGCAACGATTTGTGACTGACTGTGGACGGACGAATCAAAGCAGCAGTTGTGAAAATATAGCCCCTCGTGACGGACGGATTAAGTTGGTAGTAAAGAGGTATCAAGCAATCCCACGTTCGTTCTTTTTCTTTTCGTTGTCCCCTGTGCGCGCGTGCGGCAGCATGAAATCATCCCATTACCCTCATAACCTTGATCGTACATCCTACACTGAAGCATTGAACTGAGGCACCAAACTGCTGAAGACCACACTCCTATCGAACAATTTAGAAGGTGATCTTCTTGCCCTGGAAGGCAGTGCCGGCGCTCTTGTTGCCGCCACGGGCGCCGCCGCGGCCACCGCCACCACGGCCGCCACGAGCACCACCACGGCCACCGCCGCGACCGCCACGGAAGCCATTGCCGCCCCCGTTGCTGTCGCGGGGCTTGGCGAAGTCGAGACGGACGGGACGGCCGTCCAAGTTGGAGCCGTTAAGCTGATTGAAGGCGGTCTTGGCGTCCTCGACCGAGTTAAAGGTCACGTAGGCGAAGCCCTTGGGGCGGCCAGACTCCCTGAATAGAGTTAGCGGTTGAGTAGATTAGACACAAGCACAAGTATACTCACTGATCGGTCGGGATACGGAGGCTCTGGACAGCAGCGACAGAGTTGAAAAACTCGGAGACAGACTCCTCAGTAGCGTTAAAGGACAGGTTTCCAACAAAGAGGGTGTCGCTCTCGGGGCTGATGACATCGCCATGCTTGCGGGCACGCTCCGCGGCACGGGTAGTGGGATCATTGCCCTCGGCCGGCTTGGAAGCGAAGTCCAGACGCATCTCGCGGCCTTGGAGGTGGGCGCCGTTCTTCTCGTTGTAAGCTTTCTCGGCGGCATCAGGAGAGGTGAAGTCGACGTAGCCAAAGCCGCGGGAGCGGCGGGAGTCCTTGTCGGTCACGACGCGGGCGCTGACGATACCCTCGCAATTCTCAAACTCTTCATACAGAGCCTTATCGTCGACGGCCCAGCCGAGGTTACCGACCCAGAGGGTGGCCGTCTTCTCAGAGGTCTGTGCATTGGCGTCACCCTTTGTCTTCTTGACATCAGCGGCGGCCGACTCGGGCTCCTCCTCGGCCTTGCGCTTCTTGGACGACTTCTCCTTAGCAGCGGGCTTCTCTTCGACAGACTCCTCAGACTCCTCCTCAGACTCAGACTCGGACTCAGACTCGGACTCAGACTCAGAGCTAGACTCGCTCGACTCAGACTGTAGAAAGTTAGCGCGCGAAAGTGTTAGTGTAGAATTGGGATGATGTACCTCAGAGTCGGACTCAGACTCCGACTCAGACTTGGCCTCGGCCTTCTTGTCGTCCTTGCCCTTGGCAGCGGCGGGCTTCTCCTCCTCAGACTCCTCGTCCGACTCCGACTCAGAGGTTTCAGAGTCAGAAGACTCGCTCTCGCTCTCGCTATCGCTCTCAGACTCAGACTCGGCCTTCTTGGGCTTAGCCTTTTCCTGCTTGGCAGCAGCCTTGGGCTTCTCCTCCTCATCCTCAGAGTCCGACTCGGAAGAATCAGACTCAGAAGTCTCGGAATCAGACTCAGAAGACTCAGACTCAGATTCGCTGGCCTTGGCGCCGTTGACCTTAGCAGCCTTGGCCTTGCCGTTGGTCAGGGGCTTGGCGTCTGTCATCTCGACATCGGAATCGGACTCAGAAGAGTCGCTCTCGGAATCCGACTCAGACTCAGAAGACGAAGAATCGGAGGACTCAGAGTCGCTGGCGCTCTTCTTGGTCTCTTCCTCATCGGAGCTGCTGGCGCTGGACTCAGAATCGGACTCGCTCTCCGACTCAGAAGACTCAGACTCGCTCTCAGACTCCGACTCGACCTTCTTCTTGTTCTTCTTGACCTCGACGGCCTTAGCCTTGGAAGTGGCGACCTCCTTCGGCGCGACCTTGGCCGGCTTAGCGGCCTTTTCGACAGCCTTGGCCTTGACGGCTTTGGTATCCTTGGTCTTGCCCATGGTGAAGGATTTAATAATTCTTGAAGTTGCGCGAAAAGATTGGACTAGATTTTTGGGCAAGAAAGGGGAGGAAGGAATGGAATTGTTGCAGGTAGAGGAAATTTTCCTTGGGGGGGGGGGAAGGGGAGGGAGGTTTGAAAAGAAAAATAGATGGTCGCGAAAAGGCTGGGCGAGCGATAAGAAAAATTCAAGGCTTATCGAAAATTTAAGTGGGGCCAAACGCGCGGGCGGTGGATGGCGTTTTCACGCGGAGCCAAGATTTGGGGGCATCCCTGCGCTAGACCGCTTTGAGCCTAGCGTGGAGAAAGGCTTGGCAATGAGTCTTGGCTTTGCGGCGGTTTCTGCCTGTCAATTGAGGTATCAACTGGAAGCTCCAGCTTTGGCCGCAAAGTGGATGCCGTGCTGCAGCAGCATCAGCATCACAGCGATCACCTGCCGCCGCCGTAGCTCGAGTTGCGCTGGATATCGAACCCGACGCCGCGACCACAATCCTTCGACTCTGTTTCTTTTCGAGGGAGTCAGCCTAACCCTTACTAAGTCACCATGCCAACTCCCGAGTCCGAGGCCTTCCTGGCCAAGAAGCCGCAGGTTCCGCCGACCTTCGACGGCGTTGACTACGAAGATAACAAGCGCCTCAAGCAGGCCCAGGACGCCATCATCCGCGAGCAATGGGTGCAGGTCATGATGGGCCGGCTGGTTCGCGAGGAGCTAAGCAAGTGCTACTACCGGGAGGGCGTCAATCATTTGGAGAAATGCGGCAAGCTGAGAGGTTGGTGTCCCACGATGGGGGTAGTTTTGGGGTTTGTGAGGGGGGCAGGGGACAGTTCAGCTGCTGCACCTGCGGAAGTGCTGTCTCTGTCGTCGCTCTTGGGGTGGTTTCACTGGTTGTGCAGAGGGCTGACGTGCTTGCAGAGCGGTACCTCCAGCTGCTTGCCAACGCTAAGGTCAAGGGTTACCTGTTCGAGCAGCAGAACTACTGGTCAAAGGAGAACCAGCAGCAGTAATTACAGACGAGATTTGGGCGAAAAGAGTGCGAATATGGCTTGGGGATATGGGCGTTGGGACTGGGCAAGCTTAGAGAGCGTTTATAGATGACATGTCGACATGGAGGGGCTATGGAGGGGGGGAGGTCCTCTGCTCGGGCAGACGGGGCAGAGCACTGAGAACTGGCCGTATCGACGGCCAGATGGTCATGTATCGATTGTATGAAGCAATTGACGTCTGTAAACACAATGCATATTACTCTCAATTGTGATTGTAATCTTCTAATAAGTGTGACATTTTCTCTCGAATATATCGGCCTGCGCTGTTTAACTTTGGGGCTGTCGTCGCAAGCCGCGGCGTGGGTGTCGGCCAAGACATCAGTCGCGTCCACCAAAGGCCAAAATTGCACAGGTGCAAGTTCCGGCCGCCCTAGAAATTTTTAGCCCACCCGACTCCATCCATCCATCCCGCAACGCCAACGACCCGGACGCCTCTGAACAGCGTCACAAGACGGAGAGCGACCTCCAATTCTACAGCAAGTATTACAGCAGCCAGGGCGCTCCCCTCCACGCCCGCCCGACAGCCAGACAAACTCACACACCAGACCAACCCAGCACAGCAGTTGTGCCATGATCTGCCGGACCTGTCTGCGCCGAGCCGCGGGGCTCGCAAGCCGCCAACTCAACCTGTCGTCAACAACCACCCTCTCTCAGACACTAGCTGCCCCCTTCTCTACAACAACACTACGAACTTTCAGCACTTCTCTACCCATCCTTAACACCTCCTCAGCTTCAGCAGAAGCGCAACCAGCAGCAGCACAAGGCGCCCCCGACCTGAACCCTGTGACCCCTGGCGCTGCGGCCGCGGCCGCTGAGGGTGAGGGCAAGAAACCTCTGTCATCCTGCCCGGCCGGCACGGTACTCAAGGGGCTGAACTACTTCAAGGGCAAGAATGACCCGGTGGCGCTGCCGGATGAGGCGTACCCGGAGTGGCTGTGGCGGTGCCTGGAGGTGAAGAAGAAGACGAATGAAGGGGAGGAGGGCGTTGATGTCGGCGATGAGTTTTGTACGTTTTTCTCCTTTTCTTCTCCCCACCAACCCCCCGCCCCCCGCGGGGGCCCCTCTCGGGGACGAGCCCCCGCACCCCTTGCTTGAACCTACCAAGGGAACCAAGGGACAGGAAATGCTGACCATGTGGTGTAGCCAAGTCCAAGAAACAACGCCGCCTCGCGCTCAAGCGGCTGCGGGCTCAGGAGGCCAAGCTGCTGGCGTCGGGCGACCTGGAGGCGCTGGCGCCCAAGATCCCGCTGCAGCAACAGAGCATCAACCTTCCGGGCGCCGAGACGGGCTCGCTGCAGGAGGCCGTCGCCGCCGTCGACGCGCGCGAGGCCCTGCGCCGTGCCATGCGCAAAGAGCGCCGCGCCAAAATCAAGGAGAGCAACTACCTCAAGGCTATGTAAACGTAAGCTCCTTGGGATTGCCGGCTTTGGTTTTTCGAGGCATATATACATATATGGCATGGGAGAACGTTTGTTGGCGGCTTTTGGGCGTGGACTTTCGACCTACCTGTCGGGCATGGACATGTTATCTCTGGGATGACGATAAAGAAGAGAAGCAGAGGAAGGTTGGCGGATCATGGCTGTCTAGACGTGTACAAAAACACCGTGTATTATTTTTTGTATGTACAACCACATCAGTCATAAGGCAATCAAGACGCGGATATTACAAACTCATGAACTCTATACCTATTCCACAACTATCATGGGAAGGACAGATTGATAGATATAGTATTTGCCTGATGACAGACCAATGCTTCGTTGTCCGGGTATTCGGTAATCTCTTCCACAGAACAAGCCCTTTTAAACGCCCATCCCTGTCTGAGTAAAAAGTAGAAGTAAGTAGCTAAACTAATAAGCAGTCTCCTCGAGTGTAGAAGCCGTCACATAATACAAGATGTTCTCCGTCTGAGCCTCTGCAGTTCCCTTAATCTTCGTCCGCCTCGCCAAGGATACTCTTCTTGAGCTGGATCTCCGACATGATATTTTTGATATTCCCCTCCAGCCGCTTCTTCATGATCGGACCCGTCACACTGGCCAGCTGCTCCTCGTACTGCTTGAGCTGACGCTTGAGCTGCGCGATCTCGTTGCGCACGCTGGCCTTCTTGTCGTGGTCTTCGTCGTCCTCGTCGTCGGCGCCGCCCTCGCCGCCCTCATCTTCGTCTTCCTCATCCTCCTCATCGTCCTCTTCTTCCTCCTCTTCCTCTTCCTCGTCGCCGCCTTCCTCGCCTTCGTCGAGTTCCTCCTCGCCGGCAGCTTCTTCCTCCGCTCCAGGAGTGCCGTTTGCCGTGACGGGGGTGACCCCATCCACGGCAGCGGCGCCAGCAGCACCAGCAGAAGGGGCAGACGCGGCAACAATAGTTGAAGCCGAGACAGTAACGCCAGCCCCCTCAATCGGAGTCTCCTGAGCATCGAGAAACTCCGCCTCGAGCGCAGCATCATCAACCTCAGACTCCGCCTCCTCCTCCCCCCT